GGGCATCAAAGGCAGTGAAGTCTCGAGCCCATATCTCCAGGGAAGGGCCCTTTCCCTGCCAGTGGGCTCCCTGCCTGCCAGCCTGGGGCAGCGGTACAGGCTGACTCTGGCCAGGTAAGAACCCCACTTCTGTTCTCCTTGGGACGTGGTCATTGCAGGCAGGTGTGCCATAGGAGAGTATGGCATACACGTGTTCATATGTGTGCATGTTGGAGTACACAGAGAGGCATAACAGGGAAATACGGCGGCTGCTTCCTGGAGGTGCCCTGTTGTCATGTTGCCTGACTCTGGTGTCCTCTCCCAGCCTGTTTTTGCATGCTACTTTCTCATTATCTTTTCCTCTCCCTGTCCCTTCCATTCCTTCTTCTGATGGCTATTTTATCTCCAAATGTCCAGGCTCACTCAGAATTGAAGGGAAGGCCCATCCTGCCTGCTATTTGTGATCAATGACTAAATGGGGAAGAAGCAAGAGAGGCCAGAGCAAGGAGGCCTGTGCATCAGGTGTAAACAGGAGTCAGTCAGGAAGCCTGGGTGCTCTCCTGGCCCTGCAAGTGACTGACTAATCACAGGTCCTGGGGCAGGACTGGCCATATACTGGCCATACTGAGTGAATGAACCAGATCCTTTGGAAATGGCCTTGATTCTATTAGCAAGCAGTGCCCCCCTCTTCTCCTATTAGACATCCTAACCTACTAGGGATATTTTTGCCCTTCCATTTAACTGCCTGTCATTTAGTCAATAGATTTTATGTGGCTGGACACATGTTAGGGGCTAGGGACAGAGATACAGATCAGGAAGCACTCCGCGAAGTGTCAGATGTTGACAGCTCAGTGCTCTAAGCACTCTGGCAGCAGCGAGCCCAGGACGCGCTAACCCAGGTCAGGAAGACTGTGGAGGGTGATGGAGAAGGCTTCCCTGAGGAGGAGATGTTGCTGTGTGTGTGTGTGTGTGTGTGTGTGTGTGTGCGCGCGCGCGCGCTGAAGCAGGGCATTTCAGGCTGAAGGAAAGCCTTGGCAAAGGCAAGGAGATATGAATCAGGGTTTCTGTCGTGGGAACTGGAAGCAATTCGATATGGCGGGCACGCAGGAGAGGCTGTCAGGGTGTGAGAGCTGAGGCAGGAGGGACCATGTACCATACAAAGGGGTTCAAGTTTTAACCCCAGGACTTGCGCTTCTCGAAACTGGCTGCGCCTCAGAACCACCTGGGCCGTTTATGAGAAAGCAGATTCCTGGACCTTACTCCAGCCTAAGGAATTAGAGTCTCCACAGACGAGACCTCAAAATCAGCCAGCCTTTCACCAGCGTCCCAGGAAAGCCTACACGGGCACGGGACCGACCGCTGCCGTTGGGCCTATGCTAGAAAAAAAATCAGGAGGCCCGAGCGAAGGCCCCGGGGCAGAGAGCAGCGTCCCTACCGAGGGCTCCACAGACCACGTGCCCCATGACCAAGACAGGAGCCACCAGAAAATTCAGGTGTTCAGGTGCACAAGCTCTTCCAGGCAGTCCAGCAGAGGGACGGCAGAGGTGTCCCTCCCATCCCCTTCCCCCACACACCTGGCTCTCACAGCATGGCCTTGAAGGACTCTTTCTCACCTATACCTTCATCCGAAGTGAAACCCAATTTCCACATCCCACGTGGCTCCTTATTCAGGCTGAGTGTTCAAAGCATGTTGAGGAGAGAGAAGAAAGCTTGTGTTTTTATCCAGGCTGAATGGAAGGAGGCTTCTTGGGTTGATGGGTTTCCTTAGTTGTTCAAATGTAGGAAAAGGGCGATGTGATTGCTCCTTACCACGTATTTGTGTTCTTCCTAGATTTCTCTCCAGGAGGAGGTCATGAAATCAAAGAGCCCAATGCATAAGGACATAAGGTAGTTCCCCAGTCCAGCACTTACCACGCTAAAGGCCTGAGGCCCCACTTAGACTACCTCCCAGGGATTCCCACTCCACAGGGTGGAGTGTAAATTCCTCACCTGGCCCCAGAGGTCCTCAGCCAGGCCACACATCCTTGCTCTGCAGACTCGGCCCTCCCGGCCTTTAACTTTTACACTTAGTAACACTGAAACCAGGCAGTTTTACACCTCCATGCCTGTGTTTATGGTAATCTCTCCATCTGAAATGTCTTTTCCCCTCCCCCCACCCTCTGTCTGGCTAATTCCTGCTGACTCTACAAGACGCAGCTCCCTCTGATAGCCCCTCCCACCAAGCAGGAGCCTCAGTCTGTTTCTTTGAACGACCAGCACCACCACCCTGTGCGGCCCTCAGTGGGTGCCTGTATACAGAAAGTTTATGTCCCTGCCCCTCCCCTGCCCAGCTTGACCAGCAGTTTCTCAAGGACAGGCTCTGTGTGATTACATCTTGTCTCCCCAGTGCCTGGCGCACAGTAGGAGCTCAACAGATATTTGCTGAACCAAAGAGAATCCAGAACCAAAGAGAATCCAGACGAACAAAAAGTGCCCTCAAACATGTGACTGTCTTGGTAATTTAGTAGCCTTCTGAGTATTTGCTTATTGATGCTTTTAAACATGTGGTAGTTTAAAGCCTCTATAGCTGTGACACTCTGTTCCCCTATATTAAGTGTGAAATAAATTTAATGAGTAAACTAAAGGTGATTATTTTCATCTCAAAAGGTGGTGATGGGGGGCAGGTTTCTTTTAAACATTAAGCCTTTGCTGGAACTTTCAGAAACTTGCCTTACAGATCATTAACTGCTGGGGGAAGGGCGGGCACAGGAGTCCTGAAGCTACCTCTGAGCGTCTGGGCCCTGAGGTGCCTCTGGGAGGAGGAAGCAAGGCTGAAGACCTTGGAGCAGGGCAGGGTTGGTCCAGATTCTACTCCACTAGCTGTGTGGCCCCAGGGAAACCCCTTAGTCTCTCTGTACCTTAGTTTCCTTATTCCTGAAGTGGGGAGTCCCTATACCCATTTTGGAGGGTTGTTGCAAAGGTCTAACAGACCCATGTGGAGGATCTGAGCTCACAGGAGTTCCCTGATAGTAATAATGGCGTTGTTTTTGTTAGGTTTGACGTGGCACGAGGAGGAGAGGGATGATCTGACCTTGAGCGGCAGGGATAGGAAAGCAGAGAGGACACAGAAGGGAAGGGCCAGACCATCATGGCTGGGCTGTGTATTTTGACTATTACAGCACTTCAGAATTTGCTTTTTTTAAAAAACTAAAGCATTCCATGGTGAATGTGGTTGATGTGAGGGGTCTTGGACTCCAGAAGTCCTGCTGCTGACGACCTCTGTGACCTCAGGTAACTCAGTTTCCCCATCTGTAGAAAGGAGACAATAAACGGCACCCACCTCTTAAGGGCGCCGCCTGAGATGAGGAATGCAACGCGCTTAGCCCAATGCGCCGCGCGGGGCGCCCTCGTGAACGGCTCGTTACTCTGTTGTGACATGGTCAGTGCTAACGAACAGTGTGCCCTGTTGGAGAAACCACTTGTTCTGGGGATATGTGGGGGTGGGGCAGGTGGGGGGCGGGGATTCACCGCAGGAGCCCCGGCCCAGACTCTGGAGACCACCTGTCACGAGGGCTGTGGGCCCTGGGGCCTGTTCTGTAACACCAGGGTGAGCCCTGGGTCATCTCTCAGGTTCCTCCATGAGCCCAAGTCTGTTCTACCAGAGCTCCCCAAACGTCTGCTCTCAGGCCTGGGTGCTTCGGCCCTGTCCAGACCCGCGCTTCTGCAGGCGCCGTCCTCACTCAGGAGGCCGGCCTCACCTGCAAACCCCTGGGCCTCGGCCGGCCCTGCATTTCTCTGGCTGCGCGGTCCTCTCTGGGGCTCTCCCTGGCGTCTAAATGGTGCCAGCAGTGCAGGAGTGCACATAGGAAAGCGGCCCTGCTCGGGAGGGAAGCCTGCTGGCCGCCCAGAAGAGGAGAGAGCCCTTTCCCTTCGCAGAGATTTCCGGAATCTCCTGGGTTTTAACTCTCTTGTGTCCCATCCTTTGTGGAAAAATGGGTTTGGAAATAGGGGAGGCCACACCTCTCCGAGCGGACAGAGAAAGCAAGCCCCAGTTGGTCTGGGCCACCGTTGCAGGTGAAGCCCTTTGCTGCTACTTCCTCCCAGGTCTGGAGAAAGCGAGAGGTGTCTCCAGGAGTCCCCAGAACCCGGAGAACCGGTCCCTACGCCAGGCGGCTGGCAAAGCAGGCACCAGGCTCTCCTCTTGGCAGGTCAGGATGAGGGAACGGACCGCTACTCTGGCTACCCTCTTGCCCCTGCAAGGCAGGAACGAATGACTTTGACCTCGGAGGAAACGGTGCCCCAAGCTGACAGGGACGCCCGTCTGGAAAAACTGTCTAAACAAAGGGCATTCCTTAGCTTCCACCCGGTTAGTCGAGCTTCACCCCCGGACCGGGGTGTAGGGTTACACGCATTCCCGCGACGCTCGGGAAGAACGTGCTGTTTCCTTAGCTCTGGCTCCCCTTGAGCCGCATCCCACTGCTGCGCTGCCCGCCGCTGCCCGGGGTCGGCCGCCGGCCTCGAGGGGTCCGGGCGGCCGAGCGCCCTGCGTCCACGCGCCCCCGCGCAGGGCCCAAGCGTCGTTCCCGAACTCAGCCCGGGCCTCGCCTGTCCACCGCCGCTCTGACGCGTGCGAGGCGCTCGCCCCCTGGCCGCCGCCGCCGCTGGAGAAGCCGCTCCCTGGGCTCGGGTGTCCGGCCGCGAGCGGCCACGGCAGCAGCGGGCGCCGAGGGGGCGAGGCCGGGCGGGGCGGGCCCCGCTGCTCCAGCCCCTTCCGCTCGGCTTCTGTCTGTGCTCCGCGCGCGCTCTCCCGGTCCCGGCCCCGGGAAGCACCCGGCTTGGCTTCTGTCCTCTTCGTGGCACAGCCATGAACTAGCAGCCGATGCCACTGCCTCCTCCGCCAGACCCACTTCCCTCCTCCGACCCGGAGCGAGGCCGCGGCCGGACCCCACCCGGGCCTGGGGCTGCCCGCCGAACCAGGAGCGGAGCCCGGTCCCCGGGCCTGGGGAGGAGAGGGGGCCAGCGGAGGGCTTGCCGGGCCGGGGATGGAGGGGATGGAGGAGGCAGCGGCCGATCCTGCTGGCGGCGGCCCTCAGTGAGTACGGACGAGGCGAGGAGCAAGGCTAGCGGCGGGCCGGTTGGGTGGCGGGGCCGCGGGGCTGGAAGGGTCGGGGGAGGCCCGTGCTCAGTGTCCATCTTCATTTCAGCCTTTCCGAGCTTATGCAAATACAGCCCTTGGGCCATAGAATCAGGCGGCTCCAAGTAGCACCATCCATCTCTCCAGGCGCCCGCAGTGCCCCACTGGAAGGTTCTCGCGCGAAGTTCTCCCTGGCTGGGTTAGCTCTGGAATCGAGGTTCTGAGTTTACCCAGCAGAAAGTTCTTTTAACTTAACTGAAACCGCTCCCATTACATCATTCCCTGTTCTCTGGAGTGAACCTTCGAAGAGAGGAATCAGCGACTGGGCTGCAAAGAGAAAGTTAATACATTCTACATTTACTGGTAGGGTGACCGATCTCGGCCTCCTAAAGTGTTGAAACTTCACTGGCTGAAAGCTGATGGGGCACTTTGCCCTACATGTGTATTTTACTTTACAAACTATGCACATGCCTGAAACATTGTGTCAATTGAATTGTAATAAACAACTATAGAGGGACTTGCCCTTTAAGAGAATTCTATGGTGAATCTTTAGTCAACACATGAACTGAATAATTAACTCCTTCCTAATTTGTAATCTATGTAAATGTGGATTTTCCACACGCGGTTTTCTTCAAGTGGGTCATATCTAAATGTGGTATTGAGGGAGCATTCTCTCAGAGAGCAGGGTAAATATTAAGACACTGGGGCCTGCATGTGTGCACAGAACAACTCGGTGACTGAAATCCCATGCGCACGTTCATTCCCTGTGAGAACACTGACATCAGCCATGCCCCCAGGGAGCCGTCATTGTGGCCAGTCACCGACCCTCTCCAGACAGGATTGTTCCCATCTGCGGAGTAAGGGGGGTGGGGCGAAGTGACCGCGGAGTGCTTTGGGAGAGCCCTGGTTTTGAAACCAGAAGCTTTGCCTTCCAAACTGGCCTCCCCTTAGCGCCTCCGTGACATAATCTTGCTGTACCTCAGTTTCACCTTCTGTAATAATGAGGGAGCAGTGCTGTTCTGGCTGAATCGGGTGAGGATTATTTGGCAGAGTGTACGTTTGAAAGCACTTGCTGGCCTGCCTGGCACAGAGCAGATGCTGGTCGGAGTTAGTGACTGACACGGCCACCCTTGGACACAGCGCCATGCTGCGGTCCTGTGGTTTGGAGGATGGGAGTGTGGGGGGGGGGGGGCATGCGTGGGGCACCTTTCACCTGAGGGTCAGACCCTGAGACCCTGTGTGATATCACATCTTCACTGAGATTGCCTGTCAGGAGAGCAAGAGGCCGGGTATGAGGAAATCTGACCCAGCCTTTCATTCTGGCCCACGTTTGGCATAAGATTAGTTGTTTGACGCTTATGCCCCATGTGTAAAATGGGGGTAGAAAACCACTACTGAGACTTGGAAGAAAAAATTTAATAATCCCTTATTTGTATCATCCAATGATTTGTACTTTTCAAAGTGTGTTCACATTACCTAGCGTGTATCTCCTGCTCTGTCCCCAGGTTACTCTCTTCTGTACAGGGCTCAATAGGTGGGCACTTTGGGGACCCAGGTGCCGGGTCTAAGGAGCACCATCTGTTTTCTCTTCCAGAGAGCCCAAAATAGGGAACAGAACAACCAGCTCCACAGAGGCGACCTCAGCTATGGAGAAAAGTGGCATTGAGCCACCGCCCAACAACAACCTGCCAAGAGCCTGGCCCTGCCCTCAGGGCGACAGAGCACCCGGCCTGATGACTCCCCAGCCTCTCCGGGCATGGGGGATGCGGCTCCAACAACCCTCTGTGCTAGAGTCCAAGGTCAGGGCCTTGAAGGAAAATATGACAGCAGCCAGGCAGGGGACAAGTCCCTGCCTCACTGCCCATGAGCGGCCATCCCCCAAGAAACCCAAATGCCGACGAGTCAAGGTGGGTGGAGCCAGGACTCTGTTGCCAGATGCCGTGGTCCTCCCTGCTCAGAGCCCTACTGAAGGACAGCTGGACAACAGTGTCAGCGAGGAGCAGCCTGCCAGGAATGGGGGCCCTGGACCCCCCAGGCCACCCGCCCCTGGGCTCCGGTGCTGTAATGGGGGGAGCCCATGGGCTCCAGGATCAGTATGGACGCTGCCTGACCATGAGAGGGGTCCACTGCCGGGGCCTGGCTCTTTGCAAGAGAGCCCCACCCACAGAGCCATTCCAGCCCAACCGAGGGGCCCTAGACCTTGTAACAGAATCGCTCACACGCCCAGCCTGAAGACAGAGAGGTCGTACCCCCTTCAGGATGACCTAGCCACAGGGGGAGACCCGGATAGCTTGTCTCTGACCTCCGAGGAGGACTTTGTCCCCAGGCCAGTCCTGCTTGGGGGTCTCTGGAGAGCTGGAGACCTGGGGGCTCTGGGCGCTGGGGGCAGTGCCTTGTCCCTGTCGGAACGGGTAGAGAGGAACCGCCTTCTTCTGCAGGAGATGCTAAATGTTGGGGGGCAGGCCCCCCCTAAGCTGAGAATCCCAGCCCGGACTCCATCCTGGGACAGAGCTGTTCCAGGTGAGACTGACTGTGACGGTCTGGGTGGTGGGGGTAGCAGCTGGGAGTCCGGACGGAAAAGGGGAGACAGGTAGCGTGGAGTGGGTGGCATGGGAAAGGCAGGGGAGCACAGCTTCCTGTCACCAAAATCACCAGGATGCCCTCTTGGCTTTGACATGGCTTCCTTACCACGTCACAGCCAGTCCCATCTGCTGAGCATCCCCCATGGCTTCCCAGGCCAACAGGAGGCCACCTTCTGTGCTTGAGGGTGGTGGCTACCAGACCTTCTTTCCCGTGGCACACAGCCTTTTCCAGACGGGCTCTTTGTGTCCCCTTTCAACGATATGCCCTCGCCCCCCCTGCCCCACCCCCCGTGGACTCCCTTCCCACAAGGTGGTCGAGCATCTCGTCAGGCGGGCTGAACTCAGGCGGTAGCACCACTGGGATGTGCAGATGTTCGGGCCTGAGAAGACATCTGCCCCCTCTTCCTTCCCATACCAAGAGCTCACCCCTCACCCACTCCCAAGAGAACCTGCACGGGCCCCTTAGCCCGTGGCAAGGCCCAGCAGCCACCGTGACAGGCTGCGCCTCTACCTCTCAGGCCAAGGCACAGGCAGGGGGACAGATTATCTGGGAAGTAAGTGGCTTCCAGGGAAAAGTTTCTCCTTGACATTCATTCAGTGGCAGCAGAGAGCCCAGTTGCTGACTCTGCCCTGATCTCTGCTTCTGTTTTGGCCCTAGAGCCACCGTCAGGGGACATGGACTGGGACTCGGGCATCTCCCTGCAGGACTCAGACCAGAACAGGTAAGAGCTCAGAGCACACTGTTTTTCTCCCTCCCTCCTCGCTGTTGTCCTTCCATTTACCAGCATCAGGTAAATGACCTCAAGAAAGCGTGAGGACAGGCAAACCCTGTGTGGCAGACCTGGGGACAGTGTGCCACTGTGATTGTCAACCCTGAGACAGAGTAGGGGCTGCCGGTCACCCCACGCCCCAGGCTGGAGCCCGCCTGCTACTGGAACACAACTACTCACTGGGCACAAGGCACCGTGCAAAGGACAAAGGACCTGCTCTTGTATAGGGGGAGCTGGCTCCCCTGCCTGGCCTCTGACCCTTCATCTTTCAAGTGGGACAAACAGTGTCTGTGGTTGACTTCACAGGACTGTGTGAGTTTAAATGAGATAATGGTGTAGAAACCCTTAGGGAAAGTGCACAAATGCAAAGCATGTACTGCAGCTCTTCCTAAGGCGTGTGCTGGGGCTGGGTAAAGGATGTCACCCCTCCACGCTCACCGTGCTATCCCACCGAGTTGCTCTAGCCCCTCCACCCATGTCGTGGGGAAGCGAGGCACACCAGGTGACCGGGAAATACTCAGGTGTACAGGCGCAAAAGGAAAACTAGAGGAAAGCCCTCTTATTACTCCCAAACCCACCAAGACCAAGACTAGAAAGAAAAAGAAATTTAACTACTCACCAGTGTTAAATCTTACTGTGCTCCCGAAGCACCTCGTGTTCTGAACCCTAGATGCAGAAGGAAGGATGCTAATCCAGAGGCCCTGCCACCCAGCTAGTGCCCTTGGAACTCTCATCCCCTGTGGTTATCACATTCACGCCTCACACATGCAAATCTCATTAGGGGCACAAACTTGATGAATAAAGAGGCACAAGAAAGGCCAGTCATCTGTGGGGAGTAAGGCTGAAATTCAGGAAGAGGAAGCCTTGCTCCCTGGCCGCCAGAGCTGAGCAGGCCACTGTCCCCCTAGTCTGGGGTGTCTTGGGCACCTGCCTGCACATACCGGAGGGCCAGCTCAGGGGGGAGTTTGCTAGCCTTCTCCCAGAAGGCAAGGACAGAGACAATTGGCTGTGCGCTAGTTGGAAGTTGATGCCTTAGGGGAAGCTCAGCATTGGCTCCACTGAGGTCCTTTGAGAAGTGTAAAACAAGACATTTGCAAAGCAGCCATGCTAAGGACGCCCTCTCTTCCTTCTTTGTTGGGAGAAGCTCCTCTTTATTGTCTGGACAGCCGATTCCCTCTCCTACCCAGTGACTGCCTCTCGTGCCCCATTCTGTAGAAATTGATTTTCTGTGAAGCCCTGTCAGAGGTTTTTGAAAATCTAAAGCAAAACTGCCAAGCCCTCTCTAGCTTCAAGATGGTTTGTCACTTCCAAACACGACTTCCCTTACGGACTACTGCAAAGCCGTCTCTTCGGCAGGCGATTTCAGTTTATCCTTGGCTCAGTAAGAAGTGAGAGTAACTTAACAAAATAATGGTGCTAATAATATCAATAAGAGCAATAATCATAATAAATGTTAACATTGACTGAATTTTACCAAGTGCCCAGCGTTGGGCTAACCTGTTTTGAGGGACTCAATCTCACTTAACAACTGAGTCCTCAGCAGGTGGGACAACTGAGGCCGAACCCCTAAGTAACCTGTCAGGGTGGCACAGCAAGGAAGTGGCAGTCCACAGGGAGGACCTAGGCAGGCTGCCCCAGAGCCACCACTCTTGGCTCTGTCCTATCAGCATCCTGCATCCTGGGAGGAAGGCGCCCAAGATAAGGTCCCTGACCTCGTGAAGCGCACGGTCCGGAACAAGGAGCTCCAGGCCTTCCTTTCCTCTTTCCCTCGCTCGGGAAACTGCACACAGTGTGATAACGGGAGAGTTCTACCCTTGCTCATCAAAAGGCTCGATCGTATACAAAAATGGAACGAATGCAAGGCAAAAAAGTTTATACATGTCCTGTACACTATGTATTTCCCCTCTATCTGCGGCATCCTGCAAACTAGGAAATGTCAGGTAGCTTTACATTCCCAATTATTTCCCTAAGTCTTGTTCCTGGGATAAAAGGGTTAAATCCAGACTTGCTGGAGCTTATTGTTTTAATCCAGGATTATGATGGTGGCAAAAAGAGGCCCCTCTGTCCCGTTGATGTCCCTGGACCAAGAAACTGGTTTAGATGGGCAGACCAGAGGGACCAGAGGGGAGGGGGCCACCGGCTGCACTTTATCCTTGGGAAGCAGCTTAGGACACTGGTGGTTGGAGGGGCGAAGGGAAGGGCCAGAAGGCTCACTGTGGATTTCCACTTGTCCCTAACAATCAGGTCCTTGAGAGCCAAACATCTGTGATGTGAACGCTGCAGGGAGAGAACATCAAAGTGCCCCCACCCTACCTTGGGGAACCCCAGACCCCCTGGCCAAAGACTCAGATCCATAGGGTAGCGAGTCCTCTCCCCTACTCAACTCCTGCTGTTTACAGATGGGGAAACTGAGGCCCAGGGAGGAAAAGCCTCAGCCACTTGACCCCTGTGCCCTACCCACTGAGCGAATGAGCCCCAGATGTGCAGGCTTTCCAGCAAGGGGCAAAAGCTGTCTCTTCTTAGGCAGAATTGCCTTTACCTAGCCATGCACCAACTGCCCAAACCCTTCCAGGCAGCTTCCGAGCACTTGCGAGAGTGGGATTGTGGGTTGCAGTCCATGGCGGGAAGGGTCTGGCCCCAGGGCTGTGTGCCCTTGGCAGAGGCCGGGGTCAGGTTAGACAGGAAAGGCTCCCTCAGGCGGAAGAGCCGGAACCTCCTGTGTGCCGGGGCGGGGGGGTGGGGCACCGGGGGTTGGTGGCCCTGGGGCAGGCCCCTCCAGCGTGGCATTAGGAGGTGGACAGTGAGGCTGGGACGGGCTTGCCACCCCACACTTCCGCAACCGCCTGCCCCGGCCTAGGGAGGGCGACCTCCTTCCCTCCCCAGGGCCGGTCAGCACCGGCACCCCGCTGAGGGCAGCCGGACTAGGGGCTGCCTGTCCTGCTGACCTTGGCTGTCATCTGTGAAGGTGACTGCCACTCTCCCCCTTGCTCAGTTTGTTACTGCATGGATGCCTCCGGGCACTGCCAAAGCCCTGCTTTTCTAATCAGTGGAGAAACCAGCTTTGTGTGCCAGGAACCAAAGCAGGGCAGCTGATGAAAAAAAAAAAAAAAATCAACAGCTCCAATTTGAGAGAGAGAAAGGAAATAGCAAAGCTGGAAAATGGCTTGGAAACCTGGGGCAAGGCCGATCTTGGCAGCATCTGGCCAGCTGCCTGGGGCCCTCTGCCTGCCCACCAGGCCTTGTGACAAATGCCCTCCGACAGCCAGGGAAGCACAGCTGTCACCGGAAGGCTCCAAGTGCGCAGGCCAGCAGCCAGAGGCCCGCAGCTGCAGGGGCGGCTCTCCGGGCTGGTAACCTCATTATCGCCGCTGTCGGAGCAGGGGCCCCGGGGAGCAGGGCGGCTCCCGGCAGTGCGTCCGTCCGAGGAGCCGCCTGCGTGGGGAGCTGGGCAAAGGGGAGGCCTGTCCTGCCAAAGGAGTCTCCCTGGGGCAGCAAGCCTGGAGACTTGCTCACATGTCTCTTCAGTCAGCCCTCCTGTCTCCGAGCTGTGCCTTGGCCCTGCCAGGGATCATGGGCACAGATGGTGCCTTTATTCTAGCAGTTCTTTTTTTTTCCCCCCTGGGCCCCAAAGCAGGGCTAGGTACAAATAATAAGAGGAAGGAAGCGAGGGAAGGAGGGAGGGAGGAAGAAGGAATCCCAGACAGCTCAGAGTTTATCTAAGGATGTCCCAAGGAGGCCTCAGAGTTGTGCCACTCACATATTTGTCACCTTCGCCCTATCAGCACGAGGCCCCTTTCTCCAGGTTACATGTAGGGTGGGAAGGAATGGGATAGGCTGAGACCTAGGCCCTGCTGAGCGTCTCACTGCCTGAGCTTGCTTCCTGTGGACCCTCCCTGGTGAGGAGAAGGGCAGCCTCAGGTGATGCTGAAGTCACATCCAAGAGAGTGTCTGACTCTAGCCACAAACAGCCTCAGCCTGCCCTGGAACCCAGGAAGGAAAGGGGACAGAGGATGTGGGAAGGAGGCTGGAGGCAGCAGGCTGGCTGTCATCTGTTCTGCCCTCAACTGATGTTCGACCTTGAGCACTGTGCCAAGCGTGCCTCGCTGCTCCGGAGCACCCTCATCTGTCAAACGGAGAGAACACCTGCCCTCGGCCAGCCTGGCTGGGAGCAGGAGCTCCGTGGAGATAAGCGTCTTATCGGCGGCGGGAGGCTGTGGGATTGCTGTTACTGCTGTGACCCAATGCTGGCTGTATGTCACTGTCTGGGAGAGAGACCGCGCTGAAAAAGGGCTGCTGTCATTTTCTGCAGCTCTGGGCTGGCTGGGGAGGCAGCGCATGTGTAGGTGGGGAGGGCTGGCGAGGGCCATTATTATTATGAAAATCGAGCCATTTGTTGGTTTGGTGTGGATCCAGCTTCATTTCTCTCAGCCCTCAACGGATGCCTGACGGGTCTGGATTGGGACTGAGGCAGGGAAACACCAGGATTTATAAAAATGTCATTCCCCCAAGGAGCAGAAGCTGCGACGGGCAGAGCCCTGAGTCCTTGTGTCTGTGGGGGGAGCTTAAGGAGGTGGCGGGTAGCTTGAGAGGGTACGTGTGGGTGCACAGAGACAGAAGGAGAGAGGGAGGTGATGCGCGTAAAGACCATCTGGCTGGGCACAGGCCCAGCCCAACAGCCCAGGCCCTTCCCTCTCCCTCCCCCTAGATAACTCCGGCTGTCTGCCCAGGAAGGAACAATAGAATAATCTGGAGACTCCGTTACCCTTTTCTAGGTCCTCCTGGGGTCTCTGCCTCTGGTCCCTGAGCAGATGTCCAATGTGGGCCAGCTCTGCAGCCCTGTCCAGAGTAGCTCGGGCCATTCCCCAGGCCCCAGGCCGGGTGTCCTCTGTGGGGCGGGACAAGGAAGGCCACGCATGCCGGATTTTTCTGGCATATCCATGCTAGACACTGTTAAAGCCCTCCTAATCCACGTTGTTTTCTTCTAATCCCTCCCCCGCCCACTCTGGCCTGTGTGCCACCCTGCAGGACCTTTGGACCCAAGCCGGAGCCCGTGCTGAGGAACCCCAGGCATGAGGAAGCCAAGCACCTGCTGCAGCGTGCCCGCATGAAGGCCAGGACCCGGCCCCTCCGTGCCAGCCATGATATCATGCCCACCATTGACCGGGGCCGCCGGTGAGCGGGGCCTGGGCCAGGCAGGCCAGAGGGAGGACAGGAAACCTAGCCAAAATGCCTCTGCTCGCTCTTCCCTTCTGTGTGTGTCTGTGTTCCTCACATCAGGCGCTTGCTTTAATTCATTTGGTTGGTCAACATACCATTACTGAGGGCCTACTGAGTGTCACGTATTGAGGATTTAAAGGTGAATGGAACATAACCCAAGCTCCCTGGGGGGACAGTGGTCACTGTCTCCATGGAGAAAGGCTGACAAACAGATCAGGACAACTCTCTGGACTGTGTAGTGTAGAAGAAGAAAGACGTGCAGGGTAGGAAACCTGTAGCCCTAAGTGGGAAGGACAGAGAAGGCTCGAGAGGAGGTGGCTTCTAAATCAGGGCTTGAAGGAGACGTAGATATTCGCTGGAGGGATGAGAGAGGCAGGGACGAGCATCCCAGGGCAGAAACCATAAGCAGGAGCCAGGCTGGAGCGTGAGGGCATGCTGGGCGCGTGGTGTGAAGGCCGGGGAGCTCCGTGCAGGCTTGTTGTGGGGGCCAGTCACCGAGGCCTCCAGGCCGGCTGAGCAGTTTGCATGTCTCTCCCAACGGCTGGGCGCCACGAGGGTTTTTGAAGCAGGTGAGTGGCATGATCCCATTTGCGTTTCAGTAAAGCCAATATGGCTGCGAGGATGTGTTGGACCTGGGGTTCTGGGGGCAGTGAGGAGGCTGCGGTGGTCCTGGTGCGATGTGAGTGGGGGTAGGGTTTGGAGACAAGGGAACGCTGAGAGCAAGAAATAAGCAGGTTTAGTGAGGCAGCAGAGAAGTGGTTAAGAGACTCTGGAACCAGACCACTGGGTTGAATTCTGGCTCTGCCACTTATTAGCTGTGTGCCTTTGGGCCTCAGTTTCTTCATCTGCAAAGTGGGAATTATATTAGTGTCTGTCTTACAGAGTTGTTGTGAGGGCCATATACATTAATAAATATATGTAAAGTGTTTAGAATAATTCCTGGCACATAGTGAGTACTCTATGTGTGGTACTTCTTAAAATTATTTAGAATAGTCCCTCCTTGTCCACAGGGGACATGTTCCAAGATCCTCAGTGGGTGCCTGAAACCACAGATAGTACTGAAGCCTGGAACCACACATAGTACTGAAGCCTATATATACACTATATTTATCCTATACATACACACCTTTTCACTTAAAGGAAGCACCTTGCGGCCTCTCTTTGTCATATCCGAATTGTCAATATCACTACTCTAGTGCTTTATTACATAAATTAAGGGTCACTTGAACACAAGCACCGAGATTCCACACAGGCAGTCTGATAACCAGGACGGCTACTAAGCAGCTAATTGGCAGAGAGCACATGAAGTATGGAGACACTAGACGAAGGGATGGTTCACGTTCCCGCTGGGGCAGAGTGGGACGGTGCGAGATTTCATCGCGTAATTCAGAATGGCGTGCAATTTAAAACTTATGAATTCCTTATTTCTGGGATTTTCCATTTAATATTTTCAGACCACTTTGATCGCAGGTAACTGAAACCACAGAAAATGAATCCACAGATAAGGGGGACAAGTGTAATGAACTAGATATGGGAAGTTGGAGAGGAGAGGCATGCAGGACAGAGCCCAGGGTCCTGACTTGGTGTCTGCAGGTTTGGCGGGGCCTCAGCCAAGGGGTGAAGGCCAGCTGCAGGGTCAGGCTTTGAAGGAGGTTTGTCCACAGAACACCCCCTGGAGGCACTTCTCAGTTATGGGATCTATATCGGGCATGACCCAGTTTTCATGATGCTGGAGCTGTGGGTGAGCGTGAGTGCATCAGGGATGGGGAGACAGGAAAAGAACAAGTTCAAGGACACTTAGACCAGCACTTCACCTACGTGACTGCCCCCCGAGTGACAGCCCATCACCATGACTGCAGCTGTTCCACATGTATGATGCACTGCAAGGAACCACTTACATGAGTTCACACACCAGAGCTGGTGGGACCGGGGCCTGAGATGAGACTGCCTGCCCATGCCAGCCGGCACCAGGCCCGAGCAGGACCCTCTGTGTGGCTGACGAGGCCTGGGGCTCCCTCGGCATGGTGGGCCTGCTGGGCCTGCTGGTTTTCATCACCATGTGGCATTCGAGGGAGCGAGGATTCTCAGTGGAACTGGACCACATGCTCTTTGATGCAGGATGCTGAGCCCACCCACGAGAGGCTGAGGGCCTTTGCAGCACCACCAAGGTGACTCCAGCATAGCAGAGGGCTGTGGCCTGCCTCTTTGTTCAGTGTCAGTGTGACCCTTAGGCGAGGGGCTCAGGAGACCCCGTACCCTGGCAGAAGGTGCCAAATAGGCCACCCTTTTATTTCCACATTATGTGCCTAGTCTTCCTCTGGCTGGAGAGCACTAGTTACGAATGGGCATGTCTTCTCTGAGGCAACCTAACTATTTTTCTCTGCTCCTATATGGGGCCCAGAGCCTTAGACTTCCACGAAACCCTCCTGTTCCACTTTCTGTAGGCACATAGGTTGGGTGAGTTGAGTAGCCCCAAAATAGGCAAGTCTATCCGCAAAACAAGCTTGACTGTGGAAGTGTACTCTTGGACACTTCCTCTTCCTTGAATTATGTCACAACAACCCCAATCACTAACCTTAAAGTAGGCTCCCCTTTGCCAGGCTGTTCCCTGACTGCTGAAATGCTATAGAAATGCAAGGTGACCCACTTTAGCAGCTGCTGTGTCCAGAAAAGAATTACTTTGACTTGGCAGCGCTTGGTGAATCCTCAGAGAGTCAAGCTGAAAATCAGCGCCAGATGGCTTCCTACAGATGCTTCTAAAGGTTACGCTTGTCAGATCACCCTGGAGAGCCATGCTGAGTTAACACGGAGATGCCACGCAGGCCCTGGGCCTCCGTTAGACACGAGAGACTCCCCACCCCCACCCCTGCCCCCAGCCCAGAGCCATCATCCTTCCAAAAAGCAGTTTGGTGAACAGCGATAGAAGAGTGGGGGCGGGCAGAGCCGTTGCCAGAAGGCCTTCTTGATCCCAGCTCTGGTGGAGGCGGCTGGGGCAAGCCCAGACATACAGACAGGCTTTTCCAGGTGGTGAAAAGGTAGCAGTAGCTGCATTTTTCTGGAACCTAATCATCGTAGATATCGAGCAGCTCCTGGAAGCACACACTCTTGCCATTTTGGGGATAGGTGCCTCTAGATTGTTGGTCCTGGAATCGGAAAAGCCGGCATTCAGGTTGCCTGTCACTACCAGACCCAACAGACAGAGACAGGGATTGAATCTTTATGGGCGCTTTATTCAGATGTCGGCAATCTGAGAAGATGGCGGGTTTGTACCCTAACAGACTGTCTTACATTTCCTTCTAAGCCAGCCTTTTTATAAGAGGGAGGAAGTGTAGGTAAGGGATTTGGAATTCAGGGGGAAAACAAATGTAGGCAGGGGATTTGGAATTCAGGAAAGAGGCTGACCGGATAAAAGCTGCAGTCCGGCAGTTTCCCTTGCACCCTTGCATCTGTTGACTGGTGACTCTATATCTGTGTCCTGGGCGATTTTTTATCTGTGTCCTGTGTCCTGGACAGTGGGATGCCTTTTTCTGGAACACAATGGCTCAGATACCATCTCAGCTGCTTGCAGTCCTCCTGGGGCACAAAGGTGGAACTGTTTGCGGTCTCTTGGAGTAAGGGCGGATTATACCTTCAGCTCCTAGAACAATTAACTTTTATATGCATCCATTTCTGAGCTTATTATTACTTAAAACTAAAATTTTCTGACTCTTGAGTTCCCCCATCAGCCTAATCCCAGGAAGGCAGAACATGTCAGCGAGATGCGGGGCCTGGGAGGTGACACCGTAAGTGCTCTTGTCCCGTGTGAGAGAGAGGCTATGTTAAGACTGTAGAGCTTGTTTGGGCGGCAATGACTGTGTGGCTAGGACAGCACTGTTGTAGAAAGTGGGCACTAGAAAGGGACCTTCCCATCCTTCCCAGGGGGCCATTCAACCCAGGTTCTGACCCCGACAGAGTCCTCTGCAGGACAGATGAGCATTGTGGCATCTGCTGGCTGTGTCTCGTCCTGAGAAGCTTGCCAGGCTGGCGTTTGCTTGCTGCCGAAGTGCCCCGTTTGCTCTGCACCTGTCTCCCGAATCCTTACCGCGCCTTTATGCACTGTCTCCCGCTCCGCAGGTGGAGGCCTCTGGGTTTCAAGGTTTGAAGGTACCTAATGTGGTTAAGCTCTCCTTCAGCTCTCCATTTGGAACAAAAAAAAAATGTCATTTCTACCTTGGCATGAATTCCGGGATGGCTCAGTTTACCATCCTGCACGTAAAAGTTAAGGTCCATGATGGGACTGGTGTAGGCAGGCTCGCTTCTCAGATGAGGAATGTACTGTCTTTAAAGCCAGGCTTTTTCTCTCCTCCCCAGAAAGCGCAGCCCACATCCCGTCGGCAGAGCGGGGCACGGCCCTCCGGGGCCTGCAGAGGGGTCGTTGCGTCCGAGCCGGCCCGCCTCTCCCAGCGGCCCTCGGGCCTGGCAGCCCTGGCGTCCTGCCTGTGCAGCGGGGCAGAGCTCTGCTCTGTGGGCTCCTCTTCTTTCTCAGGGGACGAGGGGATGCTCTCTCTCTGTCTAAAGCCTTCCTTTCCCCAGGAACCTCATGTGGACAGCCCCACCATGTGTGATTGTCCCACAGGCCCTTCCTCAGGTCCTGACAGGCCAAAGCAACCCAGGTGCAGGTGGAATCCTAAGGGAGGGCGAAGTATGGTTCTCACTCAGGCGGCCTCCAACAGGAAATGTGCTGTGAGCCTGGGTCCATTTGCCTAGTGGCCTGAAAACTAGGCAGTCTGGCTCCCGGGAGCCTGGTTGAGATTTGTGTGGTGTTTTCTTGAGCTGAGCAGGATATGACCACCAGGCCCAGGGTCTCCCAGAGCAAAGGCAGATGACGGAATGTGGAGGCTTCTCCTAGCACAGTAATCCTTACCCCAGCTTTTCTGGATGAGTGTGCGTGAGGGGCTGGGGGCAGGCAGGTACAAGGCAGGGGTGTGGGGACAGACAAGATGGCGCATCAGAGCCTCAGTGTCACACTGTCTAAATTTGGTCTACGCAAGATGATCAGGAACCCCAAGCAAGAGCAGGAAACCCCAGCTTCAGACCCCACACAGTGTCTGTGGAAACTTAAAACACACTCTTCCCATTAAACCTTCAGAGCAAATAGCGTCACCACAGTTCGTCACTATCAGATGCCATGATGGCAGGCTCACATCCTTTTCTGCACATGCACATGCACATGCACATGCACACGCACACGCACGAGGACTTTGGTCTCATCTCTCTGTACAAACCTGAGTTTAATAGCGTTGCGTCTGAGCTCAGCCTGAGCAGGCAACAGAGGGAAAGGCACACTAAAGAAGGTCCTGTTGATTTTGTTCAGCGCGGTATCCCAGGATCAGGATGGACTAGAACCTACTCTGGTTTGCCTGCCTCCCGAGGGACCCGGTTTGGGGTAACTTTGGGTTTGTAGTCACCGTGGAATACCCCAGGGTACCCTCCTTCTCACTTCTGTCTCTGTCCTGTCTCCCCATCAGGGATGGCGTGCGAAGCCCGGCCCTGGACCAGAGCGTGCCCTTTGCCTGCAGAGACAACCTCCAGAACGGGAGCACGAGCGACTCCTCCAGCGGGGAGTCCAGCAACGGGCAGTGGCCGAAGCGGGGCCCCTCCCCGTCCCACGTCCGCTTTGAGGATGAGTCCGCCCGCGACGCCGAGTCCCGCTACCTGGACCGGCTGCAGCAGCGCCAGTGCCCGGGGCTGAGCCCCACGCTGCAGATGGCAGACCAGGGCCCCCTGCTCTCCAAGCCCGAACTCGCCGACTACGTCGCCGCCGGGGGCTGCCGGCGCAGGGGTGCCGGGGAGGAGGCTCTGCACACGCTTGTGCGCCACCCGGACCGGAGGCCCTTCCCGGCGCCGCCGCCCCCACGGGGCAGTGAGAGGACGTGCGGAGCCTGGGGCAGCTGCATCGAGGACCAACGTCCGGACCCGGGGAAGGCAGCCCCGGACCCCAGGGTCCTCCAGGAACACGAGGTTGCCTCTGGGCTGGAGGGGGCGATGGCCGAGCCCCTGGGCTCTAGGGGCCTGAGCGCCCCCCTCAGGCTCCTCCCCGCGCAGCAGGGCCTCTGCGCAGAACGGATCCGCGAGACTCACAGCAGAGATCCTGCACGCCCCGAGGAGGGGGACTCCGCCCTGGACAGCACGGACACCTCGGACAGCTGCAGGACCGACAGCGAGGATGCGGGGGCCTCGCAGCCCGGCAGGGCCCGCGGCTCCAGGGCTCGCGGAGGCCACCGGTGGTTCCGGAAGGCTGAGACGGAGGGGGCGCACGGGAGCCTTCGGGCCCCGCACTCCCTGCCTGCGGCGGATCTCCTGGAGGTTTCAGATGAGGTGAAAGAAGTCCCAGGACACACGCCTGAGGCGACTCTGTTCCCCAGAGAAGACCCTATCTCCAAGCCTCCTGTGCAAGGACCAGAGATGGCTTCCCTGGGGCTCCCGGGGCAGCCGCGACCAGAACTGGGAAATGTCTGGGCTCGCCCTGTGGATTCCGGGGCTCTGTGCCCACCATCCTGCGCCGCGGCCTCGTTCACGAAGCAGGCATCCTCGGGGCCAGACAGGCAAGAGCCGGTGACAGAAAGCCACGAGTCTCTGAAAACTGCCTCCCTGCAGCAGAGCCATGAGGAGCCCTCTGCCCCACGCCAGGCCCAGCAACAGCCCGCTTCCCTTTCCCCAGAAGGCTGGGTGCCTACCCCTCCTCCCTCCAGGAGAACCACCTCACCTGGGTCCCACAGGAAAGCACCCCGCAGGCCCGGGGACCAGGGAAAGCCTGTGGACCCCCCAGCGCCCCCTTTGGGAAGTGTAGTTCTCAGGACCTGTGAGCTCCCCACCCCACAGGCCCAGCCCTGCCACCCCCAAGCCAGGCCCCCACTGCTGGCCCTCTCCACCAACAACTGCAAAAGCAGCGAACCTGGGGGGCTGCAGGAGCCCTGGGGGCGCTCCACCCTCAACGGCAGGGCGGAGAAGGGCGCCAGCCGCCAGGAGCCCGGGGCACCCCTGGAGAACAGCGGAGATGGTGAGAGACTGCCCTGGGCCTAGGGCAGCCCTAGAGCCGAGACCCCAGGCCAAGTCTGTGGCCTCACACGCCCTCCTCTTACCATTCATCTCTGTACATTGCAGAGCCATGCACTGTTCCTGGCAGCCCCTTGGGGCCCCCAGATCAATGGCAGGCATCAGGAAGCTGGCAGGGGCTGTGGGCTGGGTACAGGGTTCAACATCAGCCTGGAGGTGGGTTAGCCAACTCCTCCCCAGAGGCAGAGTCAGGAGGTGGCGCTGATGCCTCTGACTTCTGGGAACCCTGAGGGGCATATAGAAGCTCCAAGCTGCATGGTTGCTGGAGGCCTGGGCTGCCAAGGAGTTTTACCTTCCACAAAACAGGGAGAGGCCGAAGCTCCAGGATGTACTGTTCAATTAGAGTAGTAAATGCCCAAGTGCCCCTCCAACATCTTTATTTCACTATTCATTCCATTCTTTCATTCACTCAGTACTGACTGAGCGCCTGTTATATGCTAGGCACCACACGAGACACTGTGGGGAATGAATGCATCAGTGAATTAATTCAGCAGGAATCCTGCCCTTGAGACCTTCTTATAAGAGCGTCGCCTGTTGGTCACTACCTCCACAGACATGCTGTCCGGAGGACACAGTGACCAGCACGCAAAGCTCTCACCAGGGGTGCTGGGGTTGCTCTTTGGCGCACGAGCCCTCCCGGACTCCTGGCCCTGCTGGGCGGGCTGGTGTGTTTCCGCAGGCAAAGGACGTAGGATCTCACCCCTGCGCTTGGGCTGGGTCCTCATATTGCGGGCCAGTCCTGGGCTTCAGCAGCCTGAGTGCTGATCCTCGCTGTTGCAAATTGGGCGAGCAACTCAGCCGCTCACTTTTAGGCAGAGGAAGCAGGCCCACCCCACACGACCTGCTTTAATGAGCCCACAGCTCTGGCAGCCCTGGGGCTGGGCAGGCTCAGGGGGGACCCAGGGCTTGGAGACCGTGGGTAGGAGAGGGCAGACCGACCACAGGCCACGCCGAGCTCGCTGAGGATGTGGGCGCCAGGACTCTGCCAGCCCCGGTGTGCAGCCACCCCCTCCGCTGCACACAGACACGTTTTCCCTCGCTCTCCCTTGCTCACGTGAAGCTTCAGGAAGCAGGCCCCACTCTGAGCTCCCTCTGCTGTGTGAAGGTGTGGTTTCCTTCCCTGGTGGGCTCTAGGCTGGCCGCTGGCTGCCCCTAACCACTTCCTGGGGGGCTTCTATTCTGGGAGCTGCTGACTTTCTGGGCAGCCTGACCATCACCTCTTTGGGGCCTGGAGCAGAGGCCCAGGTGAGGCTCCTCTTCTCATGGGCCAGGAGGACCCGGGCTTGTTATTTAACCTTCTGCCCTCCAGGCTCCTTCACTGTCACCTGAGGGTAATAATAGAACTTGTCTCCTAGGAATCCGTGCAATAATCTCTGGGGAGGGTTTAATTCATTGCCTAGCCCATCACAAATGTGCCAGGAATACAAAGATTCCCCCTGCTCCCAACTATGTCTCTTGATATAAGAGGGGCATGACTTGCCAGAAGCAGCCCCTTCATTTAGCATTTAATTAATCATCTGGGTACCAAGGGCTGTGCCTGGGGTGATGGAGTAAGAGCAGTAAATAAGGTTCTGTCCCCGTTTCAGGGGCTTCACCACATCTCCACCACTCTCGGGCGCATCTCCAGCTTCCTCTGGCTCTCCTGCCTCCGGCTTGGGAATGTCCCCTCCCCTGTGGGGTTGGGTTAGGGACACCGGAGGGGTGCTGTAGTTGTTGCAGGAGGGCTCCAGTACTTTTCTCGCCTCTGCAGGTGTTAGCACCATCAGCTCCATGGGTGTCACCTTCTCCCTGGCCTTAGAGGAGCCAGAGTCCAGCCAGGAACCAGAGGGAAGCCTGCAGGGAACAGAGTTAAATTCCGAAGGCCATGTGTCATCCCGGTGAGTGACAGGAGCAAGAATGAGCCCTGACCATAGGAGGTGAGGGACCGGGGGTGCATAAGAAGATCCCCTCTGGAGTGGCAGCACGACTCACCTCGTTCCCCAGCCCTCGAAGGTTCCCAGGTTTACGCCCAAGGGCCCCTCTCCCTGTCGTTTCCCGCCTACTATACTTGATTATTCATTCACGGAACAGTCATCGAATGGCCTTAGGTCCAGGTGCTGTGCGGGGCCCGGCTGGCCAGCCAGTCCCAGCCCTCAAGGTGCCCCAGGACGGGGCAGTCTGCCTGAGAGGACTTGCCCCTGGCTCTGGGCTTGGAGACAACCAGGTGCCGAGGAACCAGCCCGGCATTCACATTTCCATTCTTTCTATAGCGGGATGTCTCCAGTCCTTGCTCTGGGGCCTCAAAATCTTGGCGAGCCAATCCTCTAACCAGGGCCTTCTCTTCTCTGCTGTGCACTATTCCTGGTGACATGTGACCCAGGGTTTCACATGCCCCTGAAAGCCAAGTCTCCACCTCTACCCCCGTGTGCTCCCAGAACCCTGGACCTGCGCATCCGGTTTCCCCAATGTGTCCACTTGGGTGTCTGAGAGCCCAGCTCAACTCTCTACCAGTCCGGCAAAGCTGCTTCCCCCGGGGGCCGCCCGCCCCACAGGGCTCGCTCCCCGGGTCTGGGTGTCCTCTTGGCTGCTCCTCTTCCTCCTCTCCGACTCCAAACCCCTGGCCGGCCCTCTGCAGCTCCAGATCCACCCAGATGGCATTTCTCCTGGGCTAAGCTGCCTTACTTCTTTCTGCGCAACTCAGAGAGCCCTGCTGCTCTCTGCCGTCCCTCATGCCCCTCCAGGCCCTTCTGCACACGATAGTCAAAGGCATCTTTTGAAAACTTTCATTAAATGATGTCATTTCTCCTACTGAAAACCCTTCGTGGTTTTCCCTTTCACTTGGCATAGAATTCAGACCTCTTACCTTGATTTGTGTGCTCAGTGCCATCTGGCCCCAGCCTGCCTGCCTGACCTCACCTGGTGCCTCTTCCCCGTGCTCCACTGTCTGAGTCCTGACCCCCAACTCCACTCTGTTCTTGCCGCCCCAGCCCTCCCTGCCCTGGAGCCGTGTTGCCAGCTCTTTCTTCTCCTGGGAACTCTTACCTCTGCGCTCGCTCCGGGACTGACTTCTTCTTGCCCTTCAAGTGTCAGCTTAAATATCACCTCCTCAGAGAGGCTTCCCTAGCCACCCTGTCACTCTCTGCTTCCCCCTGCCCTGCAGTCGCTGATGGTTTCTCTCCTTTGTTTCCTAGCCTGCTGTTTATAAGCGCCTGAGAGTAAGGACTTTGTCTATCTGCTACCACTTACCCAGGTCATTTGCCACATGTCCCAGTGCCTAGGAGAGGCCTACAAGTAGTGAATGAGCGAGTGAACGAATGAATGATTGGGTGAACCCACAGCTGAGTGTGACACCAAGGGTCTTTTCTGAGTGGTTCTCCCTAAGAGCTGCCTAAGCAGGGGACCCGCAGAAGTCCACTTGGGCTTTCCCTCTGCAGCCTGGCTGTCTCTTCCTCCACGAGGCACTGTGCTGGCCACCCCCCCGGGGCCCACAGGACCCTAAGGCGCAGTCTGCCCTCGCCTGCCCCAGCCTTCTCTCCCGCCCCTCATGTCCACCCTTGCATTTCAGAGCACTGCCAGGGGTCAGTGCAGGACCTGACCTGCCCTCCGCTGCCCCTCCTGACAGGAACAAGAAAACCAGCAGCAGCATCACCACCCTGGGGCTGAAAAAGTTCTTCTTGGCCCTGGGCCAGGGCTCACGGCCCAGGCTGGGCAAGTCCCGCAGCTACAGCGTGGAGCAGCTGCAGCCCCCTGCGCCTGGCCCGGCGTCACACACCAGCACCCCCAAAGTGAAGAGAGCCCCATCGTTACAATCCCTGCATCTGGTGAGTCCCAAAGGCCCAGCCAAAGGCTGCATGAGGCCAGTGGTGGACCAGCCACCATTGGAATGCAAGGTGGAAGGAGCGATGCTGTGCGGAGGAGGCAGCACAAGGAGGCCAAGAGGGACAGGGGAGGCTCCTGGCCCCCCACAGCTGATCACAGTGGGGGTAGCAGCATCCCCGACTTCCACACCCCCTCGATTTCCCCCTGCCGCCCGCCGCAGCTCTCTGGCCTGGGCTCATACTAGTCTCCTCTCTCCCCGTCCCTTAACTCTGCCACCTCTGCCAAGACCTGGAGTCTACTACCGGGTGGTTCTCAAACCTTCTTCATGGCCACAGTGACTCTTAGTCTAGCACAAATCACTTCACACCTGGACTACCTCCAGACCTTCTGAGTGGCTTCCGGAGTGGTCCTTCTAATGTGCCAACCTGGCCTTGCCCCTCCCTTGCCTGGCTTTGGCCATTGGTCCCTTATCACCCTCAGGATAAAGTTCAGATCAGGTGACATTGTCGAAGGGTTTCTGTGATCTGACTGCTTTCATCTCTCATCACTCCTTCTAACAGTCAATCGTAGTTGTCCTTCACCTTGAAGTTCTGTAATGAAGGCTGCACACTAACTTTGAATCTTCATCGGAAATGTTTCTCCCACCTTCTCTGCCTGCTAATGTCTGCTCCTCTGTGGACACTTCATTCATTTCCTCCTCCAGGAGGCCACTTCCTACCCTGCCCTGGGCTGAGCTGGGGGCAGTGGGCGTGGGGTGGGCGCCCTCTGCTCTGTGTTCCCATCTCATCCTGGGCTTACCTTCTCGGTGGAATTTGCACATAGTATTTTAATTGATTTTTGTCTATCTCGTCTCACTGGAGTGTGACTTTTTTGAAGGAACACCCCTTGATCTTTATATTCCCAATATTTAGTACAATAGTAAGTACAGTAGACATAATGCACAGTGAGTGAGTGAGTGAGTGAGTGAGAGGACCAGGGCAGCCCCCTGAGCTCTCCCTCCCTGCGTGCTGGAGGATAAACCAGCAGCAGCTCACTGACTCGCAGCTAGGTTTCTAAAAACCCTGTACTGTTCCAGGTGTTTCTAGGTGTTATATTTGTTCTTCCAGGCTTGCTCCCCTCCCTGGGCAGAAGGAAGCTGGTGACTGTGATTTGGAGTATCGGAGCCTTTCATTTTCAGGCTGAATGAATCTTCCATTTTGGTCTAGCACCAGGAACACTATGTGGTCAGAGCTCAATAAGGATTTGCTGGATGGCCCTGACCTAGTGGCTCACTTGGTTGGAGCGTCATCCCGTTAACCAAAAGGTCACAGGTTCAATTCCCAGTCAGGGCACATACCTAGATTCCAGGTTCAGTCCCCAGTTGGAGCACATATGGGAGGCAACTGATTGATGTTTCTCCCTCACATCAATGTTTCTCTCTCTCTCAAATCAATAAACATATCCTCGAATGAGGATTTAAAAAAAGAAAAAGTATTTGTTGGATGAATGAATGGAAAACAAAGAAACAGAAGCAAAGTAGCCATACGCTGGGAAGAGGAGCCCAGAGTAACACCTCGCTCCAGGATTCCCTTTCCCCAGAAAGTAACATTTGTCCACTGTGTACCTGAGCCAGGTGCCTGGCATGTTGCTGTCAGAGCCCTGGTCCCTGTGAACCCCTCAAGGGAAGCGACAGCAGTGTTAGTATAGTAGAGGCATTGTTGGCAACGTAAGCCGAGTGGGTGAGAATAGAAAGTAAGCTGGTGGGAAAGGTGGCAATGAGCACAGGGCGGGCTGAACAGTAGAAATAAGTATTCAAGAACGGAAAAAGAAGATGAAAGAAGAATCCATCTTACCCCGAAATATTCGTGACATAACTCTGGGTGAATGACTTCCTGTTAGGCTGTTGTGCCGCCTGGTGTGTGGGGTGAGAGGGTGGGCGGATGCTGCCACAGCTTGTTTTCCACTGTGCCCTCCTGAGTGGGCGGCAGCCCTGTTCTCACACCCGACGGCGCTGGCTGCTCCCACGTCCTCCGCTGGCTGCGGCTTTTTACCTTTGAGCGTCTAAAAGGCTCTCCTCCCTGGGGAACTCCTGCCTGGCCTTCAGGTCTGAGTTAAACATGACTTCGCCCAGGTACCCTTCTCAGACTCTGACACAAACCAGCAACCCCCTCCCCCTGCCCACTTGTTTCTTTATAATAAGTCTTATTTCTCTAGAGCATGGATTCCAAGTGCAACAAATGTCTGTAATATTTGTTTGAAAGCCTGCCTCTCCCTGCTTCTGTAGATCTCTACCGTTCCCACCCCCACCTTCAGGATAGCCTCCCCATTGGGTCAGTTTCTAGAACCAGATCAGATCTTGTAACTCCTCTGATGAACATCACTCAGGGCTCCTGAGCAGGCCATATACAGTCCTCCAGGGCTGGCCCCACGCTCCAGCCCATCTCCTACCACCTCTGCAGCCTAGCCACCCAGGCCACGAGCATGATCCCGAACCTCCCTGGCTTTCTCTCATCTCTCTGTGTCTTTGCATCTGCTATTTATTCTGCCTGGAGCACCCTACCTCTGACTTCACCTGGAGAGTTTGTGCTTCAAGCCTCACTTGAGGGTCAGCTCCTGCCTCGGAGTCTCTTCCTGCTTCCCTGTACATCGTCCGCGCCTTCAGCTGAGTACTTACAACTGCACTTAGGGCTTCTACCTTATCTGCTGCTCCCCCGCACCCCCCAAGGGAACTCCTCCAGGGACCTGTCTTTTCCATCTTTTTATTCACAATGGTTTAAGGTGCACACTTAGATAAAAAATTTTGAATGTAACGAATCATAAAAGGGATACTAAAGATTCACAAAACAATATCTAAGATTTTAACTCTAAAATTGTGTTTCTTATTCTATAATTAATTTGCTTTAACTTTTTTCTTACCAAGAAAATCAGATTTTCTTAAGTGAGATAGTGTTACCATACTAAGTTGTTATTTCAGAAAAAACGAAAAACGAAACGAAAACTTGAAGCTTCAGATCGCCTGTGTAGGTCCAACTACTTGAGTAAATTATGAGGATGCCTGTTGAGCACTTTGAAGTAATGACAAAAACTGCCGAGATACTTTGAGAGAGAGTCCTCAGGTTCATGGTTGGGGTCAAGTCTGTCAACCCCTTGCCAGGTTGACCTGCAATATTGGATCTTTACCACTAGGTGTCACCCTCTCACCAACATCGGAAAGCTGCCTCCTTTCAGAACCTCCATTCTCTGCTGAGTGGCAAGGTGGACAGGTCCAGCCTGTACCTGGTCGGGGAACCCGGGGACCACAGTGAATCCGGCAGGTAAGAGTGAGTGAGTGGGCAAGTGGTTTGGAGGGCAAACTCAGAATGGACAGTGGAGCCATGAGCTGAACTCCTTGCCTCAGCAGCATGGCCCCGAATGGGATCCCATTAGGAGAAAGGGAGGCCACCTCTTGGAGTCTCTGGTGTCACCCAAGTCTTGGAGGCCACACCCCATTGCTCATGCCTATGCGACTGAGCTCTACAGTGTGCGTTGCTGGAAGGGGTGCAGTTGGATGGTTTGATTCCTGCATCTCTCTGCTGCCTGATGACATCTTGAAATCAGAATGTTCAGAGAGCTAAAGAACAAATTAAAGATCCAGAGACAGGGATCCCAAAAGAGGCTCTTGACCTGTGACCCTGCCTGCAGAAGTCCCACCCTCTCTGATGAGACCTTCTAGTTTAGCTGTTCTCCCCTGGAGCTCCATGGAGGGACTTCAGGGTATCCCTTAACTCCTGGAAATTTTATATAAAATTGTGCCTTCCTCAGGTTCTCAGAGACGTCTCTGCACCTAGAAAGATGAAAAACTATTGCTCTTGAGCCGGAGGCCCCCTGTTTCAGCAGCAGGCTCTGAGCAGCTTCAGGCGGCTGGGGAACATGCCAGGCTCATCCCTGGCAAGCTATTTAGCTGGCGCCCCAGCCTTCCTCGTCCTGAAGCCAACAAGGGGCTGCAGCCCAGTGCCGCCCTCTTTGCCCTCACTCTGTCTCCGGTCCCCTTGCAGGTTAGCCAAGCCCCCGCCCCGGCGCGCGCTCAGCGTGGAGGACGTGAGTGCCCCCAGCCTGGCCCGCACAGTGGGCCGCGTGGTGGAGGTGTTCCCGGATGGCACAAGCCAACTGCAGCTACAGCGCTCCCCAGGGGGCACTTTTGGCTTCTGTGTGGCCTCTGGGAACGGGCGCCGGGACTCAGGTATGCTCCTGGCGCTTTCTGGGCTCCACAGCCTGGGGACTTTAGCAAGCCACATGGTGGCTTTTGGCTGTGGTCCGAGGCTTTCTTCTGCTCTTTCACCGAGCCATGGAGCTCTGGGCTCAGAGAGCCTCTTATTGAAACGGCTAGAGTTCTCCCCACAGGAGATCTTTCTGAAGAGGCAAGGTCTGGGGCTGCAGGAGGGAGTAGCTCTTGGCAGGCTTGACCCCATTGTCCCTCTGCTGTCTGCTGACATTCTTGAAATCAGAATCTCAAAGGCCAATTTTTCACTGGGGAGTGAGAGGGAGATTGTTTGTGCTTGCTGGCGCTGAGAGGCGGTCCCTCTGATGTGGCTGAGGTGTTTAAATGGTTCCCTCCTCCAGCTGCAGAGTGTGTCTGGGCACGTGGAATGTGCCTGCCTGTCTGTGTGTCCCAGCCCCTCCCTCGGGGCTGGCTCCTGAGGGTGGTGTTCCCATGCATGCTGGCTCCCAGACCCTGGGCGAGTCAGAGGGGGCATTCAGTGGTGTCAGAAAGAGAATGTGTCTGGGGAGCAGAACTCCAGACGGGGACCTGCATGATCTGCATCATCTGCCAGTGTGAGATCATACACAACCGGGCATGTACTCTGCCCCCATCCTCCTCAGAAGTCCCTTCAGGCCCCCTTGCAGGGAGTGGGTGCCCCTCCCCCATCGCCCGTCGGGGAATTCTGATGGGCAGGGATCTGCGATTGCACAGGGCTCCATGGGCTCTGCCCTGGCCTGCTGCCCAGGCACAGCTCACCTGGGTTGGTGAGAGCTCTTCCTTGTCCTGCGCAGAGGTGTCCTGCCCCTTCGGCTGCAGCTGGCTGTTGGACGTCACAGAGATCCCCGTGCATGCAGAACAGGGCTGGTAGGGTGCCTCCTTGCCTCGGGCCATCCTCCAGCAGCCAGGAACCCCTAGCCTGGGTCTCCGAGGGACGCTGCGCTGGGCTTGGTTCGCGTTCCTCACTGAAATGCCAGGAAGCTGGTGCTAACCTGCTGCCCATCACATCCGACTGTACACCAGCACACGGGTGCAGCAGGCTTGCCTTCTGCTCCTAGTACAACATAGATCATACGTCCCGAACAGAGGCCATGTCCAGCAGACTCAAATGCCTACCAAAGCAGTCTCTCTGTCATATTTTTTCATGACTTTGAGTTGTGAAACCAACTCCAGAGTCTCTCCAAAGTGGCTGGCATGACATCAGTGTCTGGTCTGGCTCTGGCTGCATTCTTTTGGGTTTTCTCATCACTCCCCACCTCACGTCCTGCTGTGCAGCAGCCATTTCTGTGGGCTCCACCCCTCCCCTCCTTACCTCCCTTTTTCCAACATGCGGACGGTCAGACAAGCAGTTCAGACACCAGACGGAAGAGGTGAAAGGCAGGGCGAGGGCTGTGAGAGAAGCTGTGCAGCGGAGAAGGCAGCTGTCCCTCGCTGAGCGGGGAAGGCTCGGGGTGGCTGGGAAGCACCGAGAGGGAGTTCCGCAGCTCCGACCAGGGACAGGGGACGTGTCCGAAGATTGGATTTGCTAAGCTACAAACCTTCGCGTGCCTTGGAGATTTCAATGCACATTCAAACCCAGGTGTCAGAGGATGGACTCTGAACAGCTTGACTGTCAGAAGCTGGGCTGGGGGCACCAGAGACATGGCTCCCCACTGGTCCCAGATGTGTCAAATGGCTTCACATCAGATATTGAGGAACGGGACAAGATGCCCTTTTGAGTGAGTGCCTTCTAAGGAAGCCAATTCTAGGAAAAGGGAATGGGGGAGTAATGCGCATGCACACACACATGCACACGGCATTCAGTGTGGACGGAGCCAGCCAGCCCAGCCGGCTGGGGAGCGGGGGCGGGGGGGCTGTTGAGGCGGCACTAAGCCACCCCTGTGAAATCTGCAGGTGTTGTCAGCCACACAAGGTCTGCCCCTGCTGTCCTCCAGCAACCTGGGCTGGGGCTCTCAGACACCTGTGTTAGCTCATCTTTCCCTGGAAGAGCCTGCAACTCTAATCTCCCGGGGGGAGGCAGCTGAGGGGGGTTGAAAGGCTTTGAGCAGGAGTTGCAGTGAGAGGGCCTCCCCCCACCAGACTCTCCTGCAGTGTGTGGCCAGGGGAGGCCGGGGACACCCGGCCTAATCAGCCCTGAGGCCCCACGTCGGACCCGGGACAGGAGGGGAAGTGGGTTCTCCCCAGACTCAGGCTGCACTTGAGAGACTCGGAATGGATGGTCATACTGGCCGGGCAGGGCCCCTTGGGAGTGGTGGCGGGGAAGAGTGTGCATGAAGAAGGGAAAAGCGAGACACCATGGCTTTAAATATGGGGGTAAGATTTTTCTGTTCCTGGGCTTTTACCCAGAGAACTCCAAACTCCAAACGGGGAACAATATCCAAGGAAGACGGAGGCCAGAGCCTGCCCTAGGCAACACCATGAAGCAAACCAGGGTTGGATGGGACCTCAGCTACTTGAGCGGTGCCTTCCCCCTACCCCCACCCCAGCGACTGGAGGGCAGCAGTGAATCTTGTTTGTGAGGTCCACCCAGCACAGTGCCGGGCATGCCGTCAGTTGGTTTCTTAATTTTTAAACATTATTTTCCTCCCTATTTTACAGTTAAAGCTCATCTCAGGAAAAGCTAAGATTAGCTCATTCACACTGGGGTACATAGGAAAAATTATAGCTGAGAGCACCATTTGCACTGGGGGCATTTAAAATAAGAGGTGGAGATATGAAGTGACACCATGGAGGCGGGCACATAGTCTCTCTGTAGAAAGCCAGTTGCGGTTCTGAGCAGGAGTAATGCGGGTGTGTGTGCATGTGAGCGCAGAAGTGCCCTGTATGAGCACCTGCCCGCGCCCTCCACCCCCAGCCCCACGAACAGCACCCCCAGTCAGCATGCCAGAGAGGCGTGTCTCTAATCCCGCTTGCTAAAGTCTTCTGTTTTCCTCTGCAGGCTTCTACGTGCAGGAGATGGCTGACGCGAGCACGGCCAAGCTGTACTCGGGGCTGCTGGGGGTGGGGGATGAGATCCTCGAGGTGAACGGAGCCAAGGTTGCAGGGCTGGGACTGGCTCACGTTAAGGAGCTCCTGGCCCATGCAGAGAACTTGTCGCTCCGTGTGCTGAGGCAGAGGCCAGTCCCACGATGACCCAGAGGTGTGGGTCCCCATTGTTGCCGCCTTGGAAGCCATGAATAGCTCAGGGGGGGATGACCGGAACGTACTGCACAAAGCTGCTCGGGAGCGTAAGGTGGCATGGAGTGCCTGGGGCTGTGGCCAGGCGCCTGTGATGGACCACCCTAGGGAAAGGGGAGGAGCCTATTTGTTTATTTTGTTTAAGGATATAACTTACGCAAACCAAGGAAAAGAAAAGATGGGTGTCCATACCCCAGGTGGTGTCAGCAGCTTCCTGCCCCGTTGTTGGCAGGGGAAGGAGAGAGTTTCATTAGGTGGTTCTGGTGGGTCCCTGACCGTCACCTCACCTCCAGGTCCACCCTACTCCTTGGCAGGGGTCCCTGTGTCTCCCCCACTCCGGAACCAAAGGAAGTGCTGGGCCACATTGGCCTGGAACCTGCCTTTTTCAGTCTTGTTCCTCCCAGCTCCCATGCCACGCCTTTGCTCTTTTTCCAGAAATGGGTGAAGTGTCCCAGAGAAACAGCCTTGCAGCCATTGACCACTCATTCCAAACCAAACATTGGAGTGTGTGGTCTGGTGTGAGAACATCTGGGAGATGTCATCTAGTCACTGGAACACCAAGAATTTTTTGTGATACATAAGGTTGAAGGGGGAAAAAATGAAACAGAGACAACTTCGGGGAACTGCAGCTATGGCTAGTGAGATGGGCCAGAGCAGCTCCGTCCCTGCGGCCCTGCCCTCCGCCTCCACCCAGATCGAGGCTGCAGCTGCCGGAGCGTGGCCGGGAAGTCCTCTTCCTTCTTCTGTTGAGTTTGGACCCTGGGTGCAGCTAGTGCCAGGCTGTCCCCAGCCACAAGCTCTCTGCCCAGACTCCCTGACAGCTGCTGTGGATAGGCCAACAGGCCAGGGGGATGGGCTGTCCCACCTGGTCGCTTCCCCTCTCTAGGCCCAAACACTGTCTAAAGGGTTGGGACTCTGGGAATGGATGGCCATGTGTCAGTTATAATTTATTAAAAAGCAAAGCTGAAGCTTCTCCTGTCCTGAGTTGTATATATTTTGGTCTGGATGCTCACTTGCCTACTTACCTTCACTAGCCATAGGCAGGGGCCTGCAGTCGGGGTGGGAGAGGGAAGCCAAAGGCGCAGCAGTGGGCTGTGCTGGGCATGCCTGAGGGGAAGGCTGGGGTGGCACCCGGGGTTGGGGTGACAGGGTAGATGTGAAGCCTCCAGAGACGGTCCTTGGGCTGGGAGAGGAGCCCTGGGCACGGTGTGTTTATGAGCAGGAGGTGGAATGAAGCTAATAAACTTAAAAAAAAAAAAAAAAAAAAAGTAGGGCCTTGATTTGGTGCAACTGGAGGGTGAAGTGGGCAGCTCAGGGCTGTTTGAGAACATGGCCGGGTACAGGCTGTGGTTAAAAACAAACACAGCCTTCAGCAGAACCAGATTACAATGAGTGTTAAGCAGCTTTCAGGGAACAAAGTTGCTGAAGGAGGAACTCGGCCTCAGGGAAGGGTAATGAGGGGATGGGACAGCAATCCTGTGGAGGGAGAGTGTTCTCCCATTCTAAGGTATTATCCACAGGAGCCAGCGAAGTCCCCTTTTTACTGCCCCTGGAGGCTAGGGGGAGCGAGTGGGGGGCAGCTCCCAGAGGCCCACAGCATGGCACAGGATGGGGGGCTGGACAGACCTGGGCTGGGAGACGAAGGAATAATGGGAGGGCTGTAGCAGTGAGCAGAGGGGCCAAGGGAACAAATACTTGGGTCTTTAGAGTGTGAAGAGGGCACTGGACACTTCACAGACCAACCTGGGGTCTCCAAAGTGTAGAAATGAACCCATAGCAGGAACCCATAGGCATGGGGAAACTCTGGTGACTCCTGTACCCCAATTCCTAGCCTTGAGATGTTGATTCGGGAAGATGTCTACCTTCCAAAAAGGACTCCTTGCCATTAGCAGGACCCAAATTCATAATCAGAGCCTGGCAGCCATTGTTTACAGAGACCCTTAGTGCACATTGTATAGCCAGAAAGCCACATACTGAGATGCCAAGCCTCCTGCATTGTGTTCTTGCACCCTGAGCCACGCCTTATAAAGGTGTTTCTGGGATCATATTTCAACCAATGGGCTGAGACCTGATCCACCCACTCAGAACCGCACAGCTGTAGCCGTAGTTGCCTCTCTACTGACCAATCAGAGCAGCTCCATAACAACCAATCAGAACACATGATTTTGACCAATCAGAATAGTGCTATTTGAACCACTCAGGCTGTGCAAACTTGGATTCCTCATTTGCATAGAAATGGGCCAATCAGAGACTGGGGCAGGACTTTTCTTTAAAAGACGGCCTCCCGTTTCTCTCAGCAGACCTACTCTTTGGGTCTTGGTGGGGCTACCCGTTTTTCTGGGTTGCAAGCTGTTGGCTGTAGGAAGCTTTTCCTCTTTCCAAGAGGAAACTCCTGTCCACCTTAGGTTGGTAGTAGCCAACTTTTGTTGGCAGAGGTCACAAAAGGTTGAAAAAGTTTTGTGCTGAACAAGCTTCTAAGGGAAAAAGGCGTCTCTGTTCCCTTTGTCAGGTAAAGACATCTTGCCTGCCCAGCCCCAGCGGGGAAGGAAGGGAAATGAGGGCGCCGGGGTTAGGACAGGGCGGGGAAAGTTCTCGAAGGACTTCTGAGCATTCTGCACCTGTTACCTCCCAGGTGCGGGGCAGGACCTTGACCCAACATCTTACTTTGTCCTTAAAGTAGTCCCGCCGGAGAGGTCCTGTTTATTGTTTCCATTTCTGCAGGTGGAGAACCAAGCTCAGCAACAGTAACAGGGCGTTCACACCTAGCCCCTTGGACTCAGGGCCCACTCTCCCAACTACCGCCCCAGCCCCGCCCCCGGTCCCGCTCTGGTTCCAGGAAAGCCTTGTTAGAAGGCGCGGGGGACGTGGGGGTGGGGGAGATGCTCCAGACTTTGCGAAGTAGACCTGCCTCGCTCAGTGTCAATGAGGCAGAGGCCTGATTTCTTTGGGGTAAAGCAATGCCAGGTCCCCCCTGTCTTGTGTGGGTGGGAGGGGACTTTGGCTCCCCCAGATGTCTTTCTGAAGTTCCCCGTTTTTGCTGCCCAGGGTCCAGCCCTGTATCCCCCGTGGGACCATCAGAACCCGCCGTTAGAACTAGGAGCCGGGCCACGTGCCAGGCAGGAGCTGAGGCTGGTGAGAAAGACGGGCCCTCCCTCCGGCGGCGAGAACCTGGGAGAGACGCGCAACCGTTACCACGAGGCCAGGTGGGCGCAGCAGGAGAAGCAGGCACCTGGTGCGCGCCGGGTAAGGAGCCTGGGAGGGGTCTGGGGTCAGCGGTCAGCCGGGGCGGGAGGCTTACGAGGAGGTGCGCCGACACTGGGTTTTGTAAAATGGGTGGGAACTCACAAGACGGGAAAGAGAAAGGACAACGTCCGGGCACAGAAAATGAATGTCGTGGGCAAAGGTGTGGCTGTTTCCTGTGTCTCACCTATGCTCCCCACCCCCATCCTGCGGCAGTTTAATGTGTCCAGACCTCAATTCACGCGAGGCACAGGAAGTGGCACAAATTTTGGTTTCATTCAAGTCAATAGCCTTAGGGTGACAGGGGTGGGGGCAAGTTCAGAAGCCAGGCGGTCCTGAGCAGGCCGCGCCCCCGCGACGCCTGTTTCAGCTTGTCTTCAGGGCCTCCCTCCTCCGCAGGCGCGGCCGGCTCCAGGTGCCGGGCTGCGGCGGGCGGGGGCGGCGAGGCAGGGAATGCCGGGGGCCAGTTACTGTGCGCGGCTCCCGCTCTGCGCCCGCTCCAGTAGCCCGTGTCCTTCACGAGGGGCGACTTGGCTCCGATGCCGGCGGGGCTCTGCGCTGGCCGCGCCAGCCCAGCCACGGGGATGTGCCGGCCTCGCCGGCGTTCAGCCTTGGTCGCGCCCGCCCTCGCCTCCGCGGGGGCGGGGATGGGCCCCGGGTGCCCTGTCCGCCGGCGGCGGCAGTTCAGAGGGGCGCGCGCTCTGGTCGAGCCGCAGCCTGCCCGGAGCCTGAAGTCCTGGGCCTGGGTTCTTGGGGGGTGGGCCAAGGTTTACACACCTCCACCCACTACACGCAAGACCCTTTGCTCGGCAAGGGAGCCTGGGATGAAGACATCCTAACTTGGCCCTCGAGAATCTCAGGGGGCGGGAGGGCCAGGGGGGCACAAAGGGACAGACCCTGGGAACTTAACGGTGACCCAGTCTCGCTAAAAGTCGATGACAAAGGCGGCGGCAGCCGGGAGAGGAGTCCTAGCTGGACAGAGGTGTGGGAGGGGAAGCTGGGGACCCACCCACGTGTCGGGGAGCAGGGATCGGGACCCAGTGCGAGCGGCATCCCGAGGTTTCACGCGTGAAGGAGGAACTGCAGGCGCGGCTTGAATTTGGGAAGTCAAGTTTAACCTGGGAATGGAGGCACGTGTAGTCGCAGCGCTGTCTGCTCCACAGATAGTGCAGAGCTCTGATGGGGGCTCTGAGGGGCCTGACTCTTTGGGGCAGTTCTGTGAGGGGGGGACCACGTCTCTCCGGGTTACAAACGAGGAGCTAGAGACTCAGAGGTTAAGTAGCTTACCCAAGGTCACACAGCAAATCATTAGCAGAGGCAGGACTTGAACCCGCCTTCTAACTCCCAGCCTGAGTCCATCTGCTCTTTTGGGACCCTGTGGGGTTCACTTCACCCAGAGGCCCTTGGGCACCCCCACCCCTTGCTGCTGACCTTTGCCAGGGGCTTTGCTTCATTTTTCCTCAGGGAAATGGGGTTGGCATTCCCACCTGCCTGCAGGGAAAGGGTGCGGGGAGGAAGAAGCGCGAGCAGCTCACTTTCTAGAGTGTTTCTAAACTGTAGGCATAACCCACTTGTGGGTCACGTGAGCTGTCTTGTGTGGGCCAAGAGCAGCATTTAAAAAAACAAAACAAAACAAAACAGTGCCTCCCACAAGCTAAGAGCAGGCAGTGGTTTGGGAAACGCTTCTCTCAGGTGTGTCCTGAGTTGTAATTTGGTGTTGCTAATGGCCCTGCTCTGGAGAGCAGCAAAGAACTAGCCCGGGGGCCTGAGGGGGTGGAGTGGGGGTGGGAGGGGAGCCTGGCCCCTCCATCCTGCCTGTGGGTCTGAGGGGTGTGAGCTGCCTGCTGGGGGCTCCAAAACCTTCCCAGACCTGGTGGCTGGTCAGAGTGTCTGGCCCTGGGAAAGAGGCATCCTTGACCTTACATCCCTGTTGCCAAGGGGAAGCCCCTACCCCTCGGTGGAGTGAAATGTGACTGGACTTCCTGGTTCTCCCAGCTGGCCCCCAGGCAGCAGGATTCCCATGTGAGAATTTATTTATTGTCCAGAGCGTGGGTGGTTGGTTCCCTGATGCGGGCATGCCCCTCCTCCACACATTTAGCACTTCTCCATTTGCTTAGCTTATTCTGTGCCTTTGCTGGAATGCCATTCCCTTTGTCCCCCCATGGACCCCCTGGCAGCCTTCAAAAACACTAGAGGCATCTGCCCTAGGAAGCATTCTCTGACACCTTCGTGCTGACTTTGGCTCCTCCTCCTAATTCCTATAGAATCTGGTACCGAGGGCTCTTTGCTGTGGTTCTTCTAACATAAAATTACTGTTTCATCCTGCACCAAACTTACCTGGTAACAACTAGACCTCCCTGGTCCATCTGCCCAATCCATTTCCCACCCAAATCCCCAGGCTGTTCTGGGCTATTCAAAAGGCCCTGCTGTCATTAGACCCCCCCTCTGCCCCATCCCCTCCCTGCACCAACCTCTGAGCCTCAGCGAAGTTTCCATCTTCCTTACAGAACCAGGGCACCTGCTTAGAAAGTGGCAGCAGCCTGCCTTGGCAAGAAGCTGTGCCCAGCTCTCTCAGGCTGTGGATTTGACCAGGTCGGAGTGCTGGGCCCAGAGGAGCGGGCTGCCAGGATTGGCTCTGATATCTGCCCTCTGAGCCAGACCTTAACAGCTGCCCTGCCAGGCCTGGAGGGTATCCGGGGCTGTCCTACGGATGCCAGGCTGCCTGCCGGGCCCGCCTTTGTCTTCTCCTTCTGCAGTCTGGGCTCAGGCCCCAACTCACAGCATGGAGCTGCCCTTAGGGGCCTGGCCTGGTGCCGGGCACTAGGGGGAGGCCTGTCCTGCCCTTGGGCAGCCCACAGCCCCAGGTGGAGACAGCTACAGCTGTGGAAGGGGACAAACCAGTGTGCCAAGGGCTGCAATGGAAGCCCCACACAGGAGGTCCCACACCACCTGGTGAGCAGAAAGTCTCCCCGGAAGAGCCAGCCCGGGTGCAGCGGCCTCTGTCTAGCTCTGGGGTTATCTCAGAGCAAGGGATTCAGAGGCCTGGGAGCTCACAGCTGCCTGCTTTGTGAGCGGATCTGCCGCTTTGACTCATCTTGGGCAACTCAAACTGTCTCCAGGCTCTTCTGAGTTCATGCAATGAGTTTGACACACTTTTTCTACACGTTTACAGCCTAATAAACAAAAGCCCCAAAATACAGGATTGGGCAAAAGTAGGTTTACAGTTGTACTGTGACATTCTTTTGAGTTAATAAACCCATTGTAATAATCATAACCTGTGTTGTTTTTTTCCCCATACAAACAATTGTAAACCTACTTTTGCACAACCCTGTGTTTTATCATCAAGACTGACCAGCCTGAGATCCCTGACCAGATTTCTTGAGCTCCACTCTGGGCTTATATGGTTTGAGACATGGTTTGTTCCATGGCCAGTGGGCGTTCATGCTATATCTCAGGCACTGCTGGAGCTCAGTGCTTTAATCCGCCCGGGACTTGAACCACAGCTCTTTTGATCCCTCATCCTCTCCTTAGCTTTCCTCCACCATTTATCTGGTTAGAAAGGCAGCTCAGTGAAACATCTGCTTGCCACCACTGAAATCTGAATGATGTTTTTTCTTCTTTTAAGGGGTGCAGTGTAATGGTCCAATCAGACCTGGGTTCCAATTCTACCACTTACTAGTTGTATCCTTTGGCAAATTTCTTAATTGCTCCATGCCGCCATCTTTGGGTACAAAATGGGCCCCAGGGGACTGTGAGAAATAAACCCAGTGTTTTGCTCCCTGTTAGGTCCCCAGTGCCTTGGTCAAAGACCTTCCGGCACATCAGATCTAGTGTTGGCCAAGAGCCAGTGGTGTTTTGTAAGGAGATGCAAAACTTGAGAAATTTGCTCCTGGAGGAGTTGATGGCCCATCCCAAAGGCCGGCCCACCTCCACATGAACCTTTGTGCGAGGAGACAGGAAGCAGAAGCGTTTAGTGGTGTGCACAGAGCAGGCTCGGGGAGGGAAGGGGGAAAATGCCACCGCAGAGGTGAGTTTGGGAGTGCCTGTCCAAATCCAAGGTGGCTTCTGGAGCCCCTCACCCCTGCTCTGAGGTGCACTGGTGGGGACTTTTTGCTTAGGCTCTGCCTGTCCCTGCGCCAAACAGGAGCCGCTGCTAAGGTCCTGGGTGTCAGCACCTTGGTATAGGAGGGGCCCTGCTCCCACACAACTGACACCCTGGAGGTGCCAAGGATCAAGGTTTACTGATTTCACTCGGAGGGTAAACACATTGTGGCCCCGTGGGCGGGTCTCCCCTTCCTGGTTCCATTTTGCCTCTGGTCTTGCCTTTTAACATTTCCCATGTGAGTTTTCTGTAAGTCTTGCAGCCAGTGGTGGGACCTTTTGAATGACAGTTGCACAGCAAAGCCACGAGTGGAGCCAAGGCATTTGTAGATTCAGTTGTGCCCCTTGTGCCCGCCACAGTCCACAGTCCAGTTTCCCCGTGGGGTGCAGGGCAGTGACCTACTTTCCGTAGGGTGTACATATAGCTATTTCCTCCATCTAAATCTCTCCTTCCTCATATATGAACCATAACCCTCAGAACATGCACGCTTTCCTTTAGTGAGGCTCGTTGGTGTGCTCATTGGCCTTTCCCCTTCCGAGGCTGGTTATTACGGCATTAGGGGAAATCAGGCCCAGCTTTCGGGATACACAGAGGTGCCAATTTCTGTGCCAGGCACTGCGGCACAGTAAGCTGCTCTGCCTCTCACCAGCTGCGTGACCTTGAGAAATTACCTATGTCCCAGTTTCCTCATCTTCAGATTTGAGATATTATTAGATGAGGAAGCATCATAGTTTCATAGAGGCATTTTTAAGTATTCTATATGTTAATACAGTCGAAATACTTAGAACAGTGCCTGGCACATCAGTGAAGGTGCCTGATTAACGAGTGAGGATGACCAAGGCCAATGGACTGCAGACCCCTGCCGTTAGGGGAGCTTATGTAGGCAGCCTCCTGGCATTGTCTCACACAGAGCTGAGGGCAGGCACTTCCAGCTACACACTTGAGTGGCCAGTGTTGTCTCCCAGCACTTCACCAGGGCGGGGGGAGGGGGCAGGACTAAAGGACTCACTTCCTTTTGGGTTCTAGTCTCTCCATTCCCCCAGAGTCCTAGTCCCAGATGAAACTCTGCTGTATAATATTATGAGTACATAGTATGGTTATTTGGGGACTTAAGAATCCATATGACCAGCTCAGCCAGAGAAAGCATAGCTCAGCGTTTGGCTCTAGCAGCTACAGGCTTTCCTGCCTCAGGTGTGTGCACATGTCCGTATTTAGCAGTGGGGCACTAGGCAGGTGGAGGCCATGTTTAGATGTAAAAAGAACAAAAACAGAAACCAACCAAGCTTAAAAAAAGAAGAAAGAAAAACAACCCAGGACGAAGCTCATGGTCTCTCCATTTCTCTTTAATACTGAATAGTATTCTTTATACAGTTGTAACATGATTTCAAGAGCAGAAGAAAAAACATTACTGATAGATTTCAGGGTGTAAAAATATCACTTTAAAGGACAGCTAGTTTAAGTTTTATTTCACACAGTATTTAAAAACACTTTTCCAGTTTATAGTGTCATCAAATTTTGTTTAATGCCAGGATCACAACAAACGCTGTGGAATATGCTTTATTTTGCAGGAACGGTTTACTGTGGCCTAAATTCCACAATGCAGTAGCAGTGGTTCTCAAACTGGGGTGGGACTCAGGTTCTCCTGAGCGGCTTGCTAAACTCAGCCTGCTGACCTGACCCCTCTCTGGGATTCCGCAGATCAGGAGGGCCTGGGAAACTGCATTTCTAACAAGTTCCCGGGGGATGCGCTGCTGCGGGGTCCCACAGCACACCCGGAGACCCACTGTGTGGAGGGGCAAGATCTATCTACCTATGATGAGGGCTGTAAACTTGGGGCACCAGGGCTCCAGCAATCTCCTGGGGGTTGGAGACAAGGGGAAGCACCGTCTGGAAATCACTGAGGCATTTCCACTCCCAATCCTTGATCTCCCTTTAGTTTGTACCTTCTAGTTATTTAAAAAGAAACGCTATGAGGTTATTTATTCTTGGAAGAAAAATATGACAGTTCAGTCCTGCTGAGTATTGCCGTGTATTACACATTCGATGTTTAAATTATACTAATTTCTAATAACAAATGAGCCAGTAAAACCATATTTCCACTTAGAAGAAAATGAATCCATAATTGCTTACAGCTTGCTTTCTTTGGCCCTTCCCCGGTTTCGAGGCTGCCCCTCCCGCTGGGCATTCTCCCAGCCTGGGCCAGTTGGGAAGCAATCATGTGGCATTTACCATACAAGCAGGTCCAGTAACTTATTAGGGACACCTGGCTGGCTTCTCCTCACCCCGCACAGATGACAGAGCACACTGTATTTTCCTGAGGATTGGGACACCTGCCTCTCCCAGGACAGACCTTATCTGCAGGGCCGAAATTGCCATCCAGTAGTGGTTCTCAGCTGAACCTACTTCCTGCAGAGCAGGGAAGAACCACCTTGAACCTGGCCCCACCCTGGGGCTGACAGAAAGCTTGGCTGGAATGCTGCCAGGGCGAGGAGAGCTGTGATCAGAGAACAATGAAGCTGGGTGCTCTTATATCTAACACCTAAATAATCAAGTGGTTTCCAGGTTTGAAAACTCATAACCTTAAAAAAATATGGTAAAGCACACTTCCTCACAAGGATCTGGCTGCAGCTGAAAAACCCAGTCCATGAACTGTCCTTTGTGCGAAAGCCAAACAGTAGGGCAGGTGATGGGTGGCCTAAGCGTGGCTCCCGTGCCACAGCCTCGGGGAAGGGCAAAGGTCACGTCAGAAGGAAAACACGAATGCGAGAGCTTACATCAGAGGGAAACAAGTTACTGTTCTTTCTTCCTCACCTCCCCACATATCTGTATCAGTAAAGAAAGAGACTATAATGCAGAGAACTCCCAAATACATGTAGGTGGCAGCAACATGACCAAGGTGCCCCCGTCACTGTCAGAGCTTTAGTGTTTGTCCAACAGCAAAATGCAACAAACAGCTGGGGTGACCGTGACAAATTACAACCAGCCGACCTTAAGTCATGTTAGTGAGGCCCGCTTGTCCCAGAGTGTGAGGGCCCCTGGGCCAGGGTCAGGGTGCAATGCATCAGATGACTCCCGTGTCTGTTGGGGGAGCTGTAACTGTTTCATCTTTAAAACGAGACTGAACTAAGTGATCGAGTTCACTGAGCCTACTGCTGTTAGAGACACAAACCCCAGGAGTCAGCTGGTTTGGAGCTTCAGCCCCAGCTCCAGGAGGGTCACAGGAGGGCTGTTCTCTACTCTCCTGGTTTCTGGACTTGACCCTGGACAGCAGCTTCCCAGGGAGCGCTATCACATAAACACAGTGAGAACGACAGACGGAGGTGGGCCTTGCGAGAACAGGGCCTCCTTATTTCAAGCATAAGCATGTATTTTGTGAAAGCTGGGGGCTGTCCATTACAGAAAGACCCCTCTTGTCATGCCAGCCAGGTGACACAGCTGCCCTCCCCCAGACACAGGGCCCTGGGAGGAGCCTCTGACAACCTCACAGGACCTTCCCACGGAGCACTGTCTTGGAGAACTGCCCTCGGTCAGGGACAGCGCAGAGGGGTTTGGGGGCTCCAAGTCTGCAAACCTTTTGGTTTCACCTTCTCTCTGCTCTTCATGAACAAAGAACACTCTTTAAGGGGGGGGGAAAAATTATTCTTAAAATACCTGGGAGGGAAAGAAACAGCGGTGAGAGGAAGACAGGAGGGAGAATTAAAGGAAGTGCGTTCCATAGTTAGAACTTCGGCTGTCCAAGCAGTCTGAATGTTGTGTTGTTTATAAATCTGTCCTGCCATTTACAAGGCAATGCCACATAGTCCAAAGTCCACAGAGTGGAAAAGCAACTCATTTCTATCATTCAGTTTTTAGATCTTCCAGTGCTATGAATTATCTGGAAAGCTCACGGTCTCACTTTACAGCCAGGAAAATTACCAGAAGAAGAATCCTGGCGCTGCCCCTTTCACATACAGAAGGCACCACACTTAACAGAGACAGATTTCTCTTGGAGTTAGGCTGGATTTCTCTTCACAGCCCTTAATCTCACGAGGTGAGAAGGACGGGAAGTTGCCAAGTCGTTGGCTCCCAAACCCATCAGTCTGTCTAACTCTGGCTAAAAGCAGAGAATAATGGGCAAGTTACCAAGTTTCTCCCCCTTGGGCTCCAGCGTGAAGAGCCTCATGTAACACAACTGCCACGCCGTAGGAGCACACAGGGAGCCCTGCGGTTGTTCAGCTCACACAAAGTCGAGCTCAAACGTTAGACTAAAAACCAAGGGTGTTTTACTTTTTCAGTTGGGTTCCCACCTTGGCAGACTCCATGGTTCACTCCTACTCTATCTCCAAGTCAGTTGGTTAGTGAAATGTTCTTCCAATAAACATAAATTGAGTGTTGTCTGTTACCCATCTCATCCTGCCACTCTTTAGGTGATGGATATGGGGAGAGGTGTGAGGGCTGAAGGGAAAAAAAGGAGCCCACCTCTGCTCCAGGATGTGCGTCCAGCAGCCTGACCCTCACCTGAGTCCCTGGTGTGTTCTCTTGGATTGCCAGTTTGAAGGCCAAGGGGAAGGCCTTCAAATGACCACTTGTTTGTAGTGAGAGCCCAGTCCGGGTCCAACAGGCTCAGGCCCAGCATCAAGCCAGTGGGGCGAGGAATGATGTCTGGGGCAGAGCCAGCTCCAGGAATTCCTGAAGAGGCAGCTGCCAAAGAGTGGCTCCTTCAAGCTGTGGGCTCCAGTGGCCCTATAGGGAGGGTGCGCCTAGTGCTCACATTTTCATAAATGTTCTCTTTCTAAATATTGCTCTGTTCAGCTTCTGCCTGTGAGTCTGGTTTACAATGGCCACTGTGTAGCTAACACCTGAAATCGGTGGGGTCGGCCTGCCAACTCTAAATATCTCCAAATGTTGAGTAATTAAGCCTCAGGGTCACAAAACTTGGTCCCTGAAGTCAGTCAGGGGAGTATCTATTCATTAAGCATCAGGCGTGTTCCCAACAAGCCCTCCTGACGCACATGACAGTTCTGCAGGGCACAGTATGCCTGGTAAGAGCAAGACAACAGCATGGCTTGGAAATGGGGCAGTCGCGTAGTTCGGAACCCAGTTGCTTCATGTAACATGGAGTGTGGGCGAGAGTACTAAGACAAGGTCCACGTTTTAACAAAGTTTTAACAAAGACTTATACGTTTAGATGCAAATCCAAGGACCATCCCTGGTCTAAGTTCACAGACTATTTGAATAAATCTCAACTTTGCGAAACAAATAATCTAGTACCCTACTACCCTACATCTGAAGCCCTTTGTAATAATCACCTTTTTTTGCTAACTTGAGAATATCATAAATCAAATAGTGTTGAGTGTAAACATGGATGTCAATGACCCTTTCAGTTTTATAAATCTACTTTTAGCTTTCATAGGCGTGTGCAGCGCCTCACCTGCCATGATCCTAAACATGAGAAAATACCCTTCTTTAAAAATTGTTACAAACATTTATTAAAAAGTGCAGTCCAAAAGTTAGCTGGGCAAGTACATCATTGTGAATCACAAAAAATAAGGGGAAAAAAGCCCAAAACAAAAACCAAGAAATACAAAACAAAAGTTTTAAAAGTTAGGAATGGACCCCAAAACATAAGTCAAAGCTAGGACTCTACCTGGATGTTGCTGTGCTTTCCACGTGCAAAGGATGACAGTGAAGATGTAGCCGTGGCCGCCAGGCTCTGACACAGCTCAGCTGCTGCTTTGATATTAGGCTATTCATCAGGGGGCGTATAAAAATATGCTATATACATGTGCACGTGGAAGCATTCACTAAGTCACCAGAAGCTTCAACTTGAGTGTTTCAGCAACGAAAACTCAACTGAAGCATCTGTTATTTAAATTTGGATCGGCTCAGTGATTTAAATGGAGATAAAAATCGGGTTGTCATCTTATGGGGGGGCTTGGGGAGGCAAGGAAACCAGTTCATCACCTACCTTCTTTGCCATTACAAGGCAGGAACAGCCTGGTCCAGAACAAACTTTTGCTGCCATTACAGTTTCCGACTACATGTAACTTGTGTGCTACCCATTCCCAACCCCATCCCAACAAGGCAGAGTGCCACAGGGTCTGAATCCATTCAGGTGGGCCGCTCAGCAGCCACAGATTAAGGGTCACCCTAAAAATACAAGTTACACCTCTGGGGCAGGGTAGGGGGAGGCTGTAGGACAGCCACCTGAATTCAGCCAGGCTGTGACCTCCCAGGACCTTGCCCACCCTTTGCTCAGCTGTGCACACTCAGGGTTACGCTCCCCTTCCTGCAAGACACCAGTTAGCGTTCCCAAAGCCCAGTGCTTTTCCTTGTTTTCCATTAGTTACTCACCACAAAAAGATATGCCTGGAAAAGCAATCTGATCCCTGCACTTATCCCTGAAAAAGGAACCATTGCATCTTCTGTCACAAACTGCTTCTGGGCCTTCTGGCCCTGTAATGACCAGCTCTCGGGGCAGCAGAGTGGACCGAGGAGCCCCATTCCTGACAGGGTCCTTCCGGAAGGGACAGTGGCTGCTGTCTGAGCAGGGAGAGGGTCTGAGGAGGAAAAAGCCGCTGAGGAGGGATGGAACGGGCAACAGCGAACACTAGCTGAGTCTGAATTTTTCTGGATTCCTCAGAGACCCCCCATGGGGAATGAGGTCCAGGAGGCAAAGCCGTGGTGAGTTGTCCTCAGGATAGGACAGGTGGCGCCAGGAGTGTGCATTTGTTATGTCCTCTTCCCACCGGTCCCTCCAGCGCTGGGACGGAGGAGCTGCCTCAATGGTGGGTCACAAAGAGAAAGTCAGCGCGGGCCGTGTTTTCAAGAGAGGAAGGTGAGAGCCGGCACAGGGCGGGCTGCGCGTCTTCCTCCTGGGTCCTGGGCCGTCACAGCACTAAGAAGAGGACCAGCACAACCAGCAGGACCACAAAGAGGATGGCTATGGCGCACCACTGGCGCCGATCTGCGGGGCAGGACACGGGGGTTAGCGCTCAGGACTCGACCTTCCCCAAGACACAGTCACATGAAACATGAAACCTAAGGCCACCCCTTGAAGCGGGAAAGGGACAGAACGTGCAAATGATGGGGGCAGAGAGGCTCCTGAACCTGCCCAGGCGCCTGGGCCTCCAGTGCTGCTCTGGCCTGCACTGCACTGCACTGCCATCTGCCCTGTCATAAGAAGGTGCTTCCTGCCTCAGGTCCTTAATTAAAACCTGTGGCTCAGCTTTCTGCCGGCGCTTACTGCGTCCGTGGAAAAGGAGGTGGCCCTGGCCTTACGGATCAAAGCCCATCTGCTTTAATCCCCCACTGAGGTCAAATCATTTCATTCAGCAATAATCCTGTCCTGTTCTCAGAGCACTATTGGAGGATGGAAAGGGGATGAAAGCCACTGCTGGTCACTTCATTAAAGAGCTGAAAAAGCGAGCTCCCAGGCTCCCAAGCATTCATGTTACCATATCTGGTCAGGAAAGAAGACTGCTTAACCGGTTGACTGTGTTTAAGTAACTTGCACAGGTTCTCTCTCAGTGAAGGTGAACGGTCTTCTCTGAAACTTTCTGCCCCACCAACAATTTAGAAAAGGCATAGGAAAGAAGGTGGCTAGAGTCCATCTAAATGGTGGACAGCAAGGAGGCCCTGAGGGACAGAGCAGGCCCCCGGGGGAATCCCAGCTCCAGCCCAAATCCGGACTGACGCCACCCTAACTCCAGCACAGTTGCCTCACCGGGCCGCTGTGAGACGGAGCCAGGCAAGAACACCCTCGCGCCCATTCTGAGGGCACAGGGTGCTGTCCTCCTCAGGACGGTCCCTGAGCTGGGGTGCGCATAGAAAGCAGGTAGCCATGGATGAGCCCTGCCATTTTCCACAGAAGGTCAGACTGATGGAAAAAACTTCCGCTATCCTAGGAAAATGTAGGTTAACTGCTAGAAAGAGGAGTTTCATTGAAATAGAACTATAAACAAATACTGATTCATCAGAAGTTTACTTGAAAGCCTACAGATTTTAGCTCACCGTGGCTACTGAGAATCACATTACCAAAAGGTTATGATCTAGGAAAACAGACCATAAAACTTTCCACAAGGCAACGCAAAGTCCACAAAATGTGAACTTTTAAAAAATTACTTAAATGTCCTGGAGAGCAAAACCTTAAAAGCAGCCAATACAACTTCCACTAAATGATATAAGGAAAGCAAATACCTCTTGGCTCTGCCTCAAGACACACTAGAAACTGACTTCCAAGCTGTGACGAGGGCAAAGACCCACGTCCACAGGGCCCTTTTCTGAAGGAGAACTATTCCAAGGCCGGCAGCGTGGGCCTACCCCTGGTGCTGTGTGTAATCTGTTTAACTCTCACTGCAGTGGTCCAGAAAACTACAGTACCGAACATTCTCTCACCTATGTAAAGATGTTTGCAATAATTCAAAACCACTGTCATTGAAAATAGTCCGTATTCTTCCAGGACAAAACAGTCCAGGTAATTGCTTCCTAACCGCCCCGCCCCCATCTCACACCTGATTCCTGTACTTCTCCCCCGGCCCAGGCACCCTGCCATTTTCAGAACTAGATTTCCAACACTGAACCAGCTCTCCACCTTTTGGCTTTCAGTTAGCCTCTACCAACCCCCTCCCCACCTGCCAGCACTTTCGCTTCTGGGATTGCCTTAAATAGGTGTTTTCCTCATGGAGAACGTCCATGTGCAAGCTAGCACAACCCAGGAATGCTCTTTTAAAGCCATTTTCCTTTGATGTGGTAAGTTGCTTCTAGGCAACATGAACTAGGTAACCCCAGGGAGCAGCTGACTTCTGGGAGAAGGGGTGGGGCCTAACCACAAAGGCTGTTGTGACCAAGTAGAGTCCTAACCAGCTTCCTGCAAGCTCAAGCCCTGTGTCAGGGCGCAGGAGAACAAAGGAACCTCCAGTGGTAGTTTTTTTCCCCTCAAACATTTTCCTCCCCTAAAGAGAAAAGATGAACAATGGAATTTCTGGTGAGGGGAAGTAAACCTTGATACCTACTCAAAAAGGATATACTTTGGGTAGGAGAATGACAAGATAGTGTCTCTCTCGGGTAATTCAAAAAAGTAAGTGTGGGGTTTTGGCTGATCTCTGCCCGCAAAGCCAGTGGCTACTGCAGAGCCGATGCCTTGCATCTCAGGAGACAGGGACCGTGTGCTCAGTTACTGCCTAGTCAAACTTCAGTGTGGCTTTCTGTAAGTAAACTTTCCCAAAAGCTATGGAGGACAGAGACAGATTGCCTTGTCTGCAAACTGAAGCAGACCCCACCAAGCAGGAAGCCCCAAACAATCTTTATTGGGGAGCAAAGATGAAAGTGAAAACCACAGGCAACCTCTCCAAACTGAAGGGCCTTTCAGGCCAAGTACTCTGTTTCCTGGCTCCCTTTCCTAGACAAATATAACTAAAGTTCTTACTGTGCTCCCCAAACCTTTCTTTCTGGAGAAAGTAGAATAAAGCATAAGCAAGTTTCAGTGCTATTTATACACATTGGACAGCTTATCACAATGCAAGTACTTTTCTAAATTATTCATACCCGGAATGCTGGGAAGCAAAGACACAGTGCATCTTTGTTCAATTGCTCTTCCCCAAACAAAACTGGTGCTGAAGTAGCTACTTGACTTTGCGACTAATACATACACTAGTGAGAGGCCTGGTGTTTAAAATTGTAATATAATACTTCGTTAAAGCAGAAGGGTGGGGGTGGAAGAGGAGAGAACAGAGGGAATCAGATGACTTTGCAAACCTTTCTCTCAAAGTGTCAAAGGTGAACTAAGCTGGTGCCCGCTTTAAGCAATGACTAGCCTGCTAGAAGCATGTGTATATTAATCCTAGAAAGAGAGTAGGAAATAGGCCTTGCTAGGAGCTTCCCTTCGTTTTGGATCTAACAGGTCATCATCCCTTAGGGCCATCTTCTGCCTGTCTTATGACTTTTTAAAAACAAACACTAAATGCTAATACATGGGAGACACATTAAACACTTGCACACTAATTATTACTATTTCAGTGAGTCCTTACCGCCACCTTGAGAGGCAGGCATCACCCTACTTTTTAATCAACGAGATACTGAGCCCCAGAGAACTGTTCGTGTAACTGGACTATGAGTTAAACTACTGAAAAGCAAACATACATATGTATATTTAAATCTTTTCTCAAACAGCTAAGCTATTAGACTCTAACATGTACCTGAAGGGGAAACCAACAGAAAAAGGTGTCAAGAAACAGGACGTTCTCATGGGGGAGGGGTGCTAAGGTTCAAGGACACTTCATTTACTTCAAGGCCAATCTCAGTTCCTCCTTTCACCAAGCCACCTCCACCAAGTAAAGAGAAAAAGAAATACTGGATTTTCTTCAATTTAAGAGGTTATTTCTCACATAATAGGGGAGATAGATTGTAGTAATCAAAAAACAGACTTCACTAGAACACGTCGTCTGCTAGAGTGAGTATAATTTGAAAAATATTACTTTATCCCCACCCTGGTGCAAATTTGCTGGAATATTTCACTGTGGATTTAAGTTAGATCTGCAAGGGCACCTTATTGTGAAACGGTAGGGGCTTTTCTTTCAATGAAGTCAGTCTAGGAGAAACAGCAACCGGCTTCTTAATTATTTTAAAGTGCCCTATTTTGGCAAGAAAAATAGGGAAAAAATAAAATAAAAAAAGGATTTTGTACTTGCAAAGAAAGTTGCTCCACCAGGAGAAAAGCTACCAACCACTTGTGGAAAAATGTGTCACAGGAAAGGGATGTGAACAGGTATACCGTCCCAAAACCCCCCCAAGACTGTTCCCAGAATTAAGTGAGAATTCTCATCCCTTAAACACCATACATACCACTGGTCATGTGAGACACTTTCGCAAGTTTCTTCATCACATTGTCCAGCCGAGACTGAGTGCTCTCCAACTCATGGGAGAAATCATCCAACATACTAGAAAGGGAAGCAGATGTAGAAGGCAGCTGGTAAACCTGAAGCCTTGGTGATGCGTTGGTCATGGAATTAAATCAGGATATGGGCCTTGGTTTTAGCAAACACGAGACAGGCAGCACTGGGATTCAAGCCCCCAATCTATATCTGACATCCTTGGCACAGATATGTTTTTGAATTCAGAATTTTTGGAATTTAAAAAAGGTACTACATCTTAATGTGCCATATATTAGCCAACATCCTTAGCAGGGCCTGGGGCAGTCCCCACAGTCAAACATCTGAGTGTTTCTGCAGAGAAAACCATGTGCTGGGGCTAAGTTAGAGCCCTCCAGGCACCAGGAACTTGCCCATCAGCAGCCTGCCCTCTCCTCCGCCACGACTGGTATATGGTGACTTGCATTCATTTATATCAGGTCCAGTCCACCCAGTAAATGGTAGAGACTCTTGAGGGCAGACACACTGACTGTTCTGTTCACTCCTCCACCAGTAAGCGCCCAGTGCCTCCCGGAGCAGGCGCCCAGTCTGAATTTTTAATAATGAATGGATAGCACTGAACACAAAGTGGGTTAGGAGACTTTCTGATATATCCTAGTGGACTGTCTTTTCTTTTTTTCCAGAAAAAAAAATTGTAAAATGGTAAAGGTATTGTGTGGTAGCATTTTAGAATTGCTGGTTTTGGTGTCATACTTCAGAGTTTAAAAGGATTGTGGTTAAGGATAAACAAATAGACCCAGCTATATTCCCCTGTGTGTTTTTACTTTTGATTTTTGATGGGGAAGATTTTTTATTAATCGGAGTTAAATTTTTAAGTTTTTCTCCTAAAGCTGAAATTTAAGATGCAAAGCAAAAAATTTTGTTTGATGTGGTGGGACAGTCATAGGGTGATAAAGGTCACTCACACCCTACCCTCTGCAAGACACAGGTCTCCACAGGGGTTACACAGCCATATCTGCGTCACAGTCCCATCCATACCGACACTTCAAGTACCTGCTCAGAGGGATCTGTATCTGTTTTTGCAGGTGTTGAAAATAATAATAATCATGACTGCCTAAACCCTGTTAAATATTTTAACTGATAATTTGCTTTTCTTGGAGAGGCTAGTCTGTAAAACACAATAAAAATGTAGTTATAAAGAAAATAGTTCTGGGGTTCACCAGTCATGTAACTGTCAGGCTCGCTGGGGTCCCGTACAATGGCTCCTGCCCTCAATTGCACGGCCTGAGAGGGGCGCCTCGGACTCACACTGCCTGCTCCTCCAGCTCCCCTCCGATGCGCTGGGACATGTTCTTCAGCACCCCGATGCTGCCAGAGACCAGCTCCAACTGCTCGTCCTGCTGCTCCACAATCAGCTGGTGCCAGAGAAGCGGGAAAGAAGCAATTAAACTCCATCTCACCTGGTCCCAGGCCCAGCACTCTGGCAGCTGCTAGCTTCTTTGCCAACTTGGGACAATTCACATTCAGAAGCAAAGCCCAGAAATCAAAGGACCAGATCGTTGCCTTCAAGAACACACTGCTCAAAAGGCTGAATTGTGAAGCTCCTGATACCTCCTGCTGATCCAGCTTGTGAGCAGTCAGCCGGTCTTAAAACCACCAAGAGAGACTTACTCTGGTTGGCTGGAGTCCAGCACGGGAGCAGACAATGGCCAAAGGCACCTGCGCAGTGACCGGTGAGCCATGGGCATTGCCAGGAAGAGGAAGCCCTCCACCAGGGTCAAGGTCTCAGTCCACAGCAGACTCAAAGACAGGGAGGCTGGCAAGTCTCTGGGAAAACTGCACACACACACAGTCCTTTCCTCCCTCCTCAAGGACAAGCCAGGGGAGGCCCTGGGGCAGTAAGTTGCCTCAAGGACAACTGCTAAGTGATAAATGTTTAATTGTGTGGTAGCCTCCTCACTTTGTATTTTAAAAAAAGTTTGGTTAATAGCAATTTAGGCAGACAGCTGGTTAAGCAAACATGCTATTGGAAAAAATATATAACCTATATAAAACACATAAAATATAATATTTAAGAACCAACAGCTTCAATGGGTAGATAATCTTCAAATCCTCAGATATATTATTATTAGCTTCCTTTTTTCACTATAATACACATCAAAACACCACCACAAACATAATCTCCCTTTCCTTCTACCCTTCACTTCCACTAAAGCAATCATTTTTATATATAATGAGACCAACAATGATTTTCAATGAAAAAAACCAGGACTCAATTTTTCTGAAAGTGTGCCTTTTTAAAAATGAACAAAAAACAGTATATGGTGGGGGTTGGGGCAGAGGGCCCTTTTGTTTGTCTTTGTTTTTAAGCCAGTAGCCCTGTCTGTTTCAGAGGTACAGCCCATCCTCCTAAGAGGCCTAAATAAGCCCAGCTCTTGGGGAACAATCGCGCGCCTCTGGCTTTGGAAACCCTTCGCATGTGCACTCGTTACACAGGTCCGCGCGGGCGCACTCTGGGCCAGCCTGCCTGTCATCAGCAACAGAGCCCCCGGCTGGCAGGACCGGGAAGGCGCCTGCCTCCGCACCTGTCCGCACAGGCGGTGCCCAGTACCTGTTGCTGAGCCTGCTGCTCCTCGATGAAGTGGGAGTTGGCTAACTGAAGCTCGTGGTCCAGGCGCGCGTATTTATCCGGGGTTCCGGTGCTCCAGCTCTGGCCGCCGCTGTCTCCCAGCAGGGCCTGCAGGAGCGGGATGGGGGAAGGGGAAACGCACGGTTAAGGCCTTGGATATGTGCTCCATTAGAGCGACAGAGTCCTCACAGCGCTCACCATCTACCCCCCGCCCGCCCCCGCCCCCGGGCCGCCTACGGTAGTGGGGTGGGGTGGCGCCTGTGGTCCGACCCAAGGAATGTTAACGAGGGCGGGCTCGCTCTCCCCCTCTCCCTGGGACTCGAAGACAGGTTTCCTCCCATTGAAATGCAGATAAAGGTCGAAGTAAGTCTCAAACACCCATCTGCACACAGCTTACAATCTAAAAGCACTTTTCTCCAGGCCAGCTCTGCCTGGCACCCTCGGAAGTTCACCAGAGACCCACAGGCTCTGGTCTGGCTGATTCCACAGGTCTTATGGTCCAAGAGGTATTTGGGTTTTTTGGCGGGGGAAGAGGGGGAGGGGGTTGTTCTCGAATGACAAGAATCTAAATCATAGTCTCACAAACAGAAGGCGCAGGAACCATCCATGTCTGTTCAATTTAACCCACGAATAAATTCCAGTGCCCGTCCGTTGAACTAAAACGCTACAGGCTTCACAGACTGAGAACTGGGGAGCTGGACCAGGTAGTTATAGCCACAATGGGCGCCTGACTGACCCTAATTCCCTAGGCGGGCACCGGCCCTGAATTCAGTGTTGCCACCAGGGTCCCCACCCCGGATGCCAGGGTCAGCTTCCCCAATAGGAATCCGAGGTTTGTAGTCACGATACATTTGGGAGTGTCTCCTGTACATGCGAGGCCAGTCAGGAGGGTGAGTGCTCGGTCTAGGCAGCTGGCTGGCTGGGTCCCTGCGAGCTCTTCTGACCAGTTGGTCAAAGTAACTGCTCACACCAGCCCTGCACAAAGAACCAGAACCTGCTGGGGGTGCAGATTCTTTTTCCTTCTGGAGTTGCCATATCTTCTCACCACTTTTTATCTCTGAAACTGTTAAAAGCCTGATTACCTGGTTCTCTGTCTGAAAAGTCCTCCAATAGCCCCTCAGGACCGGCGCTAACTTCCTCTAATTAAGAGGCTGGATGGTGCCTGTCTCAGGTATAAAGTCGACGAAGGGGTCTTGTTGATGGCTCTGCCCAGAACTGGTTTTGGGTCAAGATTTAAAACATCTGCTGGTTCTGATACAAAGGCTCTAAGTACCTCTGTGGGGCCCAGGGGTCGTTTTTCAAGGTCAGAAAAAAGGCTATAGTGCATTGGTAGGCTATGAACAGAGAACTGGGCTCCCCGGGGGCCTTGCGTGCACCTAGAGCCAGAGTGTGGGCTACTTTTCCTAGCTTATTGATGCGCTGCACTTACGTGGACACTGGACATGTGCCACGCGGTATTGTGAAGTAGCTTAGATTTCATCAGTCTGAACTCCAAGAATCTGTTCTATGGGAAAGAAGATGGAGACAGGGCCCAGAGAACTGGAAGACCAGTCAGGGCATAGGTGCCAGAGCGAGGCAGCGAGTAGCACAGCACCGGGTACTGGCACGAGGCGGTGGGGGACCCTGCCCACTTGAGCGCTCAAGAGAACCCTGGCCCTGCTGTTCCTTGCCGATTTGTGACTCCAAAACACTTCACTCACCGCCCAAAACACAATCCCAAACCACATGTGGAAAGACAATGTGTAAGTGCACATTTTATTTGTTCATTCTACTATCTAGAGATTAGGAGGAACAAAGGACAGGTGTTGCCTACCTCACTGTCACAAGGCAGGTAGACAGGAGGGAAAAGACCAACAATGACTTGAAAAATGAAACGCAGTGACAGAAAACAGGAAAATTGAGGGAGGTGATATTTGGAGAGCCCCTTTACTTTTTTGAGCTTTTATATTTATTTTCAAAATTAAGTGGGTCAACAAACACATAGGCGTAAAGCAGGAATTTATATTATAAACTACTGATTCCTAATTCCTAGTTAGTTAAAAATAGTAAGCTGATTTCTTCAGTTAGGAGTCTATTAAATGGACTACTGATAACTTTATGTAGTCTGAATAAAATCTAAATCAAATCTGTTTTGTATGAGGCTGTTGTATATTTTCTAAAAAGGATTGTATTTTATCTGTTGGAAAGGAATTTCTATTAAAGTGTCTAATTTTAAAAATCTACCTAAATTCAAGAACTGCCCTCTTGTAGCTCTTATTTTAGATGTGTCAACATCTGTGCTTTGGTTTCTGAAATTTATTAGGTTTCATAATTTATTTGTAATAATAAAAACTGGATTCATCTCCAAAAATACTTAAAATGATGAAAGGTTTAACACACTAAATTCAAACACATTTAAGATACCTCAGATGTCTTTCATTTTATTTTAAATTTCATAAAATTTCAATCATGAAATATCTAGTGAGTTTTATGGGGTAGGCCATTAATAACAGCTAGAAATTTTTTTTAAAAAAACAAAAAACCATGACACAGTCCCTCCTTACTCTCAAGAAGCCTGGAGTCCAGCAGAGAAAAAGACAAGCAACTAAGCAATTACAGACTTTAACAGAGCCTGGCACACAGAATGTGCCCAGCAGGTGGAGAATAAATGGCTGTGTGGTAAGGACCGGAAGAGTAAGCACAGGGCCCTATGAAACCCAGAGGAGAGAAGCAGAGGATGGGAGGGATGGAGGCAGGGCAGGGCAGGGACAGCTGACCGTGGAGCTGGGGCACTGGCGACTGGCCTCTCACCAGACCTGCCAGCCTCCCTCCAGGACCGGCATGCACAGAGCTGCTGCTTGAGCGCAAGTTACCCCGGTGTTAGCATTTTAAAATTCCAGTATCCAGCCGTGTGTTTTCTTTGATTTGATACTGTATATTCAGAGGTTTACTCACCTGTCTGTTTTTCCTTTCAGCTAATGCCTGCACAGATGAAGCTGACATCTGATCCTTCATGTCCTAATGAGGTAAGGAGAAGATCAGAAAACAAACGAACATCCTTAGATGAAACAAAGTCATGATTAACATTTTGTGCACTAGCAAAATGCACATAATTTATTCATTTTTTAAAACAAAAAGACAGCATTCTTTGACTTTTTTCAGTTTCAAAATAAAGAAACTAAAGAGAACAATGTCCCCTTAAAAAGAGGTAACCTGGGTACTAAATTTATAATTTCTTAGAAGATTTTACTTATTTATTTTTAGATAGAGGGGAAGGCAAGGAAAAAGAGAGAAACATCAATGTGAGAGAGAGACATTGATAAGTTGCCTCTCATTCACACCTCAAGCAGGTTCAAACCTATAACCCAGGCATATACCCTGACCGGGAATCAAACCAGTAACCTTTCATTTTGTGGGATGACGCCCAACCAACTGAGCCACACTGGTTAGGGGTGGGTATAAATTTAATTAGGAGGAAAGGAACAGTATTTCCTGGGAACCTACCATAAGCCAGAAACACCATTAAATGCTTATGCACATTTTCACTGAATTTTCACCAAGACCCTGTGAAGCTGCTGTTACCTCTAGTTTACAGTTGAAGAGACTGAGCTCTAGAACAGCTGGAGGTACTTTCTCAAGGTCACGTAGTCAGAAAAGGGCAACCTCGGGGCTCAAACACAAATGCCTGTGCTCAAGGGCCAGCATCTTCGAGTATGATATGTGTGAAAAACCATGTACTTTAGGATGATTACCACTAAACACCTGCAAAAACTTTCAAAGAGTGATGCAACAAACAGGTCACATACTTTATTTGAGTTGGAGCCATGTAAAGTATAGACCATTTCTAATACCAGAGTGAATTTCCAGAGTGGAATCAGAAATAATTTTGTATGGGAAGAAAAATGAATGCATGCATTACATACAGTGACGAAAATAAACATGTTGTTAAATATGAGCATTTTGCTTATCATCTATAACCACAATCCAATATACTTTAAAATGATTTGATCTGAGTACATTATTACTGTAATATATTTTTTCTTAAAGGCTGGCAAAATACTTTATAGCTTTCTGTTGGCCAGTAGACTTTTATAGATGCAAGTACTGAGGTGTTAGGCTTTTAGAAACTTCTTCCGAGATCCATGACAAGTGAACGGTGGACCAGACAGCACCACGGCTTTTGTATTTGCTACTGTGGGGAAGTCCGAGTAATGACTGCGTTGATTCCTCCTCTTCTACAGGACTTCAGTCAGGCTTTACTTACATTAAAACAAGAATAATTAAAACCACTAAAGTACTCAGCTGGATCATATATAGCTGAGTATGGTTTAGATCTCAGCTCCAAAAGCAACATTATGATGTATGGATTTGATTTAGAACCCTTCTTTCAAAGACTACATTTTACACAAAGTTTCTGATATTAGAAAAACAAACTTTGGAGTCTACTCCAATTCTACCAACTAACTTAACATTCAACTTATTAACTTCTGAATTTCAATTTGCAAAATTTACAAGTACAACCTTGCAGAAAGAACAAGTCTAATGAATAAGGTCCGGAAATACATGCTTCGCCCTGGCAGGTGTGGCTTAGTTGGTTGGAGTACCGTCCCATAACCGAGAGGTCATTAGTATGATTCCCAGTCAGGGCATGTGCCTGGGTTGCAGATTTGATCCCCAGTCAAGGTATGTGCAGAATGCAACAAATTGATGTTTCTCTCGCACACCAATGTTCCTCTCTTTCTCTTCCTTCCCTTCTCTCTTGAATAAAATAAACTTTTAAAAAAAAGTTCTTAAAAAAATCTATTCTTCACAGCAAGACAACATTTTAAATGCCAACATCTATGGAAGTGTTCTTCAGAAAATTTATTACAAAAAATAAAATAGCAAACTATATTATAAAATAAATGGGGGAATTGTTTACCTTACTAAAAAAACACATCACTGAACAATGGGGCTTCCTTATTAGAATAGCTTTCTGAACTGGCTAGAAATTAAGGATGTCTAATCCAAATGCTCATTATATAGATGGGGGCACCAGAGGTCCAAAAAGTTTACTTTTTTAATTTAAAGGTTACCCAATTGAAATGTTTATTTATAAACAATTTAGATATATGTATACAGAAAGGCAGCTAATGACTAAAACTAGAAACAAGAATATTTAAAGTTCGGTGATAGCCTACCATTTGAAATAATTTCTAAAGGAAATCACATGGTATAAAGTCTCTGGCAAACATATACCAAGGTTCCTGCCTAAGATGATTCTTAAAAAGCCATATGTTAGCACTGATATGGTCCCAAGTTTTTTTATTCAAGGAAGCTGCTTTCTAGTACATATGTTAAAGACAGCTGGTTGTCTTACATCTAGTTATGCTAATCAAACGGCTTAGCCGTACACTTTCAGAATACAAACATATCTTAATGATACAAGATTTTACTTAAGCGATATTTTTGCTTAGGTTTTTAAACAATAGATTATTTTCTAAATAACCTGAGACTAAATATCTGTCTGCTTGCATTGGTTTTGCTCTCTGAGATGCCCACTTGCTCTGGATGACTCCCGAAAGCCTGTCAAGCAGGCGTACATGGAAATGTCAGTAACATGGGTGGCAAGAGTTCCAGAAGCTGAAATTCAGATGGCGAGAGGCCGCCATCCAAACCCAGAAGAGTCACTCTTCACAATGCAAAGTGATTACAAATCCATCAAGAAGCCAAATGGTTTCTACAATAGCAATTCTTCCTTTGGCCCAGAAACAAAGTACTGTTAAGAAATGAAGAGGAAAAAGATAACTAAACTGGTTTGGAGGAATGGGAGATAGGGACGACTAGAAACAACTGAAGTAAAACTTCCCAAAGCCAGCAGTCGACTCTCGTTTCCGCTCTAAGAAATAGGCCCGATAATACTAAAGGCAGGTTTCTTTTTTTCAACTAGAGAAATTTCATGTCAGAAACTGGCATTTAATTCACATGAAAAGGTGGTTTCAGAGTGGATGTAATAGTTTGCAATTAAGGAAAAGCATTCTGAGAAGTTTAGCTACTTTTACACAAATAGAACGATAAGGTCACATTCCTTACCCTGACAACTTGCCGAGTACTTGTGATGAAGGATTTTCTTATGCTCAATTCGGTTGCGTCGAGATTGAATTTTCTAGGATTTGCTTCCACTATGCGTGGGTCAAAGAGTCAAGGTAAAGCCATGTCCTCATCAAAAGCCTAACAAAGCCCTACCATTTTAAACCGCAGAATTTTTCACAGGAAAGCAATGCGGTCTGGTCTCACGTCCCTGAAGACAGTCACCTTGACACTAATCAGTCTCAAACTGCCTCTGCCCACAGCAGTGGGGGACCCTTGTGTCCCTAGGCAGAGCTGCCTGCCAGGTGAGGAGCCTCGGGCCGAGGGGCTCTTCAGGTGCCTGCCAGCACTTTGTTTCTATTTTTTGACCCCCAGATCACCTTTCGCATGAGAGCTTTTGCAAGCCTTTTTCATTTGCCATTGCAAACCATTCCACTTATGTCAAGAAGCTAACCCTGCTTCTTAATCCAGAGAGATGGTGGCCTCTTCAGCTTCCCCTGGTCTCCTCGCCCCAGCCTGGTCCTGCCTCCCCATGCCAGACACTCCCACACAGCTCTCGGGGCTGTTCCCTCTGTCTGCAATGTACCTCTGTGCTGTAAGCTGCGTAGTGTCTGACCCCCCGGGCCCCCCCCCACCCCTCACTGTAAGTTCCATGAGGGCTGGTACACTGTCTTGCTTATTAATCCAATCTCAGCAACTAACGAAATGTCCAGCATGTGGTACACTCAATAACTGAATATTTTATTAAAACTTTTGTCCTCTTTCTCTCACAATTTCTGTATCTCCCCGAATCTTTTTTTCCTTCCCTCCTATCTCACGGGAATACGTATCTTACTGTAACTGTGCTTTTGATCCCACCCCCTCACACATTTTGTTCCATTCATTTTAGAAAACACACTTGTTTTTTAATAATTTAGAAGGTGCCCTGGCTCATTACAATTAATAGAAATGATGCATTTCACACCTCACCTGTGTATGAACCTGTGCTGACTAGGCAGTGATCCTGACAGGTCTGATTTATTTGATGTTTTATCACATTTAGAAAAATAAACAAAATAAAACATCAGAACATGCAACTGGCAAGTCTTCAATCCAAAGTTCTGATTAAATGGGATTTTTCCAGTAGAAAAGGCAATGTCATTTCAGCTTTTACAGTTCTCTGGTTTATCAGTCAGATTGGTGGACTTATTTCACATCCACAGCATTGCTTAGCATAATACAATAGGTCTGCTTTTACTAAATGCTGTTTCATGAAAAAAGACACCTCTCCAATGGACACTGGCATTGTCACATCACTTCTAGAACAGGAAAATGCCAGTCTACAGAAGGATTTTTTTGATCTCGAATTCCAAATGTGTAACACTCATCTTTACGTACCTTTATGTAGCACCAACTACTAACACTTTTACAGAAACTCACTGTGTCGGGCATTGTTCTAAGCTCTTAACCTGTTAAACTTTCAACAACCCTGTGAACTAGGTCCTAGTGTTATCCTGACTTTCTACTGGAATGAACACTGACGCACAGGGCGCTTGAACACGCAATCCGACTCCAGGCTCCGAGCGCATCACCACTACGCTAGCTGCTCCATGTCATGGGGTTTGCCATGCACCATAGAAGAATTTGGCTACTCTTCCTTAGCTACTGGGCAATTATTTTAAGCGGGTCATGGTCCAAATAAGAACAACATCAGTAGATTGTAAGAGAAAATGCCTGATCTATGTGCCTGAAACAGCCAGATGGAAACTTGTTCCTCTGCCTCTTGCCCCAAATGGCATAGACAGCACCAACAAGGATATTGATGGTTTCATCAAGGTCCTCTAGGTCCCACTCAATGCTCCGGAGGTTGTTTCTCAGCTCGTTGGTGGTCCAGTCGATTTCCTCCCTGGTGGCCGTGGACGGGTCCTGGAGGAGCTCGGTCCATCTCTGAAACAATCCCTGGGCAGTGTTGACGGCTTTCTGCACCTCTCTGTAATCACCCGGGGGAAGGAGAGGAATCACAGATGACAAGTTCCATGAGCAAGCTTGTGCATGGCATAAGTGAACATGTATGGTCACACACCGTCCTCAGCAGCAACCACCATTCCCAAAAGTGTATTAAAATCTTTACAGAAGGCTCTTCATGGGCAAATATCAAAGTTCAAAATTTTAAAGTAACAGTCTAAGTATTATGTTCTCAGCTGAGATCCAGAATAAAATAGCCATTATTTGAGCAGCTGTAATAATCAAGTTTGTCTGAAAAGACAAAAATTTAATTATGCTCCAAACAGACTATGCTAAAAGCGGTATTCGAAGTAATCCAACAAATTAACTAAAGGGCCATTAACATTCCCACATGCTGCCATTTGGTGGGATAGTAATTTACATTAGATGGAAAAGTCCTAATACAGCTTTTCTCTTCGGGTGGCGGGGGGAGGTTAAAAAGAGTGGAGAAAGGGTTCCTCTTTACTCAGCTAATCTTTTAGAGGGTAAGTATTTTTATTTGGGACATCTTTAAAACCCCAATCTCATCAGATAATTTCCCAACATTATTAGCTTTAGATGCCTGCACTTCCCTGGACTCAGCAATGCTGTTGAGCAGATTGGTGTTTCTGGGTTAGAGGCAGGACTAGGTCATAAGTGCTATGGTCTAGTATTCTTTCAGATTAGATATTGTCACAAGGTTTTAAAAACTTTTCCCCCACCATTGGGCCAATATCCACCATTTAAATGTTATACTCTAATGCTACCACATATAAAAGCCAGAAAAAGGAGTCATTTTATAAGCATATGGTCTCTTGTGTACAGAGATAATAACTTCACTGCTCCCAGACTGAGAGATCTGTTTTGATTCTTCTATGATTTCTTACCCAGTTCTTCTGTGTGTTCAATCAGGGTGTTTGTTGTCTGTCACTTTAAAACAGAATTTGCATGCATCCTGTTCCCGCTGACATTTCAAGTACCAGAAGAGAAAGCACTAACAAAAATGAAGAAAAGTGTCTGACAATATTTCGTCTGGAATACTGATGAGAGCAGAAAAGGCTGAGTGTTAAAATAGAGACTCCATATAGCCACTGGGCCCAGGCTGAGTAAGTCACTGAGCTTCATGGTCCACAGTGCGTCTAGCAAGGTATGTTCATATGCAGTTTACATGCTGGGCAAGTCCTCTCCTTGTTCCTCTCATGTCAGCCTTCACACTCAGTGCTAATGAGAAACTCAATTTGATACAAACAGGGGAAGGCCTAAGGCAGTGAGATGTAAATCCACTATCTTTATTCTTTATTAAGGTTTCTGGCTGATGCGGTAGACAAAGAGGTACACATATTCCCATAATGCAAGACACTTGGTTTATTTGTAAGTGTGGAATATCATGTATGATAATGAAGACAGTTAAAGAGGGATCTATAACAATATCTCAAAAGAATATAAAATTCATCAATTCTGTAAAGTAAATATACATTCCTTTTTGAGAACCAGGAACCTCAAACCTAAGAAACCCTGGCTAGGACATACCACATTCTCCACCACCGGTACACAACTATAATGCTGGAATCAGATTTCCTTAAGTAGCAATCTAAACTCTTTTTTGTTTGTTTGTTTGTTTGTTTATTTGTTTTTGAGGACTCCTTTCTACTTTTCAAAATTACTGAAGACTCCAAAGAACTTAAATTGATATAGAAATTCAAACAGACATTTAAAAATATCTATTAATTAAAAATTACAATGAACTTACATGTTAACACATTTTTATAAAAACTACCTTCAAAAAGATTAGCAAGAAGAATGGTACTTTTTAGTATTTTTATTTTTTCAAATATCCTTAATATCTGGTTTAGCAAAAGACAGCTGAATTCTCATGTCTGCTTTTATGTTCAGTCTGTTGACATACATTTTGGTTTGAGTATATAATGAAAATTCAGACTCACATAGATATATAGTTGGGAAAAGAAGGACTATTTTAGTAAGTTTTGCAGATAATTGTAGACCAAAACATGGCATATGGTAGTTCTCAAAGGTTGCAATGTGGAACCTGAAACTATATCAAAGACTTTTTGAACTATCATACATGACAACCTATTGCTCCATCTTGTATATTGAATAGACCTTTTACCCATGTAGGATTTTGTAACATCACATACTGGTCATTTAGAAAGTATTACTTTACTGAGTATCACAGACCTTTCAAATGCTGACTCAATTCATTACACAATATCCAAAATCATATAATATCACCACCAATCTCACCAAAAGAACTTAAGTATTGGGAATTTGTGAGATACCAATAGCTGATAGAAGCTTTCCAAATTCTATTTTAAAGGGAGGGGGCTCTAATTTTAACATCAGCAAAAATACTATCAGGTGTTTTCCATGAAGTGACAGGTTTGCCCCATTCATTTTAAAAATAGTATCTCAAGTATTTCTTAGATAATTTTGAGACTTGAGAACATATGCAAGTCTCGATAACCAGTTTGTAAGTCACTTCAAGTAAAGATGAGATTCTGTGTGGGGGAAAACTAGCTGTTTCAGCTTTTCCTGGACACAGCCAGCTTATTTCACAAGACAGCAAAAGCATTGTATTCATTCTCTCATTTTGTCACACAGAACACAAAAATGTGTACTAAGGCAGGGGGAAAACTTGCAAATTACACATCTGATTAATGACATATCTAGAATACATTTTTAAAACTCTCAAAACTTAACAAGAAAACAAGCTCAATTTTCAAAAGGTCAAAATATTTGAATAGTCACTTCTCCAGAGAAGACAGAGATGACAACTAAGCACATGAAAAGATGTTCAAAATCATTAGTCACCAGGAAAATGCAAATTAAACCCACCAGGAGATACCACTACATACTTATAATAGAATAGCTTAAAAAAGAAAACAAAAACCAACACTGACAATGCCAAGCGCTGACCAGGTGGTAGAGAACCTGGACCTTGTGTGTGTTACTGGTGGGAATGCAAAATGGTACAGTCACTTTAGAAAACAGTTTGGCTATTTCTCAAAATTAAGCGTACATTTACAGTATGACCCAAAAATCCCACCCCTAGGTGGGTAAATAGTAATGTTGCAATTACTCTTATATGTTTTAAAAAAAAAAAAGTTGTCTTTACTGAGTTACCTACAGTTACATGCAATTTTGACCTCAACCTGCTGCTGCTTCCCCAGCTCCCCTGGGATGGCACTACTGCCACCAACGACTGCAGGTCGAAGTCGTGAGTGACTTGAACACATCTTCATTTTCAGTGTATTTGCCACCACAGCCTTCCTATCTATTTTCTTGAAACCCTCACTTCCTTTGGTGTTACGATGTTGTGCTCCTCCAGTTTCTAACAGGTTTCTCTCTGCCCTTCCTCCCTCGGTCCCCACGCTTCTCCTGCAGCCCCCACGCTTCTCCCTCTGCAGTGTTTTTATAGCTTCTAGGGAGGTGATCGTCCACACTCACAGGCTCAGAAGATCCCTTTGAGCTGATGACTCCCCTAACCGCTCACCCAGGATTAACTCTGAAAATTGTAGCTGCCTATAGGATCATTCCATTTGCTTCAAACCAAACAAACCATGTCCTCCCTACAAAAAAGGCACGTATTCAAACAAAAAGATCAAACAGGTTAAAAATCTGCTTCCTTCTCTAACTTCCCCATTTTAGTAAATAGTGCCACTATTTTCCAAGATTCAAAACTTGTCTAGACAAGCATCATCTTTGACTCTTCCTCTTCTCGCCTTGCACAACCTCTACTTTAGCCCAATTACTGGATTTTAGATCTGGAAGGAACTTTCAAGATACCTAGTCTGCACTCATTGAGCAAGCAGGAGAACTGAGGCTCAGCCCTCTTGGCTGCTCGCCGCAAGTTCTTCTGACTCTAAGTACGGGGCACCTTTCACTGTTGAGACCTATTCCATTCCGTCTTTGCCAGGCCCCAGGGAAGTGGATTTTCTCTGTGGACTCAGAAGACCTGGGTTTGAGCCTTGAAAAGTTGTTGTCCATAGGCAAGGGAAGAGCGACTGTTAGTGACAACTGCCTCCCGATTAAGAATTTATGGTAGGAAACAGATTAAATTTAAACCCCTCAGCAGGGTATTCCATGCCTCCTCTTCCCCCAAACTGGCTGACTTTAATATCCAACCTGATTTCTCACTAAAACAAACTCAGTTTCAGTTAGCAGGTGGTCTTTCCTCCCTCCCTTTTCTCAGTCCTGGCTCTAGACTTTTGTGTGCACTTCCCCAGCCCGGGAGAGTCCTTACACCTCTGAAAAAAGACAAGCAGACATTTCCTTTAAAGCCCAGATTGAGACCCTACTTGCGTCACTGAAGTGTCCTTGACCAACATTCCCAATTGGGGTTTTTCCTTTTTTCAAACTCAATGGCATCTCAGCTCTATTCCAAAATGTCACACACAATGCACATTGTCTTTCCTCTACTCCCTTTGCACTCTGCACAGTGTTCTCCAGACTAGACTACAATTTCAGGAGCCAATACTTTTATAACCAATGTTTGCGAAGTTGTTTTTACAATGAAACATCTGATTCTGATTTTTAAAAAGTAGGAAATGAGACCTGACTTACATTCAACTGCACTGGACTAAACTTCCTCTGCAAACAAGGATTAACTTTTCTCACAGTGCCCATCCCAATAAACAGGGTTTTCTAAGCACTGTGAACCAGATGCACAGTGCTTGCCTACAAGGAGCTCATAGTTTAAGAGGTTCTATATACAGATATGAGCTGTTGAGGGGAAAATACAACACAACACACACCGTCTTTGCTCATCTGCCTACTTATGCCATTATTTTAACAGATTCACAGCTGAGATCCTAGAAATAAAACTGTGGTGGGAGAGGACATGGGTAGAGGAACCAGGGTAGAGGAACCAGAAGCAGAGTGGTAGAGACAGCCTAGCGATGGCACCAATAGGACCCGATGACCAAGTGGAGACAGGGACGAAGGAGAGTGTGGAGTCAGGGGTGACGAGGGCTATGTGGAGGATGGACCAGTCAGGCCTTTACGGGCAGGGGGAGAGAGAAGAAAAAGGAGAAAATCCATGTGGAGGCAGGCGTATGGAGTAATTAGTAGAAAAGAGAAAAGCACTCAGGAGAGAGCTGCATTAGCGTGCCCGGTGCAGGACGCGCACAGACACACAGGGAGCCCCTGTGGCACCGGGAACAGGGACCGTCACCCGGAGAGAACACACAGAGGACCCACCAGAGAAGCTGTGCTGACGGGAGAGGGGAGAGGACACAGGCCGGCCAGAGGCAGCGGGCAGGGCCAGGAGGGTCAGGCGTGGAGCGTGAACTACTCCACGGCCTGTAGCCACGGTGAATGTCAGCTCTGGGTGAGGCACCCCACGCCCCTAGTCGTGGGCTTTTCTCCTCTGTGCTCTGGACAAGACTTCAACAGTGTTGAAAATGAGCCACAAACACCCAGGCATTCATCACTGCGTGACAACTTTCTAACTGGTCTCCTTTCCTCACACTAATGTATCTAACACTGCTACCAAATCAACATTCTTAAAACCCTAATTTCATGTTATCTCTCTGCTTTAAAAATCTTCGGTGGCCTTAAGATGAGACACTCTCTGACACTATTCTACCCTGTACGTGAAGTGTGAACAGTATGAGGAGAATGAGGCAGTTCCAATTGGAATCCTGGGTCTACCACTTACTAGCTGTGTAACCCGGGGCAAGTATCGTAACCCCCTGTGCTCCTTCAGCTCCTCTGTCTCTAAAACGTGGCCGATGCCCACATCTTGGAGCTGCTATTATAAGGTGAAAATGCTTACTGAGCACACAACGCCTGGCATAGGAGTTGCATCCTTTAAATGTTAGCCATTACTATTATTACTTCCCCAAATAAACTTCCAACTCTGCCTGGGACGTCTGACTTGCTGCCTCCTAAACAAACACGGCTCATCCATCACAGGGCCTCTGCTGCGGGCACGCCCACCCATGACTAACCGCTGCCGCCGCCACAGAGCGTGCATTCACCACTTAGGCTACATGTCCAAGGTGCTGGGCTGGAAATACAGGAAAACTAAACAGTCCCAGCCTTCAGAGCTCATAATCTAATAAAGAAAGACAGAGGAAGAGGTGCAATAATGTGTCACTGGTGCCAAGGGACGTGCTTCCTGGAGACAGTGCAGATGCTAGCACTGGGTCTTGAAAGCCGAGTGGGGGAATCAGGCGCAGACAGGGCCACGTGGAGTAGGCGCATCTGATGCCGTGGCCATGTCCCTGTGCAGGTCAGGTATGGCTGGACCTCTGCAAGGAGGCAGGCAGAGCAAGAGGAAGGAGGAGGAAGGCTGGATCACGAAGTGTTTGGGCTTATTCTGCAGGCAGCAGGCAGCCACTAAGTGGCATTAAGCGGAGAACCCTTGCTTGGGCTCTGCCCAGTATGGAAGCCGCATGTCACTACCGCATGCTTGAGACGCACTAGTGTGCCTGAGGGACTAGCATTTTCATTTCAATTAACTTAAATGGAGAAACTAATGCAGAATTCAGTTACTGGAAACTTTTTAAGTACGCTTAGAACAATTTGGGTATGTGAATCTACTTTCTCAATTCTAAATTTAATAAACTCTAAAAATAGATAAGTATTTCTGATGGAAATTTAGCATCCAAATTGAGATGTGCTCTAAGTGTAAAATACGCACCAGATTTTGAAGGCTTAGTACAAAAAAAGTAAAATGCCTCATTAATAATCATTATTGATTGATCACACGTTGAAATATTTAGGACCTGTTAGGTTGAAGATGATAGTAAATTCATTTCGCCTGTTTCTTTTTACTTTTTAATGTGGCTACTAGGCGATGAAAAATGGCATATGTGGCTCACATTGTATAATATTCTGGATAGCACTGATCCCATACAGCCAGTGGCACATGAAAGAAGGAGGCTGGGGGCAGGAAGACCAATTAGAAAGTCTTTGATAAAAGTCCAGATGAGACAGACCTAAATTATATAAATTCCACCCATCTTCAAACCTATCCAAGACTTAATACTACCTCTGAAAGCTTTTCCAATCATAACCGTCCCTAATGAGTCATCTTTCTTCAAACTCCTGGGGCACTTATCTTCTGCAGCATTCACTTCAGCACGTAATCATTTAACACCTGTCATTTCTACTTAAGTTTTGAGGTCAGTTTCTCAGCATAGACTATCAGCGTCTTTAATTTTTCCACGCTGTGGTGATGCATTTTCAATACTTTTAATAAACAGAGATTCATGGCTTCTCAAATACTCCATCACATATAAAAACTGGAGACACCCATGTGGCTGACTTTTCCTTTGCACAGCAGAAGATATTGAGAGAGTCATTTCCTTCAGACACATTAGGGACAATAAAATGATGTCAAAATCAACTGAAGACTCCAAGCCAATATACAATAAAGCAGTTAAATCTAATCAGTTAGCAAACACTGGGAGGCTGTATTGGATACTCTCAGGAAAAAATAAAATGTCAAGATGGCAAAGCTTTTTAATATTTTCATAAATTTCATTAAAAATCAAGACAAAGTGTCTGACTCTCTCTGGTCTCCACTGCCAGAGAGAACCTTTGCAATCTAAGCACGAAGAACTTTCGTTCAGGAGGAAAACAAAGCTTCAACATTTAAAAATTAATCCCTAAATCAAACCTTCTAGTAACACATTTTCTAGGTAAAGAGCCACATTTTGCTAAAAACAAACAAAAACCTACAAACTTAACATTTTCTTATCTAAATTAAGGTGAGAAAAACCTTTCTAGGGAACTGTTAAGAAGTGTATAAATGTATTTTACTGTATCATGGATAATAAAGTATTTCACCGAAAGCACCATTTAAATTTTCTAAGAACCCTTAAAAAAACACCCAGGCACCAGGTCACCTTCCACCACTGCAGAAGAAGGAAGCTAGCAGCAACCAGTTGCAAGCAAAGGGACACTGACTCTACGGCTATTAGTACTGATCTTCTGGGAACTTTGTAGTCCTCAGGGTTGTCTGACATTTAAAACATAAAGCTGACAAGTTGTTAACAACATGAGAATCCATCTTTCTTGCATTTGTTTAATGGCTACGAAGCTGATACAATGACAAAGTGCAATTCAAGATTCTATCTCCAAACAATCCAGCTATTAAAGATAGAGTCAGGACAGCCCAAAGGGAAAACAAGTGGGCAAACCTGTCAAATAGCCGGGGTGAAATCAGGGAGTTGAAAAGAAAGCACTCATTTCCTTTAGCGCTGTGGGAAAATCCCGGTGCTAACAGAAAGCTGAGGAAAGTTTTGTTTGGCTGATTTCATTTTGTTTTCCTTCCAACATCATCACTGAGCATGAACGACTGTTTTCCTCCTGTCCCATTACTCAGTAAAAACTCCCCCACTGAACTGAGCTGTCTTCCGGAGCCCTGCTCCCCAGCCTCCCAGGCCCACACCGCCCCCGCCTCCCAGCCCGCAAAGCTGCTGGGACACCTCCGGGCTGGTTGTGGTCCCACCAGTCTGCGGGCCAGCGCTCCGATCTCAATGGACAATGGGAGCTCACCCCCGTCAAAGCCAACTACAAAGCTCAGGAGGGCCATTTCCCTTTTCCTGCCCAGATGCTGTTTTCCCTCCTTCGAAGTAGGGCCCCGTGCTCCACTAGAGCCCCAGTTTGAGCTGGACCCGTCTGTCCCTCCCCACCTGCAGAGCTGCTGAACCCGACCCCCACACAAGTTACTCACCAGCGCACAGGCCAAAGAGGACCCCCGCCCCAGGGGCTTGGTCGGGGGGCACGGATTTCCCAGTCCAGGTAGGTCAGATCTCTGGACGCTTGTTCACGGCCCTGGAGGCTAAGCCGTCCCCACTCTTCCCCTCCCCCTCCAGCAAGCAGAGCAGTGAGGTGCGGGGCAGACAGCGTCACCACCACCACCTCCAGTGGAGCCCTCGGCGACACTCACCCTTTCACCACAAAGAAGGGGTCCTCCATGGACATGGCGTCCCGGCCCCCGGCCGCCTCCCGCTTGCTCAGTGCACAGGGCGCCCGCGCCCTCGGATCCTGCCTCCACCCACCTCCCGCAGCCGCCGGCACCTCGGCCCCGGGTGGCCCAGAGCAGTGGGCGTGTGCGCAGGCCGGGGGCTAGGGACCGCCGCTGGTCCAGCACTCTGTGGGACCGCAGATCGGATCCCTGAGTCCGGTGCCGGCCCCCGCTGCAGCCTCCTCCCCCGGCTCCTCAGGCGGGTCGACCGGCCTGACCCCGCCCCCGGGACCCACGGCCTGGGCCAACCACCAGCGCTGCCTGCTGCACCACTTCCGCACCCGCGCTCACGTGACCAGGGCCTGCTCCGCCCCTCGTGGGCGGGGCCTTAGCGCGCGTCACTGGACCCTGGAGGCCGGGCTCTGAGCGGACTGGGTCTCGACCCGCCTCTCAGTATCCAGGGGGAGGAGTCGCTTGTTTCTTAAGAAGACAGGTAGGTTTTTAGGATTCACGATAGAACCTGAGGTGCACAATCCTGGCACCTTTCCTCTGTGTACTTTTACTTGATTTTGATAACGTGATTTATAAATCTCATCCTCGACGTACAGTAAAGGTGCTCATATACATGATCTGACTATGACAATGTTGCACAACTCCTTTAGGTCTTACTCTGTATCGGGATACACACTAAAAGCTATTTATGCACTATCTCGATATTGTCGAAGACGGTATTATTACTCCCATTTTGTACACGAGAAAAGTCTGAGCGTTTTCAAGATTTCCTGTGATCACACAGCCGGGACAGAGCAGAGTCACGGATTCTGTGCACTTTACACCAGACTGGGGTGTATTTTCTTTTGCTGGGCATTTTGCAAGGAACCGGTAAGATAATATTTTTCATACAATGGTATGCTGTGTCCCTGGAGATAGCACCTTTGAGGGACAAAAAAGGGGCCCGGTATGGCAACCTCTCAGCTATGGTTCAAGAATTCTTCCAGAAAGCATTTTGTTCAGAACAATTAGACAACTCATATGGTAGATGTGCTTTGAGGGTTGTGAGCTTTAATCACTGGTAATCATGAGCAACTACTGTGTTTCAGGCACTGTGCTGTTATCTCAGCTGCTCTTGCAATGAAGTAGTTCCTGTTACTATTCCCATTTTACGAATGAGAAATCTGAGACTCTTGGAGGTTACATGGCTTGCCCAGAGTCACCCATCTTTTTGGAAATGAAAGAGTCCCAGGAGCCAGACAAACCCTGTTTGAACCTGGGTTCTGTTATCCAGTTTCTCATCTATAAAAGATGAGCTCATGGTTCATTGCAAAGTGTTAAATAAAAATGCATGTAAACTCCAAGGTCCCAACTGAGTAAGGCAGTGAAGTCAGGGAACCACTCAGGAAGCTGCTGTGGTCATCAGGCCTGAAAGGATGAGGACGAGAGAGATGAATCTGATAGGTGTTTCCAAGGAAAAGCTAAACTTCTGGATGGATGAGAGATTAAATGGGATTAGCGAGGGGAAGAGTTGGAAGTCACAGACTAAGGGCTTCTCTGAGACTGGAAGGAACAGTGGAGGTCAGATGGGCAGAGAAGCTATTGGGAGAGAAGTATTTATTTAGTTAGGGACATGCTGAGATGGAGAGGTGGAAAGGGATCGTCTTTCATTCATTCAACACACACACACACACACACACACACACACACAACTTGAGGGGCAGATGAGAACAGTGATTAAGAGCTGGAAAAAGATTGCTGGAGTTCAAATCCCAATTCTGCTACTTCCTGTTGCATATTGGGCCAACTGATTAATCTCTCACTGTCCTCATGCTGTGAGATGGACACAGTAAAGAACTTTCTTATAGAGTATCATGAGGGTTAAATGAATTGATGTGTGAAAAGGGCTTGGAACACCGCCTGGCACGTGCTGTGTTCTTACCATGTGCTAGGCACTGAAGACACAGAGAAGAACAGAGTCCTTGGCTTCAAGGAACTCTCAGACCAGTGGGAGAGACAGGTAGTTATACACAGTGAAAGCCGGGCACCAGTTGCCATAGAAACACAGAGTTGCCACTTGATTTGTGTGCGTGTGTGTGTGTGTGTAAGGAGTTGTTTCTAAGCTGTAACTAGAGGCAGCCAGGAGACAGCATGGCAGCTGTGGGGGAGCCACAGCAGAGCATTGCCAGAGTGAAAGGGGATGGTGACAGGAGGGGCTAGGGCTGGAGACTGACGTTAAGAACTGTGAACACTCTCCTGTAGGTCATGGACGTTGACAGAATTGACAGGGTTAGATTCACATTTGAGACAGATCTCTGGTGGCTGGGAGGTCAGTTGGGAGGTCATGGTTCAGAGGAGGGTTGAGGGTGTCCTGAGATAAGCTCATGGCAAATAGGAGGGAGGGTAGGGGCACATTTGGGAAATACTTTAGAGGCAGCATCAGTGGACTTGGTGACTGATTAGTGCAGGGTGTTGGTGGAAGCAGAAGGAGGAAGGCTTTCAGGGTTCTGGGGCTGGAAGTTCCAATAACCAGCAAAGACAACACAGGAGGAGGACTAGATGTAGCATGTGGGGTTTCCCCACTAAACTCCTGGAGGGAGGGGAGACTGTGTTCATGTTATTATCACCTCAAAGCCTAGCATAGACCCTTATTATCTATTCCATGAATTTATTAATTGAACTATGAATGAGGGGGCAGAGACATAGAAGATAGAGGACAGAGGCTTGGAAAATTCCCATAATTAGAGGTTTGGAAAAAATACCAACAATGGAGATAGTGGAGGGCTGAGAAATGAAATGCATGTGGGGGAGGTGCAGGGTGTTCCTTTCTTTAATATGTTGCCCTCCTTCACTGTCTCTAAAACCAGAAGACCTTGGCCTCCACTGCCTCAGGGAATGGGAAGCTATGGTTAAAATACTGGCATCTTTGTGTGTGCTTATTAACCATTTGTGTATCTTCTATGGAGAAATGTCTGTTCAAGTTTTTTGCTCATTTTTTAATTGGGTTGTTTGCTGTTGAATCACCCTAAATCCTTCTTGAAACAACACTGAGTAAGAAAAGTGTTATATAGATGTTAGGCATTATACTTTTCATCATTATCCCAAACTTTTAAAAACTCTCTGATATGCATATGCATGTTCTGGAACACTCCAAGAAATGCTTATTCCTGCTAGCGTTCACTAGTCCAGCCAAAACTGTCTGCATTTCCCAGCCCTAAACACAGTAATATCCACATACATATCCACACACTGGTTACGCTTCCTTCCTTCTCCTTGGTTGTTATCGACACCTGTACCCTTACTCTTTACACGTTGGTTTAAAATAAACAAGAAGGAATTCTAGTCACTTACATATCCAACACTAGAAAGCAATCAAGAATTTATAGAATATCCATGTTATGGTCATTGGAATGTTGTTTAAAAGTGTGTAATGGCATGTATGGAAAATAGCAAGACAAAATTATATATATGATATGATTTCAACTTTGTTCATTTCATATACACATTTTTATGCATAGAAAAATTTTATACATAGTAAAAGGAAAATGTATTTAAAGTTTGGCACTATGAAGTGTTTACTTGGATAATTAGAAATACAAAAAATTTTTTAACAAATTTAAAAGAGAAGTGAGAAAGCCAAGGAACCATATATGCAAAAACACATAAAAAAACTTAGCAGTTTCAAATGTTTTTGAGAGTAAGGCAAGTTAGGAATGGATGAATGAATGGATTTTGCTGAGTATTAAAAGTTAAAATACATTATTAGAATTTAGTGAACTTCTTGACAAAAGAGTGAATTAAAGCCATTGTAGGAGGGGAGGTGTGATCTTTGCCATCTCTATGAATTTATTGATACAGGGAAAAGGTAAACTTTTCCTCTTGTTAAACTACTGAGTAACGGTATAGCAATAACAATTGCTAACATTTGCTTACTGTGTGGCAGACCTTGTGCTAAGTGATTTATATGCATAATTTTCAGAGGTAGCTCCAGAATTTCTACATAGGGCTGGTTTTAAAATGTAACTTAAAAGTTTGGACAGTGAGGCTAGGAAGTTTCAACTTAGGTTACGTGGCAAACCCACTGTCTTTTCTTAAATTAGAGATTTATTTGGGATGGCTCAAGAGGGCTGATGGTGATTATGAGGGCTGATGGCTGATGGTGATGTGTAACTTTAAAGTCCCAATAAGACTCCTACTGATGCTGTAACAAATGACCACAAATTTAGTGGCCTAAACAGTATGAACATATTCTCTTACAGAATAAAGTTATTCTCTTATAGAGAAGTCTGAAAGTGGGTCTCACAGGCTAAAAATTAAAGTGTTGGTAGGGTTCCACTCTTTCTGGAGGCTCTAGGGAAGAGTCTGTTCCCTCTCCCACCACTTCAGGAGGTTCTGCATTCCTTGGCTCATGTTTCCCTTCCAGCAATGACATTACTTCAACCTTGCTTCTGTTGTCACATCTCTTCCCCTGACCCTTTTGCCTCCCTCTTATAAGAACCCTTGTGATTACATTGGATCTATCAGATAATCCAGGATTATCTCAAGATTCTTAATTTATCATGTAAGATAAATCTTACATGATAACAGTCACAGGTTCTAGAGATTAGGATGTGGATATCTTTCAGGTGTGTGCCTGTGGGGGGCATTACCTACCACAGAAGGGAATCAACTTGTGTAGTTCTAATACCTACTTGGTGCATCATAAACAGAAACTCACCTAATACTTCAACAACTTTATGAAATATATGCCAGGACTTGCTATTAAAGTTGAAGAAACCGAGCTTCAGCTCAATTTGGGGGTCTGCCCAAAGTCAAGGAGCTGGGATGCAAACCCTTGTCTCCGAATCAGAGCTCAAACCAACCTGCCTTGAAGCCTTGCCTCCACTTACCTCTCCCCATCATCTCTACTTCCTCCTTCCTGTCTGGGCCTGTCCCCTAGCTCCCCACGTAAGCTTAAACTGCTGTTTCTCAGCTTGTCACTTTCTCCTGATGCCAATGTAGTCACAGCTTAAGCCTGGGAATTGCTAAGCAAGCAAGCCAAGTGGCTGTCCGTCAGAATCTTTTTTTTAAGGTATTTTTCTTGCTCTCCTTTATTCAACAAGCATTTGTTGTTGTTGTTGTTGTTTACTGTGCTGGGTGCAAGAGCAGCAGGGAAGGTCGACCTGCTTAAATGATAAGACAGTCTGATATTTACTATATCAGCCTATGGACTATATGGCATTGTAGGAAGCCAGAACAGGGAGATCCAAGTTCTGGGAACCTTGTGTGAATCTTTCTCATCCACCCAGGGCAAAATCTATGCTCCATAGAAGAAGCAAAGGCTTCTTTTTTGGTGTGTTCCATGAGGGACAAGGAGTGATTAATCTTTGTGTTCCCTGTGACTTGCACATAAATATTTAAAAATTGGAAACAGAGCCATCTTAAACTAATATAATATTGTATGTCAACTGTAATTGAAAAATGATTTAATAATAATAATTATTATTATTTTAAAAGGTTGGGAACAGGGTCAAGAAAGGCACACCAAAAGGACTAAGCAGTGCCTGAAACCAGCAAAGGGTTAAAAACGACCTTGAAAGGTGCTTCCTAGTTCTCTCTCTATTCCACCTAGCAACTGATGACACTGCATACTTCCCCAGTCTTTATTGGGAGAGGGCCCTGAGCGTCGCGCCGTTGCTAAATCTCTGAAGAGCCGGCAGAGTTTAGGTTCTTGAAAGATCCGCAGGGGCCTGTCAGTGCTTGGGTCCAAAGAACCTGAGAGAAAGGCCTGGAGGCGGGCTGATGGTGCTGCTGCTAGCCCTCCTCGTTGTGTTTACGGTGAAGCACAGCGCTGCCCGTGAGTATCCCGCGCCCTCTCAGCTCCGAACCCCGGAGCTGAGGCAGCTGAGGCGGAGCAGCTCGTCTTCCTAAAACTCAGGGTAAATGCCGAAGAAACCCGGCAGAGAAGCGCCTTTATTAAAACCCAGACCTGTAGAAGCGAAGGACTAGCTGCACGGCTAGGGTAGGATTTGGGAGTGGCTCCCCTCCCCTGACGGGGGGCGAGCCCTTCTGGAAAGACCGTTCAGGCAACCGCCTCACTTCCTTCCGCGCTCTGCTCCCCACCTCTGCTGCTCAGACCCTTCTGTTGCGTCTGTTTCTCCTCCTCACCGGCGTAGAGAGTGTCGCGGGGATGCGGTCCCGGTTAAGGTCGCTGTCTGCGTTTCTTCCTTCCCGCAAGCTCTCCCGTAGGAGAAGATCCCAGGGAGATAAAGCCAGGTTCCTGGGTGTGAGGGGTATCACCTGAGCAGAAGGAGTTTTTCCGCGGCCCGGGCCCATGTAACTGGGGACGCAGATGCCTAAGGGTGCCCCAAGCACAAGAGAGGGTCCGCGGGCTGGCGGCGCCGGGCGGCTGCGCGAGCAGCCCGTCCTCCAGTTGGGGGCGGGCCCTCCCTGGCGGGACGGGGCGGGGCGGGGCGGGGCGGGGCGGGGCGGGGCGGGGCGGTGCTTGCCGGTCAGGTCAGGGCTCCGCCTCGGCCGCCAGCAGGTGTGGCGGGAAGGAGCTGTCGAATCACCTGGGCACCGATTACACAAATGGTGGTTGACGGCCTGCCACGTGCCAGGAACTTTTGGGGATATGACCATGCACAAGACAGACATAGGTCCTGGTTCTACAGACATTTAATCCAGAAAGATCCCACCATTTAAGGCAGAAATGGGAAGGGGTGCGGGAGGGGGGAGGATCAGAGACAAATAATGGAAAGAGAAAGGGAGAGAAAGGTGGTATTTCCAGAAGGTAAAAAGCTTGTATTACCTGCATTTGATCCGTAAAGAGCTCTCCAGTAATATGACCTCAATATCCCCTAACCATAATCCTTCATGTGATGGTCTCACCAAGCCTGTGGCAGGTGGAGGGAGCCCAGCGCAGAGAGGCCGACCCAGCTCGCACAGTGCGACAGTCCGAAGTAGGCACAGGGCTTCTCGCCCGCAGTCAGGGCTTCTCGCCAGTGTCACAGCACCTCTGGATGTGGACACCTGGCCCTTTGATCGCAGGTGGAATGTGAAATAAAACCAGTCATCTGTAAAGGGCAGGAAAGGTCACTTTGTGCTGGCTACTCTCCTTTTGACTCCCAGATGTCCTCCTTCCCTGTCCCATCTTGTGCCCTGGAGAATGACTTCTACAGGCTGCATCACTCTGTGGCTCTTGCAGACTGATTTCCACCCGATGGGAGACACTGAAAAGACTGAGATCGGAGACCAAGGAGGAAAAGAGGGTGGGGCGTTTAGTCTTCTTTCTCCTGTTTCTGCAATGTCTCTCCTGGTGGCCATGTCCCTCTGCAATATAGTTTTCCCTGAACATATGGTTCCAGCTCCCACTGCGCTTCAGAAACACAATTGGCTGCTCTTGTCTCTGCAGCTCTAGGGGCAGTAACAGCTTCCCATCACTGCGAGCTTCTGGGCCTCGTTCTCCCTTATTTTCCCCTTAATCTTGCCCATACCTCTGCAAGGAGTCCCTTCTTAAGGTCTCCCCAGGTGACTCATCTGGAGGGAAGGCTGTTTCCTGCCAGGACCGTGAGTGAGAATTCTTGAGCACAGAGGGATGCTGTAGGGAAGGAAGCCAGGATTATTAACAAAGACTTGGTCTACTGGACCTGAGTGCCTCAGGCTGGCCCTGAGTAGGAGCTTCTAGATGTAGAAATTCAGGGAGTGTTTGGGGGCACAACTCCAGGAAATGTCCAGGAAACTCCAATATCACCTGTGGTGTGTTGCTTTCATAGACTCTGTAGTCTGCAGTGGACTACTCCTTCCTGTGTACTCCCCTAGCTCCTGTTCCCAGTTTTTTAATTTCCTATTTATGAAAGTCTTCCCTTCAAGGCTGTCCTTATAGCCAGGGAGAGATCTCTACATTTTTTGCTTCTTTATTTCCCCAGCACTACCTAGTGACCAGTAGGCACTTCATAAATGCCTCCTGAGTGAATTTATGTTCAAAGGTAATGTCCCTAAGAAATTGAAGTTATCTGACTGTGAGCCATAGAGAACCTGGGCAGCAATAATGACTGCAAATTTGTGACTGTGGCTTACTGTAGTTGCAGAATTTGTGTGGAAAAAAAATGTTTCATGCATTACAACTCATCCTATTCTTCATTTCAGCCTGTGTGAAACTGGCCTGGTGATGTGGGTGGCTGCAATTAGCTAGGGGCATACGTAGGATCTCTCTTGCATAGCCACATGAGGTTTGGGTGTTTAATCTTGAAATAACCAAGGTCAGTTTCTTGATAATATTCATAATTCTATGGATGTACAATATCAATCAGCTATATCAATTTGCTTCATGAATGACAGAGTCCTTCACAGATAAAGACTGATGATGGGGAAGCCCCCTAAATCAGCAACAGAGCTCATTTAAAAAATCACAGAGTATTTGTTTAGAAATGACCTTGAGTTCAAAGAGTTAACGTGAGAAAATACGGGCATTTGCTATAGACTTTATTAGACTTTAGACTGTTTCCATGGAGCTGTTACCAAGGTATATGCAGTAGAAATTTCTCCAAGACAACGTTTTACTCCCCTAAGGCCATCTTCTTCTTGGTTGACATGGAATCTATCTAAATCCGAGGAATTCAAGTAATTTGTAGATTTTTTTTCTGACTAGTTGGAATATCTATCTTTACTAAAATCCACTGACCTCAAACATCCTCTTACCCCAGAGGATTGCCAAGAACTGGAGGGAGGGAGACTGGGTTAAAGATCACTTACTTTATGAAACCCAAATTGAGACAAATGACAAAGAGCATTCTTTCTGATGTTCAAATTTATATTTATTATGGAAAACATTTCAAGAATATATGTATCAAGTCACATTTTGTTACAACTTCAATGAATCATTTAAAAAGAATAAAATTCACAAAATTAGAATTCTTTTGGGAAATATGAGGCATATGGTCATCACTGTATATGGAGAGTACCGAGAAAGAAAAAAGAACCCACCAGAGCGCCTTCATTCATTTCTTCTCTAATGCTCTACAAGGTCCTATGGCGGTGTCCTTGCTATTCCTCAAGCACAGCTTCCTTGAGGACTCTGGCTTGCTGTCCTGTCTGGAAGGCTCTCCTCCCTTGACCCACTCTCACTTCATTCACATCTCTGCTTAAAGACCACCTGCTCAGAGAGGACTTTCCCGGTCCTTCTGTCTAAAAGATCAGCTGTCTTCAATATTCTATCTTTTTCTCTGCTTCATTTTTCTTCACAGTTTCCATCACTACCTTCTAGAAGTTAGCCCAGAGGGCTGGGACTTTGATATGTTCATAGCGCTAGGACTGTGCCTACTGAAAATTCAGGAAAGAATAAAACTGATACAGGAGGAGATTGTAGTAACCCCCAAAAGAGTAGCCCCCCGCCCAAAAAAGTCAAACTGTCACATCAGCCTTTTAGGCCCTCAGTAAGTTCCTGTAGTTAAAAGAATTCTTGCTGCCCGTAGAACCATCCACATCAGTGCATGGCTTGTGAAGTGTCCACGGGTCCTCTTAACTAAAAATATCACCATCCGCTACTCCCCCTCATTCCCGTGATGCCTGACATTCCAAAGAGTAGTTCCCAGAAATCACAATCACTCTGACTGGATTAAGGCATCAGGCTACTTGGGAGGGCCAACAAATAATGGGGACTTTGTTGACCTGGTTATCCAATCAGGGCCCAAGGCCACTTGGAGGAAGGTCTAAAGCATGAGCCTCCAGGGACTGGGGGAATCAGTGACAGTGAGTCACCCTTGACACAAGGGGGCGGGAGAGAGCAATGGTGACGAGTGGGGAGCCTGAAACAGTCCGGGCTGGGAAAGTGCCCTGCTTTAGGACCAGCTGGGTGTCTAAGGCAGAGGGGCTTGGGGTCTGAGAGGTCAGAGAGTGAGCCCTGGCTCCGCCACCTATGGATTCTAAGGGTGATCTCGGGCAGTTTTCTTCACCTCTCTGCACCTATTAAAATGGGAATTTTAAAACCCATCATAGAGGGTTGCTGTGAGGAGTAAATGAAACTCCTGTTTATCAAAGGCTTAGCTCGTACCTAACCCATGGTTGTGCTCAGTGAGTAAGTGCAGTTCTCATGGTTATGATTCAGATGCTGCTGCCCTCAGCAGCTCACTAAGGGCCCAACTTCACGGAAGGAGTGTCAGCTCGGAGCATTTCCGGATTACTTCGCGGGAGAGCAGGCTCTCTCTCCTCTGGGCACTCAGCCGGTACCTGGTTCCTGGTTTGCAGCACGTGCGGCTCACTGTCACATGTCGTTGCACTGCATTTACTTAGGTGACACGCTTTAGTTTTCCTGTAGCGCTGTAAGTTCCTGGAGGAAAGAACTGGTGTCCAGTATGTCTTTCTCTTCCTGACATTGCCTCACAATGCTTTGTATGTGGTAGACACCCAGTAAATAAAAACTGCCCTGTGGGTGAATGCCTGAAAATACTTTATCAATTATTTTATAGCCGGCGATTTTCACAGCCTTTTGTAAAAATGGCCTAACTAGCTAATCTACAGCTTAAAGGGAACATAATTTAGGACACTAAGTAACCACTATATCTGGTCTAAGCTGTGTGCTTGTGTTGCTCAAGCTTTCCGGCCGTGTCTGTCAGAGGCCACTGGGACAGGCAGCAGGCGCCCTTTGAGAGGCAGCTTGACTGACCTGCACAGAAGACTGAATTCCAAATTGTAGACTTCAGTTCAATAAGTGAATTGATGCTAACAGTCTCTTCATAGAAAGGAAGAGAGAAACCTAATTTCATAATTATTGGAGCAAGAACAAAGAATCAGAAAATTCTAAGATTGAATCATATGAAATTGCCATGTTAGTAGGTCAAAAATGATCAAATATAGGTCTTTTCAAGTGATTCAACCCCCATAGTATACTAGAAATCTGGTCATCTGGGTAATGTGTCCATGGAATACAAACTATCACACGGTCTAACGGACCATGGGAGAACGGGGACCATAGGCTTTCCTCTTTCTTTTCTGTTCTGAGTTACTGATTTAACATCTGTCCACCAACCTCCCATCACAGCTGAGATCCCATTTTGGAAACCCAGTTAAGGAGCAAGCGTGACTCGTACCTGTGGACACAGCAGATGGGTAACTGGGCCCATGGCAAAGGAAGGGGAGAGGGCTGAGATGTCCTGGAGCGGAGCCAGGCCGCATCTGCAGGAGGGATGGACAGGCAGCTGACTGACAGATGGAGCCCAGCCTTTAGGGGCACAGCAGCCTTTGGAGTCAGGGCTGGCTGGGGGGGAGTGCTCCGAAACCAGGAATTACCTTGAGACTGGGGTTGGCGAGAGGGGCACTGTGCTGGGCTTGGAGACTACTGTCAACAGACCATACTTCTCTCTACCTACCTCTTATAAACTCTAGATAATGCAGATTGTTATGAAGTGATTTTTTTTATAAGAAAGTGAAATTACAAGAATTGTAAATGCTGTGTGTGGTGACGATGCTAGTGATATCATATAGGAAAATTTCTCCCCTTGAGCAGTAATGGGCTTCCTTTGTCCTCTTGACTTGGTCATGCAAATGTCAGGGCTGGTTCCAGGAGTGTCTTTGGAGATGGGCTTTGATGATTGGGAAGGATTTAGATAAATCAGTGACAGAAAGTAACAAGGCAAAAGACTCTGAGATCGGCATTCCCAGACAGTCCTGCAGTCCTGAGCAGCGCAGGGGAAGAAAGCCTGGATCCTGCGCATCTTCTGTCTGCCAGCTCTTTGGATGGCACAGGGGCAGGGGCACTTGGCCTTCTCAGCCTTGGCTCTGCTCACCTCTCACATGTCACCTCTCCTATTGTCTCCTCCCTAGGCCATTGGTTCCCAGCGTGCCTCACTCTCTCCTGCCTCCTGTTGGCACACGTGGTTTCTGCTCTGCTTCCTCCACCCTCCCTCCTGTGACCCCACACAACCTCTTTTCCTGCTCACCTCCTACTTGTCCCTGAGATCTCCCCTAGGACATATCTTTTCTGGAAAGTCTTCCCAAGGGCCCACACCCCACACTCACCCCATCACGATGCGCATCACACTACTTTGAAACCGACTGTTTGTCTTCACCAGACCGTGAGCTTCTTGCCTGAGCCGAGAGAAGGTCAGGATGGAAGTGGCAGGGAGGGTCACACAGCTTTGTTTCATTCTAGCTTACTCTATCTTGACCCTTCGTGATTATCACAGTTCCTATGGTGATATTTGGCTAGAAGAAAAAGAAGTAAAAGCAGGAGAATGGTTAACAGAGGTGGTTGGGTATAATAGGAAAAGAATTGTGCTTTTAGAAAACTCACTTGGGTTCTTGCTCTGACTGACCTGGTGTGTGTATGTTCACCCGCATGTGCACCCGCAGGGGTCGGGGCGGGAGCCCTCATTTATCCATGGGCAGCCCTCGTGGGTTAAGCAGTTCGGTTGGCCTGGGCCCTCTCCCTGCAAACCTGAACAGCACTCCCTACTTCACGTACACACTGAGATTACCTGCAAAATTCCATCCTAAGGTTTCCAAGCCTGAACGCAAAAGGCTCCAAGTCTTGGGCTACAGCAGAGCTCTCAAGTCCTTTCCAGCCTCAATTGCTGGGGTTCTGATCCTCTAAGAAGAGGTAGCAGCTGGGCCTTGGGAGGAATGGTCGCGGCCAAGCACAGCCCTGGTGTGGGGAGCACAGGGACTGCAGCTTAGGGATGTGGAGGTCTGTGGCTCTAAACACCTTCCTTCTCTGCCTCCCTCCCAGGTACTCACTCTCTGAGATACTTCCGCCTGGGCATTTCAGATCCTGGCCAAGGGATCCCTGACTTTATTTCAGTGGGGTATGTGGACTCTTACCCCATCACCACATATGACAGCATCTCTCGGGTGAAGGAGCCCCGGGCCCTGTGGATGGCGGCGCACCTGGCACCCGATCACTGGGAGAGATACACTCAGCTGCTGCGGGGCTGGCAGCGGGCGTTTGCTGTGGAGCTGAAGCGACTGCAGAGTCACTACAATCACTCAGGTGGTGAAGGCAGCAGATTGCTTCCCTCCCTGGTCCCCACCCTGGCTGGCCATAAGGTCCCTGGGCTGACAGCGCCTATGAGCTTTTGCTGAGTTGCCCTCTCTGTCTTTTGGCAAAGTCTGGACAATTTGGTTGATGGGGTTCAGTGCCTGCCATCTGCCCTATGCATCTTCCAAATTGTCTGTTGTCCCCAGGAGCCCTTTGTTCTTTGCTCCCCATGTCCCTATGCCAGTATCATTCAGACTTATGACCTGTATCTTCTCCTTTCCCACCTAAATGTGGCCATTCTGTGTCTCATTTCCCAGTGACCTGGCTTAGTAAGTTGCTCACTTATGCATCATGACTTACAGTTTCACCTTATTCAGGGAATATTTCTAGCTCCTGCATCTCTCTCCCTCCTCCACTGCACTATAAAGTTGATCAGTTAATCGTTCCCAGACAGGAGTTAACACGTTCCTTTCGCACACAGTAGGTACCCTGCAGATATCTCTTTATAGATGGGATTATGTCACAGGAGCCTCCTGGAGACAGTGATGTAAGGCAGGCCTGTGGGGGGCTCTGTCCTGGGGAGGAGGACGCTCGCAGCCACGCCCCCAGTCACATCACTGGGGTGGCGTCTTCCAGAGCCCTGTGTGAACCCCTCTCTGGCCTGTGTGTTCCAGGATTTCACACTTACCAGAGGATGATTGGCTGTGAGTTGCTAGAGGATGGAAACACCACGGGTTTTCTGCAATATGCCTATGATGGAGAGGACTTCATTATCTTCGATAAAGACATGCTCTCCTGGACAGCTGTAGATAATGTGGCCCACATCATCAAGAGGATGTGGGAGGCCAATCAGCATGAGCTACAATATCAGAAGAATTGGCTGGAAGAAGAATGCGTCGCCTGGTTAAAGAGATTCCTGGAGTATGGGAAAGACATCCTACAAAGGACAGGTAAAAAGAAGGGAGGACACCTTGTTCCCACAGCCCCAGAACCCTTGGTTTTATATGTAACTTCCTCTAATCTAGGTGGTAGTCACCCTATTCTGAAATGCATCTTGTTAAGTGAACTATCATGATTCCATAATTCCCCGTGAAAACTTTCCTCAGTTACTTTTATCGGCATCTTGATGAGATTCAGCAATCCCTCTTGAGAGAGTGGAATGCCTCCAGGGACACCTCCTTTTGGGGACATCCAGTGAGACAGATCCTTCCATCTCCCGTCAGTGATAAGTTGGGAAATACTTTGGGCAAAGGAGTGATTCTTACACATTGTTCAGTAAGTAAGGGCTCCCATAATATCAGCATGAGTGAAAATCTGGACTTACAAAGAAGGCACACAGAAGGTCTTCGTTTCCCTAAAGAATTTATGGTAAGATTTCTTTCTGTGAAAAGCTTCTCTTACACATTAATGATAGGACTTAATTGGCCAACTTTTAGTTAGTACAGAACTTGTTACTCATAATCTTATTCAAAACAAATTATGCCTCTATCGCTCTAGAGGAAACACCTAGAACAATGTGCCTTTTCCCACAGGAGCGGTCTTCAGGGCTGGGCCCTCGGGAGGCATCTGGGCCCCATTACGAATACGGACTTTCTTTCTAAGAGCCTTGACAATGGAGGCAGATAATGAGAATTTGAGCTTCAGCTCTCCCACTCACTAGCTGAATAAGCATCTCAATTTTAATGGTTGCCATGAACAGAAACCTACTCAAACTGACCAAAGCACAGCAGAGAAGCTATTTGACAGGCAGCAGTCAGGGCAGTGTGGGGACCCAAGGAGTTAAAACTAAGGTTTGAATGGTTTTCTCCAAGGGGAGGACATGGCAGCCAAGGCAAAGCGCATGTCCGCATAGCTTCACTGTTCTAGAACGGGCTTCTCTCTTCCAGCTCTAGTTGCAAAAAAGCTTTCTTAGTCACAGAAGAACTCTGGTTAGCTTTGTGTGAGATCATGTGCCACCCCTTGCACTGTGGCCATCTGGATAAGCTTCTGAGACTGGCCATGGGTTCCAGAGTCTAACTGAGGGGGATTCAGTAATGAGATTATTTACAGGCGTTCAGTCAGGGCTGAGGAAACTGGAAAGGGACAGCAAAATACCTAGAGACTTGCAGCAGCAGGAGGCCATTGCACCCTCTAGGTCTCAAGGTGAAAGGGGAGGGACTATTGTTACCAGAGCCCAGCAAGGACTGGTACCCTGGAACCTTCTAGCAAGAGCTGTGGCTGTGGAGGACCACGGTCACTGGCAGACTGCAGTGGCTGGGGAACTGATGAAGACCCCCACCACCCTCTCCTCTAGTTCTCCTTTGCTAAGGGTCCTCCTCCCAGGGGCCAGATCCAACAGGTAGCTGGGGGCACGGAAGCCCCGAGGTGCCGTCTGAGGACCACAGCCTCTGGGGGTGCAGAGCAGGGCACTCGGTCTGGGTGGGTTATGTTTGGGCGGCATGGTTGAGATCAGTACCTCTTAAAAGATGCACATGCTCTGTTGGGGTAGACTAATATTCTAATATAGGTAGTGAGTTTGTTAGGAGAAGGGGTTCTTGTTATCGGGAAAAAATAGGGCTAATAGATGCCAGGCCAGCAAGGCAATAACCTTGAGTAAAATAAGTTGGTGGGATATACCTACCTCACAAAAATCGCTGTGAAATAATGTATGTGAAAGCTCTTTGTATACTGTAGATCTCTGTTTATGCAGTAAATGTTAATATTGTTGCCAGACTAAAAAATGCCTGACAGCTCAGGATCTAGCTGAAGTCTATGGCCAACCTGGGGTTGTATGGGACCCTTAATCATGAGGCATTTTAGGCTGAGGCTGGCCCAATCTTAAGAGGGGCTGTGTGAGTCTCCACTCCTCACCTTGAACAGTGGCACAGCCTTTGACTGCAAGCAGAGAACCCCCAGTCCCCTGGCCTGCTGGTGAATCAGCACGAGGAGAAGGCAGACAAAGTTTGTTTGGGCTTTCGGGGCTCATACTCTTTGGAAAAACAGGGAGGACGCCTGTGCACCTGGGGTGTGTCAGAAGAGCGTGGGAAGTCTAGCTTCAGTATACCTGCCCCCCACCTTCAGGCCTCCTCTCTGTCTAATGGGATGTCCTAATAGGGTCTAAACCCTTTGGTCTAAACCCACTGGTAGTCAGGGATCTGTGATCATTTCTTACAGACACTGTCACAAAGCAGAGTCTCTCTTGGTGGTGTTTCATTTTCTTTTTAATGTTGGAAAGCCTTTTTCTCCTGCTAAACTGCATGCCACAGGAAACAGAAAAGGAAGGTATTGTCGAGGTGAGCGCTCCTTCCTGTGTTGTGGTGGCAGGTACACAGGGTAGGGAGGTGAGTCTGAGACAGCAGGAAGCAGCCCCTCCCAGGGTGGTGTTGGGCTCTGTGTGCTCCTGTCTGGATGTGACCTGGTGTCAGCAGAAAGCACTAAGGACAGCACTGTACAGAAAATGAGCAAAGTGGTCAAGAGGAAGCAAGACCACAAATGTATGATTCTTTGTCGTCACTGCTGGGGTCCCTCCGTGATATGAATTTCTGTAGCCCCTTCGAGGGGTAACCATGATGTGATATGCTATATATGTTTGTGTCTGATGACAATCACTGTCTTAGTCTGTTTGGGCTGCTGCAACAGAATACCCACAGGCTGGGTAGCTTATAAACAACAGAAACTTATTTCCCACAGCTCTGGAGGCCGGAAGTTCAGGATCCGGGTACCAGCATGCTTAGATGAGGGCTCTGCTCCAGGTGGCAGTCTGCTGACTTCTTGCTGTGTTCTCACAGGGCAGAAGGAGACTAGGAACTTCTCTGGAGCCTCTCTTTTAAGGGCACTAATCCCATTTTTGAGGGTTCTACCCTCATGACCTAATCACCTCCCAAAGGCCCCACCTCCTAATACCATCATCTTTGGGGGTTAAGATTTCAACAATGAACTGGGGGAGGAACACAAACATTCAGACCACAACAATCACCAACACACCTGCTTAAGTACACAAGGCAATTCAGAACCAAAGCCAGGCTGAGATGGCTGTGATCTCTCTACACTAGCACAGAACTGAGAGAAGGGAGTTCTAAAGACCAAAGTTTTGCTGAATTACTTACCACAAACAGTCACATACAAATTTTGTAGCTCAGTTACATGGCTCAACTGCACATTCATTATTCTTGAGCACGCTGCCCTAGCAGGAAGTACACAATAAGTAAGTTTGTTGTTAATGAACCTGGGTTCCAGGTTATTTTTGGTTTTAGATGTATCCTGCAATGAAGAAAATTAATTGGGAATCCCAGATGCCAATTTCTAATATTGTGTGCTCGATAAGTAAGCTATTTCTATTTAACTTTACCTTTTTCTTCCTAGAGCCCCCACTGGTCAGAGTAAATCGCAAAGAAACTTTTCCAGGGATTACAACTCTTTTCTGCACAGCCCATGGCTTTTACCCCCCCGAGATTTCCATGATCTGGATGAAAAATGGGAAAGAAATGATCCAAGAAATGGATCATGGAGAGATTCTTCCCAGTGGGGACGGGACCTATCAGACGTGGGTATCCCTGGAGCTGGATCCTCAGAGCAGCAGCGACCTTTACTCATGTCACGTGGAGCACTGTGACATCCAAAAGGTTCTTCAGGTGCCTCAGGGTAAGGACAGGCTGTAGCTGTCTGGGCAGTGAGACCAAGGAAGGGGGTTGAGCAGCAAGCACGGGTCATGGCTTGCTTTAGAACGAGTCTTTTAAGTCAGAGGTTCTCTCTCTTTTTGGCCTCAGGGCTTCTTTATGTTATTAAAAATTAGTGAGGATCCCAAAGACCTTTTATTTATATGGGTTATCTCAATTCCTACTTACTGTATTAGAAATAAATGATGTTTAAGTTTACACTCAAGAAAACATGTGCACACATTTTCATTATCTTTCAAACAATGGCACCATCACCTGTGGTGTAGCTTCTAGAAAACCGCACTGTGCACATGTGAGCAATAAAAAAAGGAAAATCATGACTTAGACCTCATGAACTCTCTGAAAGGGTCTTGAAGACCCCTGGGACTTTCAGACCTCACTTTGAGAACTACTGTTTCCCTGTGTAGTCGAAAGATTCTTGCCATGCATGAAGCTGTAGAGTGAGAAGTGAGAGTGAGAAAAATGGTGTTGGGCTTCCCGTGATCAAAGGGTCAAAAGTCCCCGAAAGTTAATATAGAAGGAGAGGAAGACTTGTGGATTTTTCCTCATATGCTTGCTTTCAGAATCAGAAACTACCCCTCTGGTAATAAAAGCTGTCTCTGGGTCTGTTGTCGTCGCCATTGCCCTGGCTGGAGTTGGCCTCCTGGCCTGGAGAAGAAGGCTCCAAAAAGGTAAGAAGAAGGTGAAAGGCATGTGGAAGGGTCTCTGCACCTGCCACGCTATTCTCCATTTAGAAATGAGGTGGGTCCCACATTGTGATCACAGCAGGACCTGGGGCACCTCCCCAGCCGTGTGGGAAACACACACCGTGGCTGATGTTTGCAGGGAGAGTGGTCTGTTTCACAGGTGATGCCTGATATCAACAGAGGAGTACAGCTTCTGTCCAGGTGAACTGTTCTCTTAGAAGTTGGGTCAGAGAAGACAGCATGATCTTGATTTGTCTTTTTCTAAACTATATCTGTATTATTAATCACTATTAACATATTTGTCCTTTGTTTCAAGACATCAGTAAGCTTTTCCATTTTGACAAACACTTTCTGACCAATCGTATGAAAGCTCTTTTTCTTCTAAATTCACCTTTCAACACATGAAACGTTGAAGAGTAGACACCTTTGGAAAATGGGACTCAGGGGAAGGAAAAATGGGAGGGATATAGGCTCTTGATACCTTGGAGAAACCATTCATTCATTACATGCATTAAATACCTACTGTGTTCCAAGCATAGTGCTGGATACTGAAATATAGCAATGCAAAAGACAGACATGATCCCTGCTGTCTTGAAAGGTCATCTCCCCAACCCCGGTTTCAGTAGATGCTCGAGTTGATCACAGCATAATATTGATGATGGGTTTGAACCCAGTGTGGGCCAGGAGTTCAGTGCTGCTTCATAACCACAGACTTAACTCCAATTCAAGTGATAGGGTATAAAGCTAGAAAAAAAAACAACCCCTTTACTAGAAAATCAACTCAGAGAGTTGGTGAGTCATCCTAATGTTTTCTTTATGAAGTACAACACTAATCCCAATCCAACAAATGAGAGCTGCTGAAGCAACAACAACAAAAAAAATTTTTTTACAGTGACATACCAGTCTCAAGAATGATGCACACTGTGTGTTTCTGCTTTTTATCTTGTGGAGTTTGTGAATTTGAGTTAAAATTTATCAAGTACTAAAAGAATCTTGACAAAGCAGGCTAAAAATGTCAATGCCAGCTTCTCAGATTTTGCTGAATATTGCATAATTTTGTGGGCTATAAGGGAAAATGCACATTTCTGACTAAAAAGTCTTTCTTTCAGACAAAAATGGAGTCATCTACCTTCCTGCACCAGATCAATGACTGGGGGTAGCCCTTGTCCAGTTGTCTTTCCTCTGGGAACCATGGTCTCTCCTCTGTCTCCTATGGACTCAAATCCACTGCTCAAAGCTCTTGACCACACCCACAACAGACATGGATATTTCAGGATTGAGCATTCATGGCAGAAAGATAGGAGTCAGAAAGTTTTCTTTGTTCTTTAGCTCCAAAAAGACTGTCAGCTTTCAGGCTCTTTTGATGGACTCTTTTATCACATTTGACTCTAAGTATAGCTTGTCTCATGACACAACACTACCCTACATCCCATCTGTCAACGATGATTTACAAGTAAATTAGAGAATCTCAGAGCTAGAAGGAACCTTCCATTTGAGGGCCAGAAATGTCTTCTCCTCTACCTTTGAGTTGAGCATTCAGCCTCCACTTGAATTCCAGCAATCAAGGGCACCTCACCACATTATAAAGTGGCCTTTTCTTCTTTCATGAGAATGTATTATGCAAGAGCTATGAATTGTGGGTGCCATGACTGTGGCCCTACAGACAGGCCTGGACCAACCTATGAGAGTAGCCAGTGAGTTTCTACAATGGCCTGTGAGTAGCCACATTATTTTACATATTTTCTGGCCTGAGAGAAAGCCGAAGTGTCCTGTTCTTACGGAGACTCTGCCTGGTAGCTTGGAATCTTGGAAATATGCCTGATCGGATCTATGGAAGTAATCACATTCTTTCCGTCTTTTGTGGGCGAGTAAGAACCATAATCATCAGCCCTGACTGGTGTGGCTCAGAGGGTTGAGCATCATCCTGCACACAGAAAGGTCACTGGTCTAACTCCCTCTCAGGGCATATGACCGGGCTGCAGGCCAGGTCCTTGGCTGGGGACGTATGAGAGACAACCGATTGATGTTTCTCTCCCTCTCTTTCTCCCTCCCTTCCCTTTTCTCTAAAAATAAATAAATAAATTCTTTTAAAAAAGAATAATAATTATCAGACATTTTATCACCTTCAGTGGAACTACAAAGACCTAGACCCAAGAGCAATCTTTTAATATAAAAAGAGTTCGATTCCAATTTCTGTCCTTCCTCTGCTGGCTTATTGTAGATGGGCCTGACTCGCCTTTGTGCATAGGCTCATTCTCCATGCTTACTCCCTGCCTGCAGAGAACATACGAAGGCTCCGCTATGAGAATTATCACCCCTTGGATTCGCCTTTTCTACCCCTAAAATCTTCATTATCATTTACCTCTTGTTTGCATGTTGCCTTCAATTCTCAGTAACAAGGTCACATTGTACCAGAGAGGAGATGCTGATGTTCTTCAAGAAGTGAAATATGAGTTCAGACCCCAGGACCCTGGACCCTCCTGGACATAAGATTCCTGGAAGCACTCAGACCATGGGGAGCCCAGAGTACGCTCCTGGGAACTCACCAAAGTTTTCACTGTGGCCACTTCCCTAACACAGTTCCTTCTTGCTTCCCCCCAGTTGGCTTGGCTGAGTAAACAGAGTGCCAAATATGGCCGCTCACAGGGGTCAGTGAGGATAAACATCATATATGCCATCCCATGTATCTTTATTCTAAATCTTGTTTAATTACAACACAACTCTGCTTATTTATTCTATTTCTGGCTTATGAACCAACTGACGATGTGAGCAGGGCCACAGCTAAGCCATATGGGACATTTGTTCCAAATTAGAGAATTGTGCTCTTCCTCTGGGTGGACACTGACCCAGGCTGGGTGACATGGCTTAGTCAGCAAAATATAGAATGAATTTCTACCCTGTTGGCCCCCTCGGTGTACAGGGCACAATGTTACCTGGCAGCCCTGGTCATACCATTAGAAAAGAGATGGAGAGTGGCTGTAGATGAAGATGAATGAATTGATTTGGAAGGGAGGGGTGTTAGTGGAAAAAAACAGGTCAGTTTATTCAAAACAGTAGAACTAGAAGCCCACGTTTGCACATCCAAACAGCTAAAATTATCTGAAAGGTTTTACATAATCCTATCATGGAGTTTATTTATGGCAGTCTATTTTTAAATTTTTGTCATACTACACAGGCTCTTTGCACCATGCCTTGTATGTAGTAGGAATCCAGTAAATACTTCTTGAATGAACCAGTACAGTATTTTAATTAGCTAGTCCTCATGTACTGGTGCAAAAGAACAGTGTCATCTTACAACTGAAATCATAGCTGGGAAATATCTCCCTCAGGACCATAGGACCTTCCATAGACCAGGATGAATACCCAAAGGGCTAGTCTGAATTGTTCAAAGGTTTCTACAGCATTAACGTTATTTAATACTTGATCTTGTCATTGCCTCATCTGTAAAATTAGGAGTACCAGACATTCTAACCACACGCCTCCATCCCCACACATGTATCTGGGATAAAGATGGAATGCAGAGATTCTTACACAAGGCACCGTTTTTCTTAAAGGCTCTCTGAGAAGAGGTGCTAAGAAATGAGTTCTAGGTCATCTTGGGGCCCCAAATTGCTGATACCTATAGATATCTTTTTATTTTTAAGGCCTGTGGGGCTGTTATATAACACAAAATTTCCTTTTTACCATTCATGGAAGTTCTTGAAATACAGATTCCATCCTTTCTTATCAACAACCTAGGGAGGTTGTGAAACTGCTCCTACTGAGGACTGACCATGTATGCTTTTTCCTCTCCCGTTGTTCCCTGAGTTCGGTGTTAGCTGAGCCCCCAGGCAGGAGTGTCTGCATTTGTCCCTTGGCAGGGATTTGGTTTAAGAGAATGTTTAGGACCAGAAGGTTCTGAGCCGAGCTGGTTGGATCAAAGGGACTGGGTGGAAGGCCCAGCTGGCCCGGAGCCTTGGCAAGTGGAGGCTGGGTCTGAGGCAAGTGCTGTGGCAGCAGCCAGACCTCTGAAGAAGCAAAGCGGGGCTAGAGAGTGGGAACAATCAAGAGGAAAAACAGCTTCTGAGGAAACAGCTTCTCAAATGGAAAATAAATTCAGGGAACAGAAGGCTGCAGACCAAAATGGGAAGCCACCAGAGTGGAAAAGGAAGTGAAACCAAGACAGAAATGCGACAGTCAACCTCAAGCTAAAGCACTCCTTGCTTCCTTTTCTTCCCTCTTTGAGGCATTAGCAGTGTGGATCTAAGAGCATCTGTTACCTGGACTGAATAAAAACTGTGTTTTTCTGAGCAATGTGACAATCCCATAAATCAAGAATTCTGGGAACAATTCGAGAAGACACAAACAATGCTGGGGAAATTTGGAGGACTGGGAATAATAAAAAGTAAAACATTTGGAGTCTCATCAGCTGCTGAATACAACCCCTTGACATGTTTTAAAGAGCCTGTAAAGCCTGTACTCTATTACTCACAAAACGGTTACAAATACATGGTCTGTGCATTACACACAACAGGAAGTTGCAAACCAGATGTAACCCCTGAGGCTGAATATTTGGGCTGCCCTCTACCTTACTTTTGAAAGACTGAATTAGTCAGTGATCCCTGAGGATCAGGGAGGGTTGAAGACACAAAGGCAAGCAGCTCTAACCCAATTTAGGCCTTTGCAACTGAAATTAAGATCAAATTTCAAAGATTTGTAAATTTGCCCAGCTTGTTCACTGGAAATCAGTCTACATGATGACATATTTATAGGCCCAATGATGAAATTTTCAATAATTGTTCCCTGCCACAAGGAGTTAGTAGTTTCTCTGTGTGTCACTGTATACACTACATTTTCATTAATGCCACAGATTTCCACTTAGTAAATAAATAAATTAATAAATGTCTACTAATAATCTGCTATGGATATTGATATTCAAATTAGATTCATACGGTCTTCATTAGTTAATGAGCCATTCATAGAATACATGTTTCATAAGACCCGAAACTCCAATGCCAGACACACAGGAGCCACTCAGTCAATACATTTGCTTATTGGCAAAATGAATTTCAGTACCTACTATGAGCCAGTCTATAAAGGCAACAGAGCCTAACAGAGATGTTCTGAAAATTACCAAGTGCAGGAATGACCCAGATGTAGGCTTATAAACAAATCAAGCTCGCATCACAGAAGATGACTTTAAGAAAGATAATCTAGGATGTATTTCCATAAAGTAGACCCTGGGTTTTGCGTTAATAGAAGAATGACAAGTCTGACAGCGACCTTTTGTGATAATGCTGAAAAACACAGGCTGGATGGAACTTAGGAGTGAAGTACAAGGGCCTACATATAAATATTCTATTATTGAAAGGGAGGAGGGAGAGAGGGAAGGGCTGAGAGAGCTGAGCGCTGCCTCCATCCCCGCAGCAACTGGGCTGGGCTTCCAGGACCAACAAGCAGTTGTGACGGCGCCATCTAGGAGCTCAAGGGTCTTCAGCAGGACAGAGTAAGTTCTAATCCTCTATTTCCTCTTGCCTACCCCAACTGGCCCATCCTCAGGGTTAACTCCCTTTCTAAACATGTAAATGCTTTTTGGCTCTGCTGTTCAATGGACACTGGGCCACTCTGTGTTGCTCTTTATCTGTTTCTGCCCACCTTACCTCTCTGGTTAGGCTATACTCCTAAACTCCTTAAAGGACACAGTTTGAATTCCTTCACTTAGTATCAGGGGATCTTAAGTTATTTAACTTCTCAGCCTCAGTTTTATAAAAACAGTTTGTAACTACCTGTCTCCCAGGGTTAGTTAATGTAGAAATTAAATGAGGTGTGTGTATGTGTGTGAAGACACATTGCACAAGGTGTGGCACATGCCACATCTCTCATTCTCTAGGTTCTCTCCAGAGACTTACTCCCTATGTCCCACATAATCATAGTTACCATTTATTGAGTGCTTACTATGAACTGGGCACTTTACATATGTTATCTTTCTTCCTCATAACACTTTGTCAGCAGGTATCATTATCTGCATTTTGCTGAAGTTCAGGTAAGTTATATTTATTGACAAGGTCACAGTTAATAAATGGAGGAGGCTTGATTCAAACCCAAGTCCTTCTCCGTATACAGCTTGTGCTCTTTCCAGTACACCACCCTCCCTGCACACAGTAGGCACTCACTTGACTCTTGATGAAAATTTAAGGTATCACCTACTCAAAACTATGCTCTATAGTGAACCTTAGGAACAAAGGAATAAAAACTTAACAATGAATCAGAAAATCAGTAAAGTCCCTTACACATTCGTGAAAGTCTGAGTCTTTTTGCTCAGCCTTTGATGGTGTGACTTAAATGCTGAATGAGGCCTGGAGGACCAAAGGAAGCATATAGGGAATTGTCGCATTTCATGGAAATGTCAATGAAAGCCATGGATGAGATTCATTACTTGTCGATTCTTCACAGATGGGAATAGCTGATGCCCAAGAGGAAAATGAAAAGCGTGCTACCTTGCAAGCAAGCAGACTTACCCAGGGTACATCCAGTGGCACATAGAATTGTATAGCTGGAGGGTTGTTTAGGAGTCATATAGTTAAATGCTGTCATGAAAAAAATTGAGGCTTGGAGAGAGTAAAATGATTTGCCAAAAGAAACTCTGAAACCAATGATAAACTTCATGTCTTTACAAAAATATGTTCAACATCACTAGTCATTAGGAAATGACAATTAAGACCACAGTGAGATACCACTCTACAACTATGAGAACAGCTAAGACAGAAAGCATTGACAACACTCAACTCATACAAGAGTGTGGAGAAACTGGATCACTTATCTGTCCATTGGTGGTGGGAACAGAAAATGGTATAGGCATTCCGGAAAATAGTCTGGCATTTTATTAAAAACTAGATATATACTCACCCAGCAGTTACACTTCTGGCAGTTTACCTCAGGGAAGTGAAAAATTATGTCTACATTAAAATCTGTACACAATTGGTTATAGCAGCTTTATTTGTAATAGCCCCAAAATGGAAACAACCAAAATATACCTTCATAGATGAATGGTTAAACAATGCTACATCCATGCTATGGAATACTACTCAGCAATAAAAAAGGAATAATCTTTTATATGTGCAACAATTTGAATGAATCTCAAAGGCATTATGCTGAGTGAAAAAAGCTT